ACATGAAACAACACAATCTGTGAAGTCTAAAAACGAGATCAACCTACCAAATCCAGTTCAAGTGAGCGTACCCGTTCGAGTGTAACTCAATGAACCTTTGGGAAATGATAGAACTGATTCTCATTTCTAAAAACCACAGACATGCATTGTTAATGAAATAACAGATGGATAATGATATGGTAGATGAATGCCACACATACGGACACATACGCACGCAATCAGACGGATACACGCACGCATAGAAGTTCGGAACAAGCCAATGCAAAAAGAACTTACGAAGGAAAAAAAAAAAAACACAGAAGATGCAAAAAATCACTACCAAGCAATACAACACAATTAGTCCTAATCGCCACATATGTGATCGTTCCTCTTTTAACAAGGACCTTCAATTCCTGAATGGTACAGCAAAGCTTCTGAAAAGTAGGAAATAGGGAAATGAAAGGGGGGAAATGGGGAATAAGAGTTGAGGGGATATAGATGGCGACTTTGAGAAAAAAAAGGACTACAGGTACAAGGAGAGAGAGAGAGAGAGAGAGAGAGAGAGAGAGAGAGAGAGAGAGAGAGAGAGAGAGAGAGAGAGAGAGAGAGAGAGAGTGAGAGAGAGAGAGAGAGAGAGAGAGAGAGAGAGAGAGAGAGAGAGAGAGAGAGAGAGAGAGAGAGAGAGAGAGAGAGAGAGAGAGAGAGAGAGACGAGAGAGAGACCTCACTTAGAGAGAGAAAGAGTTCATTAAATTACGATTTTAACGATTTGGAAAAAAAAAACATGTGTAAAAAACAAGATCTAAGCCGACCTAGTTTAGATCTAAGTCGTCCTATGTTAGAATTATAGTCGACCTAACAAGTATCAAACGAGTTTAAGTTGCAAGTTAGGAGCTTACCTAGTGGAAGTCCCGTAGCCCGTCAGCAGAACGAGAGAAAGTAGGAGAGGGAGGGCTAATCAAGAAAAAGAAGTAAATGACGACAATAAGAGCTTACATCTTACCATGGGCTAACAACTCTAAATGACATCTTAAACTTTCTGACCTTAGAGTGGTAGGTGGAGCGTAAGTAGCGTGAGGCAAACGAACAAGCTCCACTGGCGAGAAGAAAAGAGAAAGAGAAAACGAATACCTAGAACCTAGAACCTAGGCTTAATCAACTGGTTTTAAAAAACGCGGCCAACACAAGAGTAAACAACTATGGTACGAGATTAAGACATGCTAGTCTCACTAGTAATCATGTAACTTAATTCCACTTGAAACGGTAAGGTAGAGTTGTTCTCACCTTAGTAGGAACCGGTAGGTGGGGCGTGAGTAGCGGGGAGCTAAACCAGCGAGCAGAAGGGAGGGAGAAAGAAAGGAAGAGCAAACCTTAACAAAGAGTCAGATTCGTCGTATTAACAATTAACCTATAAATTGTCGTTGCAGTTCTGAGCAGTAGCGCTAGTGCAGTCGTAAGAGGAAAAGCATTAGAACCGAAGGTACCAGGATCGAACCTTGCGGAAGTTGTTTTTGAATCATTGCCATAAATGTCAACTTCCACAGAATTTTATGTAAGTATTCAAACCTGTAGAAATTGTGTACTTATCTTTATGTAAAATGCTTCGCAACCCTAAGACGATTTCGTCGCCTCTTGTTTTTTTTTTTTGCAGGTGTCATGGCCACTTATCATGCACGAAACGAGTATGCGCTGCTGTCCGACTTCAAGCTCGGCTATCGCGTCCTTACCAACCTTATACACCGCCTCTCGTAACCCAGCTAGATGGACAGAACATGTTTTACAGGTGGTGTTATGTTTCTCCTCCTGTTTACCGGTACTAGATGCGCATGTAGAGCTGTTGTGGCGCAAGGAAGAAATTATATCACAAAAGTGCTGTCTTGGAATAAACAGGTGATACGAATCAGTACAACGTTAAAGCATATATATTTTAGAGAATTACTGTGATTGTGTTTGTACAGAATCCATGTCAAGGCACCCGGAAATAGTATCTATGTCGTTGAATGGGATACGCTCAATAGCCTAAGCAATGCAAATGGTGCCGCCTGGTCCCAACAACCATGGACTCTCTTGCAACCACAAATTGTCGTGAGGCGAAACTTGTGCGGCCCCGACTAGGCATGTTACCGCGTCTACGTGTATTTGCGAAACGCGGACGCGAACACGGAGAATATCTAGGAGAGCAATCCTGTCCCGGCGCCCAAGCACAAATAGGATTCCCATGCAAACAGGTCCCTAGGGTCAAGGACAATATCTAGGTCGAATGGCAACTGCCTGATAGCATACCGTACCATATTCCTAGGGCTACCGACAGGACGTCGTGCGCTTCTTTACGTTTCTTGAAATGCAGCGATAGCAACAGCCTTTTGAACAAATAATGGAGCTCCAGACGAGTATGCTAGGCGGGAATAAGTGCAGGTTCAGAATACGCGTTCTGGTATTTATAAAAGGTTAAGTTACTTCGATAGCCAGAGGGTCGAGAGACAGCCATGGCTGAGCCCGAGGAGTATTTAATTTATTACGCCGCTATAGTATACCGCGGTACAATTCTCTATGCGCACAGCAGCTTTCCCGGGGACTGCACCTCCATAATCGTGGAAGCTATGCGACAATTACCTGATAACGTGTCCAGCTATTCTCGGGTATGGTTCTCTTGAATACGCCTTTGTCATTTAGGGTAGCTACGAACATTGCATATGTTCGGCTGGAGGATGTTCTTTTTCACGTGTTGAAGTCACCTTACGAACGTACCGTCCCGTCAATTTCTTGACGAGCGTTTTTTGGCCTTAACCCTGACACGACTTTCCAGTCGCTTATTCAGCACAGTTCTAAGCTGGCATTTTCGAACGCCCTTACAATGAGCCAAGTTCTACACGCATAGCTCCCAGAGAGTGCTTTCCAGAGGAGCAAGACTTACACGCAAGCTGCTACCCTAGCCGTAAAACCCTTTTGCCAAAACTTCTTACCTACCCTTATTCGCGTCTGCTCGTAATGTCTATGTAGTACCAGCCAAGCTGTACACTTACAGCAACGGGTTCTTTTAGGAGTCTCCCGTCTCCAGCATCGTTTATCTTATTGTCACCTTCCTCGTCTGTTGCGTATCCAGGCTCTGTTGTTTCCACTCTCCCCGGTCCTTGTGTCCTTCTCACTCCGTGCAGCGCTGTGCAGTGCTACGATCGAACCAGGCTCGCAGTCCTTGCGCTAGACACCGCAACCTTCACCCTTTTTTTGGTTCACGTAAAGCCATCCATCTCAATCCTTGGCCTTGCCGTGATGTTTTGTGCTGTGCAGTGCTACAACGGAACCATGCTCGCATTCCTTGTGGGAGACACAGCCGTCTACAAGCTTGGCTAAGTTGACTCAAAGTCATTCCTCCCACTTCTTGCCGTGCTGTGCTGTGCTCTGCTGTGCCGTGCTGTGCTGTGCTGTGCTGTGCTCTGCTCTGCTCTGCTCTGCTGTGCTGTGCTCTGCAGAGCTACGATGGAACCATGCTCGCATTCCTGGTGCGTGACGGAGTCGTATACACACTCGGCGGCCATGAAGCACTAGACAAAGTCCGCGCTTATAAGTTTCTGCAGCAGGTACGCATTACAATGTGGACATAACTCGCGAATATAAGTCATTGGAACAGGCACGCGTTACAAGGCGTTACACGTCTTCCCGTCGCCAGAGCACTACCTCATCTGCTCTCTGGCTGGCCTGAAGCAGCCTTGTTAGAGATTCTCGTGATACTTCGTGATTTGAACTGAATCAGCCCTACTAATGCTACCATTCTCCTGTGCTGCTCCGCTCTGCTCTGCTCCAGTACAACAAACAGAACGTGTTCTTTCTGTCCCCACCTTTCTACTCCCCTGCTTCTCAACTTCATTCCAGCTCCGTTCCATCCACATGCTGGCTGCAACCGAAGGCGAGAATAACTGCATCAATTCTGAAATTTGTCAACATTTCCTCCTTTCTACCCGCCTGTCTCTCATCCTCATGTATCCCAGCTCCATTCCATTCATGTTCTAGCAGCAACCAAGAACGGAAAATTCCGCACCGACTTGCTCACCTCCCCGTACAATCACGCCCTTCACAAGCTCAGCTCGCATATAGGCTCGCTCACAGCCAGCGTGCGCGGAACAATACCCCCACGTGAGCCCCTGATTGTCTACCCGGACGCTCCGAAGGCCTACCTGACCTGCCGTTCCAGAGATGAGCTTCTGGCCAAGTCCCCCCTGCACCCACGAGCTGCTTCTACAGCCACTTCTACAGCCGCTGCCACAGCCTCTTCTACAGTCGCTGGTACAGCCACGCCTTTTGTTTCTGCCACCGCTGCAGCTGCTACAACCAAGGCCGCTCCCTCTGTCACGTCTGTGACAGCTGAACCGAGCTTGTTTACTGCGATTAATTCAATGGATTCACCAGAAGGCAGGAGGGCGAGTGTAGAGAGGTCCAGGAGGTTACAGCTGAGGTTGGGGAAGTTAAGTGGTGGTGTCGGGGAAGAAGAGGGGAGCATGGGGCTGGGAGTAGAGAGGGGCATGGGGTTAGGCCTAGAGAGTGAGGACAGCGCTGTGAAGGTGGAGGTAGCTGATAGCAGCAGCGGTTGCGAGGAAGATGAGGAGGAGGAAGAGGAGGATTTTGTGTGGAATCCCAAACAGCAGCAGCAGCAGCAGCTGCTGCTGCAGCAACGGGGGGCGTACTTGGATCGTTCGTCACTGCAGGAACAACAGCAGGAGCAGGAGTGGCAGGAGCAGGAGTGGCAGGAGCAGGAGGAGCGGCAAGAGCAGGAGAAGAACCCTCTGAGCGATGCCGGAGATTCACCCATGATCAGCCCACGGCCCGAATGGGCTCGTCAGCTAGCCTTGCTGCGAAACTACACCAGCGAAGCAACTGATACAGACAGCACAGCTCAGAACCAAGGAAAGGGGATGGCCATGCGCACAAGCAACAAAGCGAAGCGTCCTTTCGAGGAGGAAGGGGTGCCGAAAGGGGACACGAGGAGGCAAGGACAGGGCCGGAAGGGTGCTGGGGAAGGGCTGAAGGGAGGGAGAAGAGATCGAAGCTGCAATGGGACCGTTGGGGGTTCAGGTTGGGAGTCCAGGGGCATGGGAGCAAGAGGGAGGTCTGTTAGTAGTGGGGGGTCTGGAGGAGCGTGGTCCGGTTGTGATGAGGATTTATCTGGCAATGGACTATCGGGTAGGGCTGGTTCGTTCCCAAGCCTCTCTCCTGCTCGTCTGGTTACTGCAGCCGGAGCAGCTGGAACAGCAGGGGCAGCAAGAGCAGCCGGAGCAGCTGGGGCAGCAGGGGCAGCAGGGGCAGCAGGGGCAGTAGGGACAGCAAGGGCAGCAGGAGGAAGAGGCAAGGCTTCTGTGGTTGCTTATGGGCGCTGTAGGTCCTTGTCGTTTGGAGGAAGCAGCAACACGCGCATGCAGGCTGATGATTGCAGCGGTGGCGAGGATGACTATACAGAGGACAGTTTTGATGAGGAGGACCGGGTAGACAAGATACGTGGTGATTATAACGAGGTTTACCACAGCAGAGGCTCTACTGGTGCTGGCGGCGGTGGTGTTGGTGGTGGTTATTCTGGTATTGGTGGAAAAGGGAATGAGAAGAAGAAGGTGTTTGGATCAGCAAGGAGAGGAATCAGAGAGGGTAGCGACCCTGGGAGGAAACAAGATTCAAAGTCTGGATATTCTGAAAGGCGTGTGGTAGGAGTGTCCTTGTCCCTGCCTCACGATGAAACCCGCTTCTCGCACGCACAAGCTGCTGACGCACAGCTCACGGCGCGTGCGGCCGCATCCGTGTCCCTGCCTCGCATCGACACCCATTTCTCACACTCAGATGCCGACTCAGCTCCAGAAGAAGCAGCAGCAGAGGTAGAAACAGAGGCAGAGGCAGGGTCCAAGGCAGCAGCAGAAATTGAACCGGCAGGGGTAGAGAGATTCTGGGTCCGGATTCCTACTCAGGTGCAGCGTGGAAGGCACGGAAGGTGGAGCACCAGGAGGGGCGCGTTAGACGGGCAACCACTGGTTCAGGCCAGCAGAAGCTGCCTTTAGGGCGTGTTATGCACACCACAACCGGCACTAAGGTTGCTACTAGGAGTCTTACCGAAGCTAGGAACGGCTCTGGGGCTGGTGCAAGGAGTGGGGCTGGTACTAGGGGTGGGGCTGTTACTAGGAGTGGTAGTGCTGGGAACGACACCAAATCTGGTGGTAGAAATGGCAGGGAATTCGGTGATAGGAGTGGCATTACTGGGGCTCGTGCAGGGGCTAGTAGCAGCAGTGTGTTGGCTCGAGGGCACATAGGGAAGTCGTTTTCTCAGGACTACACAATGCAGGTATTCCCAAGGGAGGAGCTGCAAGGTGGGCAGGGACAGAGGGCGTCTGGCGGTGCAAGGGGTGGGAGTGGAAGTGTGTCGCACTCGCTGCTTGGTGAGGGAAGAGGTTTTGGTGATTCGCCTTCCAGCCAAGCATGGGATTCGGAGGTTGCGAGCAGACTAGCAGCTGTGGGCGCTCGTGTTCTGGCAGGGAGTGGGAGAGTAGGGGGAGGAGGACTTGTGGGAGGAGCACAGAAGGGAGGAGGGGTAGGGGGAGAAGGAGGAGCAGGAGTAAGGGGGGGCTTAGTAGGGGCAGGGTTAGTAAGCGCAGAAGCAGGGTTCTCGAGAGGCGGTTCGGGGGATGATTTGTTTGACGATATCTCAGAAGGCGATGAGGGCGATTCTGATGCGTTTGAGTGGCGCCCATCTCGCCGCCGCACTCGCATGCTGCGCGGAGTGGCCCGTTCCACGTCAGCAGTCACCTCTCCCACGTCAGCAATGGGCTGGACAGGCTGGCGAGATCTGAGTCAGCAGCAGCAGCGGCAGCAGCAGCAGCAGACGGTACAGGCTCAAACACATAGGACCCGCCAGAAGCACTCCCGGGGGGAGGGATCTAAGGAGAGGCCACACTCAGCAGGGGCAGGTAGAGAGAGCTATGGGGCAAGAGGATCGGCAGAACCATCTTGGTCAGTAAGCACTGCAGGAAAAGCAGGATCAGCAGGAGCAGCAGGGGCAGCAGGAGCAGCAGGAGCAGCAGGATCAGGGAGTAGAAGACCGAGTTCGGCTTCTTCTGTTGACAGGGAAAGGGGGAAGGGAGGCAGGAGGAGAGAGGTGAGAAGCGGGGCTGCTGCTGCTGTGGCTGGTAGAACCGCTGTTCCCGCGTCGGTGTCGCTGGGTGTGACGGGCACGTCGTTTTCTCCCGGTGGTGGTTTGAATTCAAGTGTGGGGGATGATGGTACCTTGGGTGGGGTGTTTCCTCGTCCCAGCAGTGTGGGTTCTGCTGGCAGGCGTGATCATGGCGATGGTGAGAGCAGGCGTGGTGGCAGCGGTGACGGTGGGAGGAGGTATGGTAGTGGCGATCGTGGGAGCAGAGAGGCAAGAGGGGACAGGCGTATGGGCAGTGGAACAGGAACAGGAACAGGAGGAGCAGGAGGAGGAAGAGGAGCAGGAGGAGCAGGAGGAGCAGGAGGAGCAAGCGCTGGAGGGAGAGGGGGAGGTGGGGAGGAATGGGAAGGTGAAGGGGCTTGGGAATGGGGAAGGGCTGGATATGGAAGGGCAGGAGGAGGAGGACGAGACGTGGGAGAAGGTGAGAGGTTAGTTTCCCCTTCTGCTTCCTCAGTCAGAAGACCAATGGTGAGGCGCACGAGAACAGGAGTGTCACACAGTGCGGAATTCATTTCCCTCCGACATGTAAGGGGGCTGCTGCACACAGGGGACAGCGGGGCCGGCAGCACTGAATCGACGTTTGAGTTGGTTCAGAGGTCCCCCAGGCAAGTGAGAAAGCTGCTGCACACGGGAAGCAGTGGGGGCGGTAGCAGCGAAGTGCCCTTTGAGTTGGCTCAGAAGTCCCCTAGGCAAGTGGGAAAGTTGCTACATACAGGCGGTAGTCCGGGCAGTGGCAGTGGCAGCAGAGATGAGACCAGTTTGGATTCCACTAGCGCTGGTCAAGGGAGCAGCAGAAGCAGCAGCGGCAGCAGGAGCAGCAGCAAGCAGGGAGTGGTAACACCTACTGGTAGTTCCCGCAGGGGGCATAGGGAAGGCAGGAGAAGAGGAAGGAGCGCTTCCATGGTGGATACAGGGGAGAATGACTCTGGTCTTGCCCAATTAGACTCACGACACCCATCTCAACCAATCCCCGTCTCACTCCCAGTTGCTGGCTCTTCAACAACTGCTACACCTAAGGCGGCTGCTCTCTCTGCAGCAGCATCGCCTGTAGTTGCTGCTCTCTTCTCTTCTGCCCGTCGCCCGCACCCGCCCTTCAGCCCTCGCACCGCTCCCACCTCCCCCTCCTCCCTCTCTCTCCTAGTCTCCCCCCGCTATTCCCGAGGCCGCAGCTTCGGGTTCGGCCGATCCTCCAGCACACGCCAACCACAGCGTGAGGAGCAGGCACTAGTTGCCAAAAAGGCCCAGTTGGCCCCGTTCAGCCGATGCGTGAGCACAGGCGATTGGGAGGGGGAGGCGAGGGGAAAGAGCATCGGGAGGAGCGAGAGCGAGAGTGAGAGTGGGGAGGAGTTGCGATGGGACAGGGGCAGGAGCGGGGGCGGTGGCGGCGGCAGGGGAGGGAGCGGGAGCAGGGGCACAAGTGGGGGCAGGGGCAGGCACGGAAGCAGAGAGAAAAGGTATTCTCATGAGGCAAAACTTCCTGGCGGTGGGTTCAATTTAGCTGTAGACGGGTCTAGCAGTGGCTGTGGCAATGGCACGGCCGACGGTTACACCGATACCACCAGTGGTTACACAGACGGCACAGGCGGTTACCACCATGCACGCGAACCCTCCGTCTTTTCCCCTGTAGCAGAGGACGAGGGCCAGGAGCCCCTCTCCTCCTCCACACTCTCCTCCTCCGCGTCTTCCTCTGCAGCCTCCCTCTTTCTTCGCTCTATGAGCTCTGGTAGGGCCGAGGACTTGTTACTGCAGCAGTTTCACCGCCACCTCTCCCCTGAGGTCCGGCCCGGCACTTCCGGTGGTGTCTGGGGAAGCAGGAACCACGCAGGTGACAATTCAAGTGGAAATCGGAGTTCCGGGGATTGGGGTAGCGGTAATGGTGGGAGCGGATTCACAGGGAAGGGAAAGGACGGGGTGGATGGACGAGTGCAAGGTGGGCGCAGGGGTGAGGTGGGGCGAGGAGGGGGTGGTGCGGTATTGGGTGCAGAAGCAGCAGCAGCAGGACTACGAGGGGCGTTTGTGACTGGGAGAGCGCGCAGCAGCAGCTGCAGTGGTGCTGTTGGTGGGTTTGCAGGCAGAGGAGGCGGCGGATGGGGCGGGGAAGACGACGAGGGAAGCACACCTGGGGGAGGTACACCTGCGGGAGGGACACCCAAGGGGGGCGGATATGGAAGCGGGGCGAGCAGCGGGGCAGAAAGCACTGGGTCGGTGATAGAAAGAGGCGGCGGTGGTGGTAATAGTGGAAGAAGGAGAAGCGGGGGTTTGGGGAGCGGGGATGGGGGGGAGGGCAGTGGGGGGCCGAGGCTGACAGAGGCTCAGAAGCAGCGGTGGCAGGAATATCAGCAGCTGCTGCCGCCGCTGACGCTGCCGCCTGTGTTGGAACGCAGGCTGAAAATGCAGGAGGCGGTTTTAAAGAGGCAGGAGGCGCTGCTGCTGGAAGAGCTGCAGCAGCAGAAGGCACTTCAGGAGCAGAAGGTGTTGCAGGAACAGAAGAGAGCTGAGGAGCAGCGAAAGCAGGTGGGGGAAGAAAAGCTGCAGCAGGAGCAGCAGCAGGAGAAGCAAACGGAGAGGCAGCAGCTTGCGGGAAAGCAGGAGGCGGATCTGGTTTCGGAGCAGGTTGAGAGGCAGCAGAAGCAAACAGAGCTACAATCAAATGGACAGCAGGGTCTGCCAGGGCCAGAGCAGCAACAGCAGCAGCAGTCGCCGCAGCTACAGCCGCCGCTACAGCCCCATCCGCCCCAGAAACCAAGGCTGGAGCCGCAGCCTCCCCAGCAGCCCAGGAAGGATCGTGACCGTCCGTTTGTGCGGCAGCGGATCTGCCACTCGGACGAGTTCATCCGCCTGCCAGCTGGCATGACCGCCCGCGGGGGCGGCAGCCTTGTTGGGTTGTCCACGCGGGCGCGCTGCCTGGCTGCTGCTGCCACGTCAGCAGAGTCTCCTACGGGCGGCAGACTGAGCATGGGAGAAGGAGAAGGAGGGGGATGGGGAGGAGGCGACGGGGTAGGAGGAGGAAGGGAGGGAGCAGGAGGAGGAGGAGGAGGAGGAGGAGGAGGGGACGATGGAGGAGGGGGCAGAGGAAGGGGAAGAGGGGAAAATGGAGGAGGGCGGCCAGTAGGAGCAGGGGGAGGAAGGGGCAGGGGACGAGGGGGGGGATGGTCCAGGGAGATCCCTATATCCCTGTCCATTTCCGGAATACCCCCATCAGTTCTCGATGCGCAATCAGGCACCATGCATGACGCTATGGCAGATGCTGTGACGCCCACACAGTCCCCCATCTGCACGCCCCCTCCATACGCGCGCTCGCTCGTGTACGGTCGTTCCCCCCGCACGACATTCGACCGCTATCGCATCCGCAGCCTGGGGGCCATCCCCCCGGGAGGGCTTGTGGCTGGGTCCATTGTCGTGGGGGGAACGGCGGGAGGGGGGGCCGCAGCAGGGTTTGGGGCTGCTGCTGATGTTGCCGGTGCTGGTGGTACCGGTGCTGCTGCTGTTGCTGCCAGAGCTGGTGCTGCTGGGGGTGATGGGGATGTCTCTGCTGCTGGTGCTGCTGCAGGATCTGGCGAGGGTGCTGCAGGGGCAAGCAGTGGGGGAGACCAGGGAGGTGGGGCGAGCAGGCTGCGGGGGTCAGTGGGGCTCACAGCACCTTCAGGTCTCACCTGGGACGAGGAAATCTCCCGAAAGCTGGCTCTGCGTGGGGTGCAGGTTCGGCCGACCAGCAGCAGTGTTCCATCTGCTAGCCCCTCGTCTGCTGCTGATCTCAAACAGTCTACGACTCTCGTGCCGCAGGGTGAAAACGGTTCTGCTGCTATTGGAGCAGCAGGAGCAGCAGGAGACGCAGCATCGGCCACCGCAACAGCTGCAGCAGAAGCAGGGGGTGCATGTGATGGTGGTGACCGTGCGAGTGCCCGTCTCTCTGTCTCCGATTGGGTACGCTCCTCTTCCACCTCCTCCTCAACTCCTGCCAAAGCATCCGGTGCTGACGCTGCAGCAGCAGGAGGGACAGCAGAAGATGCGGCTGTAGCTCCAGGTGTCATCTCAGGTGAAAACTCAGGTGGAGACTCAGATGACAGTACGGGCGGGTGTGCAGGGTGGTTGGAGGGGAAGGAACGAGGTAGCAGCCTTCTCTTTGCTGTTCCCGCTGCCCCGAATTCCCGTACAGCTACAGGTGTAGCGGCAGGTGGGGCAGGTGGGGCAGCAGGGAGAGGTGGGGACAGAAGCCCCTCTGCAGCCAATGCTAGTGCTGCTCGTGCTGCTTCTACTGCAGTCACTCAAGGCCCGATCCTTGTGCTTGATTCAGCAGCAGGCTCTTCTAAATCCTTTCCCAGGCACGTATCACCACCATCACCGCCACCATCACCACCACCATCTGGCACAGCAGCGTTAGCAGGGCTATCACCTGGGAGGTCCCTCCACCATTCCTCAAGGTCACCCACACCAGTTATCACCTACCCCGATTTCACAGAGCTCACTCTCGACCTATCAGAGGCCATTCCCCTCACCCCCTCCCGCTCTGCCAAGGGGTTTTCCCTGCCCGCCTCGCCTGCTGCTGTCGCGTTTGCTGCTGCCGTGGCTGAGGTTGACGCATCTGGATTCGCTGTACCGGAGCAGATGCTGAGGGCAGAGAAGGGCGGGAATGAGCTAGGGTCGGAGAAGGGCGGAGCAGGAGGGTCGTTCGCGTCGTGGCGCTCGGGGAGTGGTGCTAGCAGCGGGGGGAGCGTGAGCCGGGGCAAGGCAACGAAAAAGGTGAGTTTGTTTGGTTTGCAGTGCTATTATCTTCTCCATTACATGCAACTGCACTGTGCAGAGCCTAAATGCTCTGCCCTATGTTTTTGTCATTAACTTTTGGTAGATGTGAGGCCTCCCCGTGTTTCACAGCTCAACCTAATGTACATGTGCTTGCCCTTATGTGTGGAATGTGTGTGTGCCTCTATGCATGTGCCTGTATACATGTAACATGTGCCTCTAATGCAGGAGCTTCCAACATGCTGTGTTATCAGCTGAATTCCTGCTTCAGTGCTGGCTGCGTAGACGGTCAGTGTCTCGCTTCAAGGCTTGTATTCAAGCGGTTTCATTTGGTAACTGCCACATACTTGGCTGTGTTATTCAACTACTGTAGCTTTCGAGAACTTACGGTACCTGTCTAGGTGGCATCCATTTGCAGTTTCCAGTTATTGCAGTAGCCCCTTGTCAATGCATATTCTTCCATGCAGTGCATCTTCACCTGTGCAATGTGTACTCATGTATTGCTCTAATACTGCATATCCTATTGTATCGGACAGTTTCAGTGGCATACTCTGCTTAGATGCCCTAGTGTGGGTGCATGGGGTTGAAAAGAATAGTGTACTATGGCTCAAATACCGGAGTAAACATGTCAGCATTGAGCCAGCGATGGGCAGGCTAACAAGTTGTCAGTAGTTATCAGCACAAGGATATACCGTATAAGGAAAACAAAGCTAAAACCCTCTTTCATACAGATTGCATGTATACATCACTCACACACCAGCAGAAAATTCTACAAGAGACCTCACATTGCATCTCATCTATCATGAGGTCTCTCCCTCCAGCAAAAGGAACTAATCTGCGTCTAGTTCGGTGTAAGCAGCAGCGGTTCCAACAGCATTTGGCTGTAGAGCATGTCCATCCACGAATCGGGCAGCCCTGGAAGACACCAGTGCGTACAGTCGCCCTTATCGGGTGTCTTGAACGCTGCCGAAACGTCCGGCTGGATTTGATTCCACATGCCGAGATGAGCATCTGGCCTCGTCTCACTCATCCTCGTTACACGCACAAAGCGGAACACGGACCCACGCAGAGCGTTCTTCTGAGACTTGTAATAATCCTCAGCTACAGTCAGGTTATTGTATTCATCCATCGCCTCGTCCCACTCCATCGGTCTTGTCGCGCCGCATGAACCCTCACCAGGGTCAGTAGGATCAACTGGGCCGTGCTTGGGCGAAAAGCTCAGGAAATAGGGCATCCCGGGGTATTCAATTCGCGTGAGGTAATTCGCCCAGGATTTCACGGCGTACCACTGAGCGTTGACGTTGGTGATGTTCGCGGGAGCGCCTTGAATGTAATACTGGTCGGGCTGCTTCGGGCTGCCCGGAAAGTTTTGCGACCACCACACACCAGTCGAAAACAACACCACATCGTAATACGAAACGAGGTACTGAACGACGGGATCGATTGTCGTGATGTTAACCTTGTAACCAGGTGTGCCCGTCTGGTTGGCGATGGGCTTTCGCCTCTCAGCTTGCGTGAGGTAGGGCGAGAAGTAGAAGTGCAGAGAAAAGTCGATCGTCGGGAAATCAACGCCTCTCAAACCCTTGGGCGCGCTGTCATCGTCGAACGGCTGTGATGAAAATAGGGGTGAGGGATGGATGGCGGAAAAGGAGGCTGAGAACATGAGCCGGAGAGCAGTTCGAAACGAAGGTGGCCATAAATGTTTCATTCAAGACGCTCGAGCCAACTGTTTTGAAATGTAAATGCATAGTAACTCCAGTATCGCTAGTTCTCCGTTCATTGTATCCTTGCACACTCACGCGACCTTTCAACTTCCTCCGCCCTCACCTTTCCCTTGTTGTCGGCCGAGCTGATGAGACAGAGCAGCGACTGGTACGCGTTGTTCGTTATGGAGTCTCCCACCATAAGCATCCTCTGAAATTGTCCAAATTACACACAAAATGAGGGTCAGAGAGCGATCGCATGCGCGATTAATATTGGACGGAAAACGTCCCACACAAATGAAAACGCACAGGCTTTCACTGCCGTAAGTTCTGGAATACCGTAACACACGCACCTTGCCCTTCATGAGGAACCCCCAATCCTCCGCGGTAACATAACTAAGATCGCACTTCTCCGGCTGCCAGCGCAGCTGGTGGTAGAGCTGGTCGGGCCGATTGTTGGTTTCGCAGTTGAAGCCGCTGCGAATGTACTTGCAGTAGTTGGGCTCCCAACCTATTCCCGAGTATCGCTTCGGCTGATTCACCGCCTTCACCCATTTGCCCACCGAGTAGTCGCACTTCGCTGCGCAGGGAAACCGACGGGGAGATAAAGAAGAGGAATGTACTGTTAGGTACGGTTCCCTCGTTTTCGATGTCTAGGAATAGCTTCGTTGGTCTTCCTGGTTTGTGCACACGGGTGGAATTAAAGTATGCAATCGAGCGATGCTTTCGGTTTACCAGGACGAGGTTCGGGTGCGGGATCCGCGAAGGCTTGTAGCGCGAACAGGAGAGCGAAGGCAGCTGCTAATAGTGCTATTTTGGGCGCCGCCATAACTGCGATATCAAAGAGCGGGGCTTGAGTTCAGCAACAACTAACTTCGACGGCAGCCAGCTATGGCGATAGATGGAAAACTATGGAGGTGCTAATTTGATTCGAGAAGCTCGTCCTGAGAGAAGTGCGAAGGATGTAAGAGGAGTTTCTGAGTCGAGTGATAGAAATCTCAAAACGGGGAATGCTCGATTGTTGGAGAAAATGGTCGAACTGAAGCTTCCTCAACCACCACTGATTGTCTCTGGAAACGCAATTGAAGATTGGTGGTGGTGGTGATGCGGTGGTCTGGTTGAGGTGGTCTCTCCCACTCAGCAATGTCCCTCAACTCCGCCTCGCAGCAAAATTGCAAATGTTGCAATCGCCCCCAATAATGCCTGCATTCAAGGACCGCTAGCAAATCCAAGCCGCTGAACCTACAATAACGAAATTGTCGACCGACAACCCAATAGCGAGCGCGGTTCGTGAGATGTCGAGTCGTCGGATTGGTTTACGACCAGAATGGAGGTGCCGAAGCATGTGTAACAGCTCGTGAGATACTTCGATGAATTCGCTGGGCCCTGGAACCCTTGACTGAATGCGATTCCGAAAGGCATGGCCCAGGGCGGTTCGGGCTACTTGCCACTAAGCAGCAGCATGCGCCAGCAGTGACTGCTGCTCACGAACCGAACCAATCAAACGACGACGAGATTGGCTTCGGACAGACTTCGCGGTGTACAGACCTCGTTACCTTCACATTCCTTCGCAAATGCGGAAACCTTGGAAATAGTTTGCTGTTATCATCGTCCTTGTAGCTACACCAGTTCAGGAGTAGTTCATGCTGCTTTCCAAAAAATATTACCGTGATTGTGCTCAAGACAGATATATAGGTAAAACCCAAGCCAACACAGAGAACATTCAGTGGAGGAAAATAAAAGCAAGTTCATTTGAAAACCAAAGGTAATTGTATTTGTCAAATACAGCTACATTTTTCATCAAATGGTACTCAAATAGACAAACGGTGACTCGATAGGGTGTCAAATGCCCATTCAGCTCCCGCAGGCGGCTCTTACCAACAGCCAGGGCTCTTGCTAACTTTTTGGGCCGTCTGAAAAAAAAAATAAAAAAAAAATTATTTTGGTCTGACCCTCATATGAGAGATCTTGGGTTATCTGATATTCAGATGAAATTTTGAAGGCTGCTTGACAAAGCCTATGTTGGATAATATACACTACTGTTGGATAACGTTGTCGTAAACGTAGCGTAGTTGTTTCATGTGGAACACGCGTGGCAGTGTCCTTGACCCTGCACGGGGTGACGGGAATAATGTGTTTACTTCGTACATCAGAAGGATTCATCCTCACTATCGAAAAAACTCATACGAAATATAACTAGTAGTCTGAAAAAACATACTAATATAAAAGCCTTGTCTTACCAATCATATGAGCCAATTCGTATAGTCTGAGAAAACATATGAACAAAAAAAAATGGGCCTGAAATCTAGACCAACAGACTAAATTAGTCTGATAATGAGAGCCCTGCCAACAGCCCTGCTGCAGTACGGTCGGCTTTGGTGTACAACAGTATAATACTAGTTCTCCCCAACCAATTATTCTGACTGTTCATTGCAGTTTGCTGGGCGAAAAAGGGTAAGCCCAATCTACAATCGGAAGTCACTCATGACATAAAACAGTTTAGGATGCAATGGAATGATCACTGATACTGTACGTCATCATCAACACCAGAAGATTAGAAGCGAAACTCGCTAAAAACATTTACAAACCTAGCTAAAATCTGGGTGTTCTTCACCCGGCAGAGGAGCAAACCCATCCTTGATCCCTTGCAGAATGCCGGTAACTTCGCCCAAGTCAACCTGAACCTGGCTCTCATAGTCCCCCTTGCCGAATGTCAGATAATACCGCAGCTCGCATGCGTACGCCAAGTGGTGGTAGCACGCGTTCTCGTATTTATCGGGGCGAATCTCGAGCACTGTAGCGTTGGCAGGCATGAAGACCATGTTGGCCATGGCCGCCCCGTGACCTGCCACGAAGAGGCGAGCTCTTCGGAACAAATTGCGGGCTGACAGAAAGGGGAGGAAAAGGGGATGGGGAGAAAAGCAGTGACGAAGAACGAGGAGGGAGGGGGGTACACTGTGAGGAAGGGAGACAGCTGGCACGAAGACCATGTTGGCCATGGCTGCCCCGTGCGCCGCTACAAAGAGGCGAGCCCTTCGGAAGAGATTCCGTGCTGGAGGAAAGGGTAGGGTAGGGTAGGGTAGGGTAGGGTAGGGTAGGGTAGGGTAGGGTAGGGTAGGGTAGGGTAGGGTAGGGTAGGGTAGGGTAGGGTAGGGTAGGGTAGGGTAGGGTAGGGTAGGGTAGGGTAGGGTAGGGTAGGGTAGGGTAGGGTTGGATAGGGTAGGGTAGGGTAGGGTAGGGTAGGGTAGGGTAGGGTAGGGTAGGGTAGGGTAGGGTAGGGTAGGGTAGGGTAGGGTAGGGTAGGGTAGGGTAGGGTAGGGTAGGGTAGGGTAGGGTAGGGTAGGGTAGGGTAGGGTTGGAGGAGTGAGGCAAGTGGGGGCGGGTGGGAGGAAATGGGTTGGAAAGGTATATTGCAAGGGAGAGAAAGAGGTAGAGAGGGGTGTAGAATGCGAGGAGTCAAGTTGGCTGGTATGAAGACCATGTTGCCCATGGCTGCCCCGTGGGCTGCGACGAAGAGGCGAGCCCTTGGGAAGAGATTCCGTGCTGGAGTGCTGGAGCAAGGAAGGAGAGGTGGAAAGAAGAGGAGTGGTGAGGAGAGAAGGGGGGGGGGGGGGGGGGGGAATCTGTGAGGGAAGCAGTTGGCTAGCATGAAGACCATAATGGCCATGGCTGCCAGACAGGAGACGACGTTTGAGGCGCCTCAAAAGGTATGCAGACCACGTTGGCCAAGGCTGCCCTGCCCCGTGTGGGCCCCCACAAAGAGAGGAGCCCTTTGGCCCCCGTGTGGATCATTTTGCCCAGTATTGGGGCGAGGTGGGGCAGAGAGGTGGGTGGGTGAGAGGGGGGGAGGGGAGAGGTCTGACAAATATCCCCTTTATAGCCTCCAGCAGCTCGTCAAACTTCGCCAGAGCCTCCCCCCCCTCTTTGCTCCCAGGCAGCACACTCGCTCGCACTCACCCTGAAGGATGGGCAGCGACCCATCAAACACTTGCACGCGCGTGTGCCCGAATATCCTCTTTATAGCCTCCAGCAGCTCGTCAAACTTCGCCAGAGCCCTCTTGACGCCCGGGCGGCGGGCGACCACGACGAGCCAATCAGGAGGCACCACGGAGGCGTTTTTGGAATCGAGGGCGGTGACGTGGCGCACGTCCCATTGGTTGTTGCGGAAGACCGGGAGGCCTTTGGGCGGCAGGAGGAAGCGGTGGCGAATGTCGGTCCAGATGGACGGGCTGGCCTTGCCACAGGCTTGGTACAACGGCTGAAAGCATGGAAGGGTGGGTTGGAAGAAGCAGGGTGGGGAAGGAGAATGCAGCAGGATGGAAGCGTGGGTTGGTCTTCTGATGATGCAGCCGGAAGCGGTGGCGAATGTCCGTCCACATTGATGGGCTGGCTTTGCCGCATGCTTGGTACAATGGCTGAGTAGGGAAGCGTGGAAATGGGTGGGATGACACAGGAGAAGGCACAGGTTGGTTTATTAGTGTTGATTCAGGAGGAAGCAGTGGTGACTGTTGGTCCAGATGAACGGGCCGGCCCGCATTGCCGCATACTTGGTACAATGGCTGAAGTGGGAACGGCGGAATGGGGTGGGGACAGAAAAACGGTTGAGTCCAGAGGTGTGTTGATGATAAAGTGTGTCAGGTGGAAGAAGTCACCACACCAGGCGACCACTCACCACACATCGCCACCACTCACCACACATCGCCACCACTCACCACATTAACCTCCTCTACAAAGTAGATCTCTCCTTCACTCACCAAGCATCACCACCACTCACCACACATCACCACCACTCACCACATAAACCTCCTCCACAAAGTACCATCTCTCCATCACTGATATTCACAAGAGCAGTCTTTGAAGGGCCCTTTCCCAACAGCGGCTGTGCGACATGCTCGTAGGAATCATCACACCTCACCACCACTCACCACACCTGGTCATCACTCACCACATAAACCTCCTCTGCAAAGTACATCTCTCCATCGCTGATGTTCAGAAGAGTGCTCTTTGAAAGGTCCTTGCCCAGTAGCGGCTGTGCCACGTTCTCATAAAAATCCCACTGCAGGGGAAGAGACGGGGATAAAGGGGTGGTTGGTTGGGGGAAGAGAAGGAGAAGGAGAAGGGGAGGGGAGGAAAGGAGCTGGTTGGCTGTGGAAGGGATTTGAGAGGTCCTTTCCAACCACAGCAGCGGTGCGACGTGCTGGTTTACGAATATCCCACGGCAATTCGGTGGTTGGGGAGAAAGACGGGATTGATGGGGGGATGAGAGAGACTAGGTGCAAGGACTTTTGAGACGTCTCAAAAGACTAGGTGCAAGGATCTTGGAGAGGTCCTTCCCGCCTAGCGGCTTTGTGACATGCTGGGAAAACTCCCACTGCAGGGTGTTTGGCAAGGAGAATCCTAGACAATGAAGGGGGATGAAGGAGTGGTTTGGTTGGTCGAGAAGTACCACTCACCCAACCAACGTGAGCGATCAGCAGGAGCGGGAGCAGCGGAACCATACCATGCCTTGAAATGCAAGCCCCACCCACCCACCACTCACCTGGCCAGCGTGAGCGAGCAGTGGGAGCGTGGGGGCGGTGTGGAGGGTGGAGGCGAGGAGGAGGAGCTGGGGCGTCCACTCGATGAGCCCGTGGTAGAAGGAGGAGGCCTGCCGGTACACGAGGTTCACCACCCTCTTGATCCGCTTTATCTTCGTTCCTTTCTTGTACTCAAACTGCAAAAGAGGAGTGTTGGGAGCAGTGTGGTGTGGGGATGGCATGAAAGGGTCCACTCAATGAGCCCGTGGTAGAAGGAGGAGGCCTGCCGGTACACGAGGTTCACCACCCTCTTGATCCGCTTTATCTTCGTTCCTTTCTTGTACTCAAACTGCGGCCAATAGGCAGTGGGAGGAACAGGAGGAGAGAAGTCTTCAGGCGTCTCCTTTTGAGTCGACTCAAAAGCGGATAGAAGTCTTTAAGCGTCTCAAAAATAGAGAAAGGGACGAGGGGACGATCGTGTCACCATGTGTCAGTTGAGTAAAACGAAGAGGAGAAAAGGAAGCAGGATTATTTTGAGAATTCTCAAAAAACATACGCTTCAAATTTTTTTTTGGGGGGGAATTCTTAAAAAACATACTCTTTTTTTTTTTTTTTTTTTTTTTTTTTTAGAATTCTCGAAAAACATGTGTCATTTGAGTAAAAAGAAGTGGAGAAAAGGAAGCAGGATTCTCCCACGCAGATGCTAAATTTGAAAAGATTTGGGGGAAGGACTGACTTTGAGATACATGGCGCACATTGTCTCTAATCCACTGCATCTCACCTGACTTCAATGATCCGCACGCACGGCATCGCGCCTCACCTTTAAATAATTGTACCTCACCGCATTCCACCGCACCACATTGCACCTCACCTTTAAACCATAGCACCTCACCGCATCCCACCGCACCGCACCTCTCTGTCCCAGTTGCAGCCCTCGCGGTGGAAGTGCGTTGTCTTGTTGAACATGAGCCCCTGACGCCTCGATGATTGTCACTACATCCTATCCACATAACATCACTGAACCGCATCACACCGCATCACTCCGCATCAGAGCGCATCCCACCTCAGCGCCCGCACGCACCTCGCTGTCCCAGTTGCAGCCCTCGCGGTGGAAGTGCGTCGTCTTGTTGAACATGAGCCCCTCGTCGTTGATGTACACGTTGCGCAGCTTGTACACCTGTTCAGGGAGGTGCAGTGCAGTGGAGCACAGTGCAGTATGGTGCAGATGGGGGAAGAGAGATGACTTGTGCATGCAACATAATCACCAATCTGAACATGAGCCCCTCGTCGTTGATGTACACGTTGCGCGGCTTGTACACCTGGTGGGGGAGGTGCAGTGCGGTGCAGAGCAGTGGAGCATTGTGCAGTGCGGTGCAGCACAGTGCAGATGGGGGAACAGGCGTTCATCACAGTCACCCAATCTGATCATGAGCCCTTAACCGTTGATGTACATGTCGCACAGCTTGTACACCTGGTGTGGGTGGTGGCGATGGTGGCGACTGATAGAGTGAAGGACCTTGCACCACCTGACACCACCTAGCACCACCTGACACCACCTGACACCACCTGACACCACCTGAGAGAAGACACACACGCACCTGGAAGATCTGCCACTCGAACCAAAAGAAGTCGGCAGTATGGGTACAGCTCTCGTTCCTCCCCTCGGGCCCCATGTGCGATCGGTCCTCCTTCGGGCAATTCACCGGCACGGGCGGCTTTGGAAACCCCTCGTCCCTCCATCCTGTCGCCGGCGTGCAAGCAGACGCATCCGGCCGTATGTCGCAGCTGCCCGAGAAATCCGGGCAGGAGTTGCCCGGGCACTCGAGGGAAAGCATGTTTGGGGAGTGAGTCGAGCCCATGTTCAGGTGCAGATTGTCCATTTCTGCCCGGATAAAATCTTCGGGCAGCGTCCCTTCCTTGACCGAACCCTCGTCTATAGGAGTGACAAACCCCATCTCTCTCGCGTTCTTCCCTCCTCCCTCCGCCAATCTCTCCACCCACTCCTTCCCCTCTTCCAATAGCGGATCCTCCTCCTGCTCCCGAACCCTCCTCAACGTGTAATCCGAAATATTTTTCAGCACGGGCAGCACGTCGGGCAGGTGAAACTCAAGCGGGGTGTCCTTGGTGCCGTTCCCGAAAACTAAAAAGTATTTCTGCTGTGAGGCGGAGGCGAGGTGGTGATAGCAGGCGTTGAGGTATTCCCGAGGACGGATCTCAAGCACACAGGAGGCGGAGGGCATGAAGACCAGGTTGGCCATGGCTGCCCCGTGCGATGCGATGTACACCGCCGCTCTGTTGAACAGCGCCCTGGCTGGGGTGGGGAGGAGGGGCGGGGACAGTCAGGCAGACACAAAGAGTGTTTGAGGCCTGGAAGGTGGTTTGGTTGGGAAAGGGATTGAGGAAGCGGACATAAGGCACGGTGATGGCAGCCTGGGTGGTGGTAGCAGGCGTTGAGTTGAGGTATTCCCGAGGGCGGATCTCAAGCACACAGGAGGCGGAGGGCATGAAGACTAGGTTGGCCATGGCTGCCCCATGCGATGCTATGTACACCGCTGCCCTGTTGAACAGAGCTCTGGCTGGGAGTGGGGTGCCTCATTCGAGGGAGGAAATAGGGAAAGAAAGGGGGGGAGGAGCAGATTGGCCATGGCTGCTCAGTGTGATGCTATGTACACCGCTGCCCGGTTAAAGAGTGCCCTGGCTGGAAGGGAGGAGAGGGTGTGAAAGGGGCAGGGGCAGAAGCAGGAGTTGTGATGGGACAGGGCGGGAAAGTGGGAGGGTGGGCACTGAAACCGCACTGAAACCAGTCTACACCCCACTGGACCGCACTGGACCATGCGTAGGACATACCTTCCAGAATGGGTATAGAGCCGTTGAACACAACCACCCTCTCCTTCCCAAACATCCCCTCCACTGCTTCCAGCAGCCCTTCAAACCCCACCATCTTCCTTCCCTTCCCCATCATCAGCAACCCACCTTCCAGTATGGGCAGAGAGCCGTTGAACACAACCACCCTCTCCTTCCCAAACATCCCCTCCACTGCTTCCAGCAGCCCTTCAAACCCCACCATCTTGCATTCTTCATGTGTTATGTTTTCCATTAAAAAACCCACCTTCCAGGATGGGTATCGACCCGTTAAAGACGACAACCCTCTCCTTCCCAAACATCCCTTCCACTGCTTCCAGCAGCCCTTCAAACCCCACCATCTTCCTTGTGTTCCCCGGCCGCCTCGCCATCACCACCACCCAGTCTGCTGGCAGCACAGCAGCGCGCGCGTCGGACCACGGGCCGGGGGAGTGGGCGCGCAGGCGCCAGGGGGAGGAGAAGAGAGGGAGACCGTCCGGGGGGAGGAGGTAGTTGAGACGCAGATGGCGCCACAGGCTGGGGCTGGGCTTGCCACAACCTTGATACACGGGCTGTAGTGGAGGAGAGGGAGAGGGGCGATAAGGAAGGAAGGAAGGTGAGAATGCAGGCAGTGCTCATGCCACAGGCATCAAGCAGTTGAGGCATCAAGTCAAAGCTGGGCATGCAGCAGAGCACAGCAGCACAGCAGCGCGCGCGTCGGACCATGGCCCGGGAGAGTGGGCGCGGAGGCGCCAGGGGGAGGAGAAGAGGGGGAGGCCGTCGGGGGGGAGGAGGTAGTTGAGACGCAGGTGGCGCCACAGGCTGGGGCTGGGCTTGCCACACCCTTGGTACACAGGCTGTGGAGGGCGGGGAGGGGTGGGGGATGGGTGTTGTGGGTGTCATGAAAAGAAGGGAAGGAATTCATGCGACAATCCACAAGCCAGGGCTGGGCTTGGCGAAGCCTTGTACAAGGTGAATTTAGAGTTGACTCAAAAGCACCTGATAGACAAGACAACATCAGCTTGAATGCGCTTGGAGCAGTGCGTATCCTCCACGCTGATGAGGCTCATCTGACATACAGTGATACTGTACGAGGTGAATGTGACCAACACCACACAGCACCACACAGCACCACACAGCACCGCACAGCACCCACCTGATAGACGAAGTCGGCGTGGATGAGCTTAGAGCGGTGTGTGTCCTCCACCACTATCAGGTTCATCTGAGTCGTCCTGATAAACAGCTCAGCACTGCACCGCACCACACACGACAGTACCGCACAGTACCTGATAGACGACGTCGGCGTGTATGAGCTTGGAGCGGTGTGTGTCCTCCACCACTATGAGGTTCATCTGTGTCGTCTCCAGACCCACCAGGTGCTTCACCATCTCGTTGTAGAAGGCCAGCTTGTAACGAGTACAGCCAGGGCAGGGCAGGCAGGCAGGAGAGGCAGAGGCAAGCAGAGAGAAGAATAGAGATATTTGAGAATGATGAACCGCAGAGCTGTATTGTTAGGCAAGTAAGAGTGGTGCGCAGGGTTCGTAGAAGGCTTGCAAATGCGATCATGCTAGCGGCTAGCGGGTCCCATTATTGAGGCGCCTTAATCAATCGACAAAAGATGCAGCGGGGGGAGAGCAAGTGCGCCCCCACCGTGCTCTGTGTGTGTGTGTGGGTGTGTGTGTGTGTGTGTGTGTGTGTGTGTGTGTGCGCACACGCGCGCGCGCATTTTGCCTCCCTATCACCTTTAGGAAATCTCGAAAGTATCACGGTCTTGTTTGAAGATGAAGCTCGTAACGCAAGTTCCTACCTGGCTGCGGCGGAAGAGGATGGGGATGTCTGGGTTGGCTCGCAGCAGGTCAGCGAGCATGAGGAACTGGGGGAAGAACTCCACGAGTGAGTGGTAGAAGGCGACCGCGTGGTTGTATGCGAGGGACACCACCCGGTGCAGCTTCATCACCTGGGATTCCCCCGCCTTGTAGTCAAACTGGCGGAGGGGTTGGGTGGGGGTGGGGAAGAAGCAGGGCTGTGGCTCCAAGCAAGCAGGTGAGCGAGCATACATGAGGAACTGGGGGGAGAACTCCACGAGCGAGTGATAGAATGCCACTGCATGGTTGTATGCAAGGGATACCACCCGGTGCAGCTTCATCACCTGGGATTCCCCCGCCTTGTAGTCAAACTGGTGAAAGTGGGAGCCGGGTTGTGGTGGGGAAAGAGTGAAGGCAGCAGGTGGGAGGGAGGGTGAGGGCCACAACCCAAGCTCCTCCCGTGCACCATATCCCCCCTACAAAATCCCCGATTTCCCCCCTATATTCCCCCATTTACACCCCCCTCCCCATTCTCTCCCCATGCACCCCCATATGGCATATACCCCCATTCACTCAACATTTTTTCCGCTATATCCCCCCATTTGCCACCACTACCCCATCCCTTAACGCACCTCCAGGTCTCGGAAGCACCCGTGGCGGTCGAAGTGCAGGGAGCGGTTGAAGAGAAGCCCATTCACGTTGATGAACATGGAGCGCAGCTCAAACAGCTGAAACACCATCGCATCGTGCCAGTGGTGGTCCGTCTTGTGCGTGCATCGAGGATCCGCCCCTAGCTCCCCGGACTCATTTGCGTGCGACAGTTTCGGGCAGTTTTCCGGCTGGTCCGGGCGGTAGTATATTTCGTCGGCAAATTCCGGGCAGAAGCAGGCTCGCACGGTCGGGAAGGAATCCCCGCAGGAACCGAAGTTCGGGCAGGTTTCGCCCATGCAGCGAAGTTTCACTTGCCCGGGGTAGATTGTTTTGTGGTAGTTGAGAAATGTGTCGTTCAAGTCGGAGCGTTTTATGCTCTTTTCGAGTGGTACTGTAGCGAGTATTCCCTCTCGAGCTGATGTTACAGAGGCCACGCTGCAGAGAGTGGGAAAAAGGAAGGAGGGAGAAGGGAGAAGGGGAGAGGGGCGAGGGGGAAGAGCGAAGGACGGCCGGCCATGGGGAGAGGGCAAGAGAAAGGGCGGCAGGGAGTAGGGAGAAAGGTTGATACAGGCGAGAAGCCGATGAAGGCCCAAAAAGCCGAAACGCGCGTTCGATTTCTGAACCTCTTGTAATCTGCCTTTAATACACTGCGTTTACCTACACGTGTCTCGCTTAGTACTTAGTGATTTTTACTACTCAAGATTAGTTAGGTCGGTCGAACCGAGCTTGCAGCTTTCTACCCGTTTTTCTAGTTTGAGAGAAAGGGGGGCAGGGAGCAGGGAGTAGGGAGTCCAATCGAACCATTGTAACGAGGTGACTTTTGAGTCGACTCAAAAGGGAGTAGGGAGAAAGGTTGATACAGGCGAGAGGGGAAGGAAGGGCCGTACAACAGCCTACAGGCGAGAAAATAATGGTAGAACAGCAAGCAAGCAGAGGCTCTGAGCTGAGCCAAACCTGCTGACATCCACTGCACATACACTACACTACACCCCACCCACTTCAGTTCAGCAGAGCAGAAAACATTTTTTAGGATTCTTCAAAAAGGGAATACAATCTCTACTACTACAGCCTCCCCGAGTAGAAAGTGAATTTTTGAGAGGACTCATAAATCCACTTTCTACACATGGAATACATTCTCTACTACTCTACTACCACCACCTCGACTCACTTCCGCCCATGACTCAAACCGAATGCCCCTTTCCCGGTGCAATGCCATTCCATCCTTGCCACTGCACACTCCGCCTTCCACCGCAGCCCACCCACTCCCACCGCAGCCCTCTCACCTGCTGCCTGCTGCCATGCGCTTGGCAATGATCGCCTCTGCCTGCTCCACCTGCTGCAGTAATGCCTGCGCCATAATCATGGCTCTGAGAGAGGGAAGGAAGGGAACAATGGGCAGTAACACCTGATGAGCTGTGTGTGTATATTCACCGTGAAGGGCAATGATAGCCTCCGCCTGCTCCACCTGCTGCAGTAATGCCTGCGCCATGACTATGGCTCTGGGAGTAGAGTCGGGAGGGAACAATGAAGGAGCATATGAGATGAGACCTCTTGCATCTCAAAACGCTGCTCCACCCCAAAGGGCAATCAGTGTCTCTGCGTGCTCCTCCTGCTGCAGTCATACCTGCGCCAGCAGGCAGGATGACGCTGGGAGAGGAAGGGAAGGGAAGGGAAGGGAAGGGAAGGGAAGGGAAGGGAAGGGAAGGGAAGGGAAGGGAAGGGAAGGGAAGGGAAGGGAAGGGAAGGGAAGGGAAGGGAACAACAAACGTGCTCTCCCAGCGTCATCCTGCAAGGAAGTGAGTTCAGTTTTTGGTGCTTGCTTGCATCTTTGCATCGGGATACAGAATTTCGAGCGACATGTCGTCTGTCAAAATGATTGTGCTTTGACGCTTGGCATTAAGAAAAAGCAGGGGAAGCGGAGGAAGAGGAAAGGGGGGAGGCGGAGGAGGAGGAGGAGGAGGAGGAGGAGGAGGAGGAGGAGGAGGAGGAGGAGGAGGAGGAGGAGGAGGAGGAGGAGGAGGAGGAGGAGGAGGAGAGTTCTGAGAAAAGAGGGAAACCAGCAAAGGGGAAACGAGATAAGTGGCTCATTGGGCTGAGAGGGTGGCGTAGGGCTGGGATGCGAGGGTGGCGTAGGGCTGGGCTGGGATGCCATGGCCTGGACCATTCACAAGTTCCGCTCCATGACCTTCAGCTGCCTCCTCAAAAGCCGTCTCTCGAAAATCAACTTATCAGAATGACAGGGAGGGAAGCGCTCGGCTGGAAAACCATGACCTCCGGGAAGCGCTCGGCTGGAAAACCATGACCTGTGGGAAGCGCTCGGCTGGAAAACCATGACCTCCCAGAGACGCTCGGCTGGAAAACCATGACCTCTGGGAAGCGCTCGGCTGGAAAACCATGACCTCCGGGAGGCGCTCGGCTGGAAAACCATGACCTCCCAGAGGCGCTCGGCTGGAAAACCATGACCTCTGGGAGGCGCTCGGCTGGAAAACCATGACCTCCCAGAGGCGCTCGGCTGGAAAACCATGACCTCTGGGAAGCGCTCGGCTGGAAAACCATGACCTCTGGGAGGGGCTCGGCTGGAAAACCATGACCTCTGGGAGGCGCTCGGCTGGAAAACCATGACCTCTGGGAGGCGCTCGGCTGGAAAACCATGACCTCTGGGAAGCGCTCGGCTGGAAAACCATGACCTCTGGGAAGCGCTCGGCTGGAAAACCATGACCTCCCAGAGGCGCTCGGCTGGAAAACCATGACCTCTGGGAGGCGTTCGGCTGGAAAACCATGACCTCTGGGAAGCGCTCGGCTGGAAAAACATGACCTCTGGGAGGCGCTCGGCTGGAAAACCATGACCTCTGGGAGGCGCTCGGCTGGAAAACCATGACCTCCCAGAGGCGCTCGGCTGGAAAACCATGACCTCTGGGAAGCGCTCGGCTGGAAAACCATGACCTCTGGGAGGCGCTCGGCTGGAAAACCATGACCTCTGGGAGGCGCTCGGCTGGAAAACCATGACCTCTGGGAGGCGCTCGGCTGGAAAACCATGACCTCTGGGAAGCGCTCGGCTGGAAAACCATGACCTCTGGGAAGCGCTCGGCTGGAAAACCATGACCTCCCAGAGGCGCTCGGCTGGAAAACCATGACCTCTGGGAGGCGTTCGGCTGGAAAACCATGACCTCTGGGAGGCGCTCGGCTGGAAAACCATGACCTCTGGGAGGCGCTCGGCTGTAAAACCATGACCTCCCAGAGGCGCTCGGCTGAAAAACCATGACCTCCGGGAGGCGCTCGGCTGGAAAACCATGACCTCTGGGAGGCGCTCGGCTGGAAAACCATGACCTCTGGGAGGCGCTCGGCTGGAAAACCATGACCTCTCCTCCCCTCCACCACCACCACCAGCTGGCTTTCCCTTCACACACATCTCGAGGCTCGAGGCCCCGCATGCCTCTTCACCCCCTTCTCCACTAGCTAGCTGGCTTTTGAGTCACCCAGTCTCAAAAGGAATCTCAAAGCTGGACTCTCCGCTACGACAGGGTGGCGTTGGCCTGGGCGGCCATGGCTTGCACCATCTCCTCTCCACGCTCTTCTCCACCTCGACTGGCTGCCTCTATAGTAGTCTCACTCACAAATCCCCCAAAAGACAAGACTCACCGCTCCGACAGGGTGGCGTTGGCCTGGGCGGCCATGGCTTCTACCAGCCCAACACTCCTCTCCACCTCGTCCACTAGATCCGCCTCCGCTCCCTCTGCTATTGCCATCCTGTCACAACGTGGATTCCGTGGAACAAGGAGGGGAGAAAGGAGGGGGAGCAGGAGGGGGAGCAGGAGGGGGAGCAGGAGGAGGCGAAAGGGGTAAGATTCAATGATCTTCAATGTAACCACCCCACCACCCCCACGCTCCTCTCCACCTCGTCCACTAAATCTGCCTCCGCTCCCTCCGCTATGGCCAACCTGGGACGAGTGAGACCAAAGGAGTGGGAGTCGGTTACGTATGCTCTTAATGCTCTCCTCCTCACCACCATCCATCATAGCATTATTAACTCTACTCTCACCCCTCCCTTCCCCGTCACCCTCCCTTTGCTTCCCCCCCTCACTCACTCACCCTTTCTCCATCTGCTCGCTAATAGCATTCCCCATCTCCGTGAGTCGGTCCAGCAGTGCCGCATCTTCCGCGTCGGGCCCCTTGGGCACCACCTCCGCGCCCTCAATCATCTCCGGCACTATGATTGGCTCGTCGTCCGCTCCGGCAGCCGCTGCCACGTCAGAACCAGGAGAACAGAGCCACGTCAGTCAACCAGGTCATTGGAGGAATTTGAGCAAGGGTTGTACAGCCAAGACGGACCTTACATCACATGCTCACAGCACATATTACATATTACATATTACATGTAATATTGCATATTTTGAAGGTGTTTTTTGAGTGTCCTCTCAGAACAGAACACATATGATTCGCGCTGCAGCGCTGGTGGGGACTCCCTTAATTCTCCGTTTCACGACTTGATGTGAACCAAGATGGGTTAGGCAAATGCCAGCGCGCACACCCTACAAACGTCTGACAGAATCACTTATGAGACGTTGCAGCGCTACGATCTCCTAGACACGCTGCACTGCTAGCAAGGCCTTCCGGGTGATTCCCTTTTTACAATATGACGCGACGCGAACCAAGCTGGTTATCAGCAAATGCCAGTGCGCATTTCGAGACAATTCAACAGACGACTTTCGAGGCTTCTAATAAGGTAGATCAAGCTGGCTATCAACGAATGCCAGCCTCACGAACACGCAAACAATCAGTAATTGCTCTTACGCGCCAGACGAACGGCGACGATGCAGCACAGGAGAGCGAGTGGGACCGCGAAGAACCGCGCTGATCCCATCGCTGAAGGAGTTCCCGCACTACGGTATCAGGCTTCTAGACGGCTCAAACGCCGGCGTGACGTGGCGGCACTAACGGCCGACGGTCAGCAGCAGGCTATGCTCTTAAGGTGCCTAAAATGACGGTCATAAGCAGGGTATGCACGGCCGCGTCGTCATTAGAAGCATAAGGGCCTGGTATTGCGAATGCGGAAGTGTCGCACGCATGTCACGCGCTCAGTAATCCTGCTGATCAGAACTCCGTGCTCCGTGCTCATTTGTCCTCCTGACTGCTCTGGCTGGCAAGCATCACTTGCCGCTCCGACCATAACTGCGGGGATACCCGTTTCAGGAATTTCCAAGGTTAACCATGAGGAGCTTTGGCTGTGCAACGCAAATTAAATCAAAATGATGTGTAATAGAGCAAATATTTGTTCTTTAAACTAAGCAAAGCAGCTTGTTTCATCCTAAACATACACACGAATTATGTACAGTTACTATGGCCTATTTAGTCAAATATAAGCTCATCCGCGATAATGGCACCTCGAGAATGCATGAAATATAGACCCAAATGATGGGTGGCATCCTGTGGCGAAGGAATGCACGGCAATTTACAGAAGGAAAGAGACAAGGGCGTGCACTGTATTGGGATTGTGAAAGAAAGACAACACTACACTGAAACGCAGTCATTTTATATCAGACATGCATTGAAAAGAGGTTATGAGAATTAAGGATGAAAGAAACACTTGTAACAATTGAAAAAAGGTTATGAATGAATTAAGGCATTTGTAAAAATGGTTCATTGTCACTGTAGCATTGGCACTGTACCTGAGGATGTGATGCAGTGGCGCCCCTCCCAAGGCTCTCAGCAACAGGCCGGGGAAGGTTGTATGTGGAGCAGGCAGGAGCAACCACCACAATTTCTTTCAGCTGCTGCCCGAACAGCCCATGGTTTCGGGCAGACAGTGCAGTCAGCACAAAATCCATGACGCAAATGTCTGTACATATGCCAACCACAATAATCTGCAATGCAAGTAGGTGGGGGAGGATAAGGGCAAGATAATATGAGCCCATACTGAGTCTATTTTTGAGTCGATTAAAAAATAGTCCAAGGAATCAACATTGTAGGCGGGAGTGGAAAGGCTGGAACAAGAGAAGAGATTAGGGCAAAAGCAGCAGAGGGGAGTGTGGAGGGAGAAGTGGGGAGGGGAAGGACGAGTGCAAGAATGAGGGGGAGAAAAGAAGTGTACATGTTCCAGTTCGTGCTCAATCGCCCATTGCGTCACAACATTTGTCCCATCTGCTTGTATGCCGCCCACAAACCCGTTGATACAGTCCTTCTCCATTAGAGTCACACTGCCTCTAGTCACACGCCCATCAGCGTCTGGAGCTGCTGCAGTGGTGTCACCTCCGCTGCTTGCTTCCCTCTCAAGCCACGCCAGGGCTGCAAGGGAGATATAGGCATGCAGGGCAATGGATTTTGAGGCGCCTCAAAATACACCTCAAAACCTGCCTCTGTTCACATCACCATCAGCATCTGCTGCTGCATGGTTTCTCCTCCGCTGCTTGCTTCCCTCTCAAGCCACGCCAGGGCTGCAAGGGACATACAGGCATGCAAGGAGCGAGACAGGCTAAGAACGATACTTGGTCCAGGATAGGAAATTCGAACTATGAGGTGCAATAAGAGACAAGGCTGCAAGCTGCATTGGGCATGCATGGGCTGACATCCCAGGAATAAGAAGGAGCTCGGCGGGCCGGTTGCGGGAAAGAGCAAGCAAGAAGGATAATTGCGACGACGAGACAACATATAATCACACATCATACAGTCGCTCACCCTCTGCCAGCTTCCCTTCCCCTGTGCCTCACATGCGGTGAGTGGGGTATGGAGCCTCTGGCCCGTCCGCTGAGTGGTCATCACATTACTCACCCTTCATACAATCACTCATCATAGTCGCCCCCCATACAGTTACTGGCGCTACAGTCACAACAACTCACTGTCTACCAGCTTCTCCTCCCCCGTGCCTCGCACACAGTGAGGGGGGTACGGTGGCTCTGGCTCCTCCGCTGAGGTAAACACCCATCACACTATACGAGACAGCGCTTCTTATAGTCACTCACCACACAGTGACTCTACTGTCACAACTCACCTTCCTACCAGCTTCTCCTCCCATGTGCCCCGTACGCAGTGAGGTGGATATGGTGGCTCTGGATTGTCGGGATACACCCCTAATACAGTCACTCGCTCTACAAGCACAACTCACCCTATACCAGCTTCTCCTCCCCCCTGCCTCAAACACAGTCGGGGGGGTTTGAATTGTCCAAGTTTCGATTAGTCACATCTGATAGTCACACGTACACAGTCACACACCCTGCATTCACTCACCCTCTACCAGCTTCTCCTCCCCTGTGCCTCGCACGCAGTGAGGGGGGTACGGCGGCTCTGGCTTGTCCGCCTCATGAGTGTCCAGAAAGGCCAGTACAGGCATGCCACGAGTCAGCATGTCACTGGCCAGCGAGGATGTACGAGACACCATGTTCTCTATCTGCTCGTCTCTCACTGGCGGGGCCTTTCGAAGAGATGGCGGGATGAGGCGTGATTGTGAAGGGGGAAGGATGGGGAGGGGAGTGGGATGTAAGGGGAAAGAAAGAGAGAGGGGATTGGGTGAGCGGGATAGCAGGGAGGCGGATGAGAGAGAGAGAGAGGGACAGAATGAGGGACAGAGTGTAACAAGGCATCAGACACGGAGCGGAAGGTACAATGTAAAGCAATGACACCTACCCAACTCCCTCAGCCTGTTCCTCCCCCCACTCACCAGATTCCCCCGCCTGGAGAGCAGAAGCCGTTGACCTCTACCAACCATAATCATTCTGCCTTTTTCCTCCGCATACTCACTAAGTTCCCCGCGCGGCTGCCTCTCCTTCCGCCTCTCCTTCCGCCTTTCCCTCCCCCGCTTACGAGATTCTTCGCGCCTGAAGTGCAGAAGCCTTTCACTTCATCCACGATCACCAATCCCACGCGCACATTTTGAGTCGACTCAGGATGACAACCCGTGCCTCCCCTTCCCGTTCCGCCCACTCACCAAATTCTTCCCGCCTATCCCTCCGCCAGCTTACCAAATTCCCCGCGCCGGGAGTGCAAAAGCCGTTGACCTCATCAACTATCACCAATCCCACGCGCGAATTTCGCGCGATGCGGAACTTCCCGGATTCTACGGGAAGGTGCTGACGTAGCGCTGACATCAGCATGGCTTCGTCAGGAACCGACATTCTGAGGAGTGATGGAAGGCAGCAGCGAAGGAAGGTGGAACACGCAAGTTACGATAATGCGTTCTTATACTACTAGACAGGATGGAACAATGCAAAGATGTTCAGTAGTCGATAGGTTTGTTTTCCAGCAAATTTGGACGCAGGGGAAGTGCTTGTCCCGGAATTGCACATTGGCTTCGTTGCGTCGCATCAATCTTTATTTCATACACTGGTAACAAGCGGTTCATTTCCAGTGGAACCTTGGCAATCGCTCGTTTTCGCGAATTTTTTTATTGCCGTCGCAAGCTTTTTCCCCCAGTCGCTAATCCGCGGTGCCTCCAAGCAACCTGTTGCGATGAAGCGGGAGGGTTACTACGGCGTGTAGCAGCGAAGAGCCGGACAACTACATTTGAAAGACACCACGTTCGATCGGAGGTACAACTGGTTCGCGAACGACCCTACAAAAATACACCCTTACAACTGGTCCAAAGCTGCTTGTCCTCTGATTATTTATACTGGTAGTTTCACACCGACATGCCATGTTAGTAGTTCCTCGGTTGACCTGGAACCCACCAAGAATTCAACATTTGAGCTCTGTTACGATACGCTCGCACGAAATTGGTTCGTCTTCCCCGCCAGTGCCTCCTAAAACCTTCTCAATTGCGAAATCGTCTCACGCGCCATGCGGCCAGTCTCTCTTGCCGAAATGAGTCGCCTGCTTGCCGTTTCACCGGGCGGTCGACTGCTCGGATTGGACGTAGGAACCGCGCTCGTAGGCGTAGCCGTGTCCGACGCAGCTAATCGAGTGGCATCGCCTCTGCCTGTCGCCAACAGGCGATGGCAGAGGAGGAAGGAACAAGGTGATGCCGGCGCCAGCAGCAGCAGCAATGGAGGGAGTGGGTTTGCGACTGATCACGGATCCGTAGGCGGCGGTGACAACGGAGATGTGGAGGAGGCAAGAAACGGGGATGGAGCTATTTTTGAGGAGAGTGGGAATCTTAATGCAGACAGCAGTGTGCAGAAAACATCTGCATTTTCTAGCCTGAGCCACAAAGGTTCCAGCGCTTCGAGCAGCACCGGCAACTATGGTAGACCGGCGAACACCCATCTTTCTTCAATGGCTCAAACCCTCAGAAACCGGCCCGTTTCACTGAGATTGCTTGACTCCATTGCTCGCTCTCGCTCCGTTGTTGGCATGGTTGTGGGGTTTCCCTTGGAGCTGTTTGGAGGGCGCTCCAGCATGACCCCTGTGATTCAGGACTTTCTGTCCGGGGACGTTGCCAGGCACTGCCCCTACCTCCACAGCGTCCAACACTTGCTGTGGGATGAGAGGCTTTCTACAGCATCGGCAACAGGGGTTCTTCAGGGGCTTGGGTTACACGCTGTGTTGGAGAAGCAGCTAACAGACAAGATCTCGGCTGTGTATATTTTGCAAGGTTGTCTGGATGCTATGGCCCATCAGCGGAGGGCAGATAACAATACGAAGTGAACCTTACTCTGGTCTGGTCTGGTGTATATACCATGGGTGCTAATAAAGTTGCAGCAACAATAGTACCTAACATGTAAATAGGCAAATGGCTGAGGGTCAAACCAGCTTGAACCTCGTGCCTTCCTGGCTACCTAGTACTCCTCCTCGCTGAAGTCTTGGAAATCATCCTCGCTCTCCTCCTCACTCTCGTCGCTGTCATCACTGAGCACCACTGCCGGCTTCTTCTGAGCCCCACGAGAGAGATGGGTACGACCTTCAGCTGCTGGCAGACCACTTTTCTTGCTGAAGGGGGATGGGCGCATTCTTTGCACCTTGCTCACAGGCTCCTTCACGGGGGACTTGATGTCCACGTCATCGAAGAACTCAAACTGATCACCAAGAGCTGGTTTCTCCACCTGCAAAATCACTATCATGAACCATCACATCAGCCAAGGTACAGAACAAACAGAAGAGCTGCCAGACACTAGCAACTGAAACAACAAACACCAACCTTCTCCTCCATTTTCTTGGCAGCAGGTCGTTTTGTTGCGGCCTTCTTGGAAGGTTCTTTCTTGGAAGCTGCAGGCTTCACTTCTGCTGTGGACTCTGAAAGGAGAACCAGGATGGGTACGTCAGCATGCAGGAATCGCATCTGGCTAGAGAATGGATAAGAAGGAGCTTTTACTAACCTCCTCCTGAAGGTTTTTCTTGCAGTGACATCTTCGCTGCCATGGCTGCAAGCCGCTCCCTGAGGCTTCCTCCGAAGTCCTCATCGCTGTCATAATCCTGGAAACATGCAGAGCAAGCAAGGGTTAGCTCAGCCCCGGCAACAGAGGGGGTGACATGCAGTTGTAGTATGATATGGGACTGCATATGAAATCAGAGCTACATGTGACATAGGGGTGCATGCGATATAGGGTGGTAAGGAATGTAGGGCTGAATGCGATACAGGGCTGCATCATACACGGCTAATGCAACACATGGTTGCATGCAAAACACGGCTGCACGTGATACAGAGACGAACAGAATATAGCAGAAACGTACAGATCCAGCCGTTGCTTTTGGCTTGGGGGCAGGTTTCGACTTGGGAGCAGGTTTGACCACCTCCAGTTTTGGTGCCTGAAAAAGGAGTATCACAAAAGCTGTCAGCAAACCTCACAATTGATGGTACTGGTATGCATAAATTTCTGGAAACATTTGAACGGATGCTCCCACTCACACAGGCCCTTGATCAACACACCTGAACAAGAGGCACAGATGCCTGTGGTTTTGTTGTAGCAGCCACTGCTGTCGGCTTTGCTGCAGCAGCAGCACCACCCTTTCCTCGTCTCACCTTGGCATCTGCAGGACAGAAATGTGAGGACGTCAGAATATGGATACTGCAAGTGATCAAGCCTGGCCGAGCTGGCTATCCATACCTTCCATGAAGTCATCATCTGAGTCCGAGATGAAATCCATTTCCTCATCACTGAAGATCTGAGCCTTCTTCTGTGCCTTTTTCGGCTTCGCGGCCACAGCCTTGGCAACACGACCCTTCCCCTTGCCAGGCTTGCCTGCCACCTCCTTGGCCTTCTCCTGAGCCGCCTCCTCCTCCGCAACCTGAAAAATGCAACATACACTGCTTTATGTTGGGAGCAAAGACGGCCAAGAACTGGTTCAGGAAAGTAACTGAACGAGATTCAACGTGCAGGATGATTTCAACGTACCTCAAGCTCCTCAAGGAACATGTCCAGGTCCCTCTCCCAGAGATCCTTGGGCTCCGTCTTCAACAGAGCATCGTGGTCGTCTTGATTCTTCTTCTGATCCCTCAGCAGCTCTTGAACCCTCTCCAGGGTTAAACTCCACAGTGGCATGCCAAGGAGATAGTCATAGCCACCGTCGCCCCCCTTCTTAGCCTTCGAGCCCCCTTCCTCTTCACCCGACTCCTCCCCCTCATCGTCACCCTCCTCGTCTGCGGCTGTGGATGAACCACCACTTGAGCTGGCCTTGCCTTTCGGCAAGGGTGCGAACTTCTTCTCCTGCAAGAGAGAATCAGAATAAGATCGTCATCTCCGCTCATCATAACTACATATTGCAGGAAAAGCTAACAATGGAGCAGCAAATCCTTACCTTGAGTTCAGCCAGAAGTTCCGCCTTCTTCCTGTTGCTGACAATGATCTCTCCACGCACAACTGCAAGGATGAACCTCACTCTGTTGTCCAGCTTGATGAGCTCATTTCGAAGTTGCTCCAGTTGAATATCCTGTAAATCGTGCATCAACAATACAACAGTCAGTTCAATAAACTCAAAGAGCATGCCTAAATAATGTGTAAAGCTGGACCAGATCTTAAAGTCAAACGTCCATTACCTTCCTCTTCCTGTAATACTCCAGCCGAATGTGATAGAACTCCTCAATGACTGCAGGAGTGCAAAAATCAAATTAGACCCTCTGTGTCATTATGAAGAATTAGCCTCGCATGGCAGGAAAACAGCTGATATTTTTGTGTTTCTTACTTTCTTCTGGAGTTTCGTACTTCCTCATCCTCCCATCCTTGTCAAAGAGGTGCATGTTGCTGGTTGCTACTGATGCCGTCAGCTTGAAGCGCTTGATCAGTCCTTCAGCCTCTGCAGTCGCCATTCCCTCGGGCGACAAGTGCACTTCAAAATGCACAGTGGTGTCAGTGTGATGCTCTCGCATGTCCTGCAGTTCAAAACAAAAGCATGTTAGCGTTATACAGTATCCCGAATAATTGCAAAAAAACACTCCCTCCAGTATTGTTTTGTACCTTGATGAATGGCTCCTTGTTCTTGTCGTTCACCACCATCATCCCCTCCAAGAACTCTTTGTAGTTCTGCGTCCAGGTCCGGATGGGCAGCTCCGTGATCTCCAGAACAGTGTCGCTGACCTTGTTGATGGTTCCAGTCACGATGTAGTTCCGGCCATCTTTGTTGCTGTTGTGTTCCACAGTTCCCTAGAGAAGAAAAGTGGGGAAGACGATACAAACGTTTTAGACATAGAAACGTCTTGAAAATAAGTTCCCGACAAGGCATTGGTGGCGCTAAGCTTACCTTGAAGCCACGGAACCAGGGGTGCAACGGCTCCATCTCCTCTCCCCTGATCAGCCGCTTGAGGTTGTCAACAATGTCGCGAGGGTTGAACGTTGGCACATAGGAGCTCCATCCAGTCCCAATCCCTTCACTTCCATTGACGAGGACCATCGGCAGGATAGGGAGATACCTGCACAAAGTGCGCAACACTGGTTGAGGAATGGGCACTCGAAAGACTAGATGATAAGATCGCATACAGTCTGGAATCGTCCATACCATGTTGGTTCAATCTTCTGTCCGTCTTCGTTCAGGAAGTCCAGAAGGGCATCGTCCACCTCAGAGAAAAGAATCCTTGTCAACTTATGCAGCCTGGTGTAGATGTAACGGGGGCTTGCAGCATCTTTCCCTCCCTGCATTAAGAAGATGATATAGGTTCAAAATCAGAGTTCGTGGACGATGAATGCGTTTGGGAAAAGCAAAATTAGATGTTCCGGATGTACCTGAAGGCGGGTGCCAAACTGGCCACTTGGTACCAGCAGGTTGATGTTATTGCTGCCCACAAAATCCTGGGCGAGACCAATGATGGTGGTCATCAAGCTCATTTCGCCATGATGGTATGCCGAGTGCTCTGAGATGTAACCAGCCAGTTGTGCAACCTGAAAAGAACAGAGCATACATTCAGTTCAGTGACAGTTTAACGTCCTAATATCAACAAACTCTTCTACAAGGACCAACAAGATTTCTTGTGAATGTACCTTCACGTCACTCTTCAGCTTCCTTTTGAAGCAACTGAAGAGAATCTTCCTCTGGCCAGGCTTGAGGCCATCCATGACAGATGGAATGGATCGCAGATTGTCAGCTATAGAGAAGAGAACCAGCTCCTTGTTGACGAAGTCGCTGTAGCTGATCGACTTGGCACTTTGATCCAGGAAAGTCCCAGGCTGAAAATATCAACCAAAAGGTTATTAGCATGTAATGAACCAATACAGGAAACCAGAACAACAGTAGCATATGTCAGTCATGATTACCTCCACATTGCGCAGCCAGGTCTTCCTCTCTTCCACCTTCTTCTTGCTAAACGCCATCTCTATGCTTTCACCATCCTCTTCTCCTCTCCACTCAAAACTTTTCCGGTGCTGATCAAGGGCTGCAAAGTACTCCTTTGCCTCCTTCGGTGTACTTGTTCCCAGACCCTGTAAGTCCATAACAGAGAATGTTAAACTCGAAGTTTCTATAAGTACTCAGTGCCACAGGCACCAGCACAAGAACTTGCCTTATAGTACTTGATGGACCACCCCTTTGTACTTCCTCCAAGAGATTCTTTCCATGACTCGTACTCAGGCATGGTGTAGAAGGAAAGAACCTTTCCACGGGGCCCAGTAGCCTGCATAGCACAGATCTCTCAACATTAGAATGTCTACTTGTTCGAGCAAGTTAGAAAGTCTCAGAGTTGTCTGCAGGAATATACTGACCTTGACGATGGGCGTGATGAACTCCAGCAAGAAGTTGGGTTGCTTCAGAAGTGATGGCCAAAAGGCGTGAAGGAAGTTGATGAGGAGGCCCTTGATGTGAGATCCGTCGTGGTCCTGCATTGAAAGATTACTCACGTGAGATTCTATAACTAACGATGCTTTCTCCAGAAGCCTAGAGCTGTCTCTCTGAGTTGCGTACCTGATCAGTCATGATCATTAGATGACCATATCGCAGGGACTTGGTGTTGTCATAGTGCTTTCCCTGCTGAAGCCCCATGATCTGCTTGATGTTGGTGATCTCTGCATTGTCTGTTAACTGCTTGGCAGGGGCATCTCTGACGTTCAGAAGCTTCCCACGCAGAGGGAATACTCCGTACTTGTCGCGACCAACAACACTCAAGCCGCTCACCTGAGAAAACATGCAGAATATGTTAGGCATTGAATCGCGGTGCCGCATATCAGCACAGATACATCAAGTGAAGGAACTTACAGCAAGAGCCTTCGCAGAATCTCCTTCAGTAAGAATCAAGGTGCACTGCTCGGAGTTGCGTCCACCTGCATCATTCGCGTCGTCCAGCTTGGAAATTCCTGTGAGCCGCTGCTTCTTGCTTCCATCGCTCTTCTTCATGTCCTTGTTCGCCTTGAAGGTTGCGAAGGAGAGAATGCTGTCGATCACCCCCGATTTCGCAACTGCAGAAAGGAATTACATTGCAGGTCAGCAAATGTCCATTTTGAGACTTGAGAATGAAAAGGAGCAACACTCACCTTTCTGGAGGAAACTATCTGGAAGCTTGCAGGTCGAGCCAAACTCGCTTGCCCGGGTATTGAGAGTCTCCTTAGTCTGTGAATCGAATGCTGGGTTGACGATCAACGAGTTCACGAAGACCCACAAGTGGCACTTCACTTGATGGGCCTTAATAGCAGATGCACCCTTCCCTGCCTTCTTCTGGGCTTTCTCTATGAGGAACTTGGTCAGTTGGTCCGCGACAAGGTTGACATGGGTGCCACCCTTGATTGTCGCAATGCTGTTGACGAAGCTGACCTGCAAGTACAAGATTCGTATGTGAGTTCGGTCATGTGGATACTCGCCATAGTACTTACGTTGATACTACACCATGAGAACGTACCTGTTGAAACTGGCCGTCACTTAGTGAAACGCAAACCTCCCAGCTGTCGTTGACCTTCTCGTAAATCCTGTCAGAGAGATTCCAGATCGAGGATCAGCGCAGTTGACACGGTGAGAAAGTCATCAACCAATAACCAGGCACTGAATCGCTCTTATCGCACTCACTTGGGCAGTGGCCCAGGGACTTCGCCACCAGACTTGGACGAGTCAAGGTAAAGTCCGACGTAATCTTGGAAGCTCTTAAGAGCAATCTTGCTTCCATTCAGCTCGACCTTGACAGTCTTCCCAAGAACTCCAGCCATGTCAACCACTCGCTTGCTCATGAGAGCCACATGATCAGCATCAAGATGTGTCAGCTTGAACTTTGCCAAGTCTGGGTAGAATGTCACGCACGTCCAGCTTTCTCCGGACCTGGTTTTCGTAATCTCAGGCTCCGACTTCTTGCTCATGTTGTCGTTGAAAACCTGTTGAGAATGTCAAGGAAATCTTGTAAAAACCAGGAAGAAAGCAACGGACTGGACAGCCGAATAAGCTCCGAAGAAAGAGCTTTTATTGTTGAGGTGATCGTCCTACCTGGCGATATTGTTTCTTGCGTTCGCCGTCTGCAGTCTCGATGACGAATTCCGTGGAGAATATGTTAGCGAGCTTAGCACCATAACCGTTCCGACCTCCCGTCGTCTTCTTCTCTGTATCGTCGTAGTTGCTGCTGGTGAGGAGATGGCCAAAGATCATTTCCGGGACGTAGCAGTTCTCGTCCGCGTGAATCTCGATCGGAACACCCTTGCCGTTGTTCCACACCTGAAGCCAGAAAGCTTTATCCGTGAGAACGACTTACTCGACATATGTACTCAGCCTTTGCTATCCTAGCATGCTGCTTACCTTAATCATGTTTTTTTCTGGATCAATGGTCACTTTGAGCAAGTCCATGGAGGGATCTCTCTGTTTGTTGTCGGCGGCGTTGACGAGAATTTCGTCGAAGATTTTGTACAAGCCAGGGACGATGGTCGCCTCGCGATGTACCATTCTGCCATTCTCGTAGACCCACAAGGTCTGCGTGTGGCTCTGAACTGATCCGACGTAAGTGTCTGGCCTTAGGAGGACGTGTTCTAGCGGAGTTTTCTTCTGGTATGTCTGCTCAATTGTCCTTCCCTTGCTGATGTTTGCTGCCGTGCTGAGCTGAAGAGGTTCCTTGGCCTTCTTCGCCGCAGCTTTCGGTGCAGCCTTCTTCTTCGTCTGCGACGCAATCCACTAATCATCGTCAAGAGAACCGTCTGGCTGTAAAATGAATTGCGAAGATGGCTTGCGTACTTACGAGTGGAATGAAGTTCTCATCATCGCTCATATATTCGTCAATATCCATGTCTATGAGTGCTCTCTGGCTCCTAAGCTTGTTCCAACAGGTAGGATAAAGAGAAGGAACCTGAGCGAATGTCGACTAGCACAACTGGTACCTAGAGAAATGCTCAGCTGGGACTCGAAATGAAGAGAACGAGCCGAACGCATTCACAACTCCTCTTCTGTGCGATAATCCCAATGCAACGCCAGCCCGAATGAATGCCATTCTATGATGCCACACCATAGCAGGCATGGGGGAAGGGGGGACAGCGAGCCCGAGCCGCCTGGAGCCAGCCAGCAGGATTCAGCGCCAAATTTCAAAATCCGTGGGCTCTGCAGACTGCACAACTTCGAACAGTCAGAGGCTTCTGCATTCTGTCAGAAAGGGTCAACGTCGGGAGGCATGGATGGCGATCATGTACACTTCAGTCTCATATTCGTTTATTAATCTCTTCTCCACAGGCAGTCTCAACTTACATACATGCTCTCAATGAAGTAGATCATTACTTATTCTAAATTATCATTATTTCCGTTTTTTATAAGACAATTTGTTCTCATTGTTTTAGTTTTGTAAAATTTTTTCTATGAGGGACGCTTAATTTTGGGTATTTATGCGACAAATTTGATTGCGCTAATTATGTATTTCTCAAAATAATAATGTGACAAGACAGGCATCCATGGCGAGTTATGGGTGACATTATATAGGGATCATATGATACTGGCGATCAGCACGGGCTGGCGAAGATGGTGTTCCAGCAGCGCCAAACCAGCACCTACTAGCAGCACGTTTCCCAGCTCGTTCCCTATCAATGTTTGCTCATCAAGATCAATTGTTTTTCGTAATTACGTGTCCCAAGCCACTTAGCTTTGCAGGCCTAATTCATGAGTCGGAGTTAGAGAGCGCGATCCCACCTAATGGGTGACTGGGCGGCTTCTGTGGCATGGTATTGCATATCGCTGTCTCTCCTCACAGGTACATCTATCATGAGTTTTGATACTCACGTCTTGGATAAGTTTGAATAATCTCGTTCTCTCAAGTCGACCTAGTCTTGATAGTCTCGTTCCCGGATAAGTTTTAATAATCTTGTTGAGTGCTCGGTCGGCTTAGCGTCCATATACCTGTCATTATGTAGACCATACCATGCTCAAGTGTCTGAGCGCTACCTCCCGTAGTATGTCCTCCAACGGGCTTCGGAATGATCACATTGTCCGTGCGACAGGCGCTTCAATTGCGTCGTCTGAGCAATTTTCGAGAAGTCTAAGAAATCGTTCAGTGGGCTTCGGATTGATGATTTCGTCCTTGGTGCGACCGGCAATTCAATTGGTGCGACCGGCAATTTGATTGCGGCGTCATCCAGTATCTCACCGTTGCCGCTTACAGGCTCCTTCCTCTCAGCCTGCTCAAATCGATTAAGGCGCTTCAGTTGCGTCATCCAGTACCCACCGGTTTCAGGTTCCTCCGTTACAGCCTGCTCGTATCCCCTTGGCGATCCGAATGTCGCTGCTGAGAACACCTGTCGCCCCTGAGCCACCCATTTCCCTCAGAACTAGTACCAGCCCGGTCATTCGATGACCTGCTGGGCCCGGTGGCGGAATGGAGGAGCAGCTAGGAACTTTTGTCTCCTCACTACTCAAAATTTTACCGCGTGCACCCACCCCACCCCTGTCTTTCACCATCCTGTTTTCCTCAGCAGTATTAGTCACAGCGCAGTCGTCAGATGAGCTGCTGCTGGGCCGTGTGGCGGAGATGGAGGAACAGCTCAACCAGCAGCTGCTGGAAGGAGGTCCTGCTGAGGGCACCTCCCAAACCAGATGCACAGACACGGCTTCATTGTCCCTCTATACCGTTCCTCGCCCCTCGTTCCTCTCAGCAGCGTTAGTCAATGCCCAGTCGTCCAATGAGCTGCTGCTGGGGCGCGTGACGGAGATGGAGGAGCAGCTCAACCAGCAGCTGCTGGAAGGAGGACCTGCTGAGGGCACCGCCCTTTCTGGGTTCCCTGTCCATACACGAGGCACAGACATGGCTTCCCTGTCCCTCCCTATGCCATTTCTCGTCCCTTCCCTCATCACTCTCAGCGCTAGTAGCAGCGCAATCGTCCGATGAGCTGCTGCTGGGGCGCGTGGCGGAGATGGAGGAGCAGCTCAACCAGCAGCTGCTGGATGGAGGACCCGTTGAGGGCACCTCCCAGCCTGTCGGAGCTGCCACAACCAAGGCTGCTGCCACTGGCGGCTCTGCAGTGTCAGTCTTTTGCTCCATTTGCATGTTTTTTAACTGTCTGCTGCCACTGGCAGCTCTGGCGATGGTGCTGCAATGTCAGTCTTCCACACATCCACACCCTCTTGCTCCTTTTTTTTCCCCTTCACACTCTCTTCCTCTTTCCCACCCCACCACACACACCACCTCTCCCCCTTTGAGCATGTTCCCATACAAGCTTAATAGCACCTCTCCTAAACCTGCTACTCGTCCTTGCATCCCTTTCCCTCCTCTACGCTCCCCTGCACATTTACCTCAGTGACACCCTGCCACCGCGTCCCACCTTCACAGAAGGCCTGCTGAAAACCACCACTCTCCCCCGCGGCATCTACCGCAACAAGCTGAATAGCACCTTTCTGGAATACCAGCGAAACGTGCACAAGGGGGAGGTAGAACTGCACTGCATGGGCGGCACCTGCCCGAACCTAGACAGCTGCGGCTCGGCATTCCCAAACGTGCGAGCCTGCTTCTGGCCGAACCTGGTAGACGAGGACTACATTTACCCGGACCAGCCTGAGAATTGCCCGAAGCTGTCGAATTGGGAGGAGGTTGGGGCGAAGGGGGCGGATCCTAGGTGCACGCACCCTGGAGATAATCTGAGATTTGATAAGTATGTGCCGCAGTATTTTGAGATCAAGGACGTGTTTGTGGATGCTAATGGGGTGCTCTTTAACGAGTCGCTGCACTTCTTCCGCCATGGGTGCTTCAAAGACAAAGAGGTGAGGTGAGGCGATGAGGGGAGGTCACAGTCACAGAGCAGTTCCCATTCTTGACACCTTTTTTATCGCTCGTCGCCCTCCCTGCCTGTCCACATATTCACTCTCTCTGCCCACACTCTCTCCCCGCTGTAGTTTGCCTATCATGCCAATTAAACCAGCGTGCAGCACTACGGCCATCTCGTGTCTCTGCTGTACCAGCTGGGAGGAATTGTGCGGCTTTGAAAAATAGCCCTGTCTGTTCACTCTCACTCTCTTCCCTGCAGTTTGCCTACCACGCAAATCAGACCAGCGTGCAGCATTACCACCGCCTCATATCGCTGCTCTACCAGCTGGGGGGGGCGTTCTACCACACGCTCATCGAGGTCGTGCCGCACTTCCTGCTGCTCGCACCTCTGCTAAGAGACAACCCCGGCATGCCCATCGCTGTCAGCCGCAAACAGGCAAGCTCACCAGCTTGGGGTGTGTGTGTTGTGGAGAGATGGAGGGAGGTGACAGGGTGCGTTTTACCACACGCCCATCGAGGTCGTGCCGCACTTTCTGCTGCTCGCACCGCTGCTAAGTGACAACCCTGGCATGCCCATCGCTGTCAGCCGCAAACAGGCAAGCTCACCAGCTTGGGGTGTGTGTGTTGTGGAGAGATGGAGGGAGGTGACAGGGTGCGTTTTACCACACGCCCATCGAGGTCGTGCCGCACTTTCTGCTGCTCGCACCGCTGCTAAGAGACAACCCTGGCATGCCCATCGCTGTCAGCCGCAAACAGGCAACCTCACCAGCTTGGGGTGTGTGTGTTGGGGGGGGGGATGGAGGAGGGAGGTGACAGGGTGTGTTTTACCTCACGCTCATTGAGGTGGTGCTGCACTTCCTGCTTCTCGCACCGTTGCTGCGAGACAACCCCGGCATGCCCATCGCTGTCAGCTGCAAACAGGCAAGCTTCTTTTCCATACTCGAAGATGTACAGTACAGCTCATTGCTGCAACCCAGCGTGGGCATCAGCTCGGAAAACCTCATTCGCCAGTCTCTTTCACCATGCCTCACAAGTCACCTTGAACCGTACTGCACTCCTCTCTCCTCCTGCTCCCTCCCCGCCAGCACAGCTGAAGATGTATGACTCCGTGCTGTATCCCATCGTGGGAATCAGCTCGCGCGAGCTGAACCTCGTTCTCGTGGACGACCGGGACCAGAAGATGCTGCTGCACGCTGACATGGCGTACCAGGTACTTGCTTACGTGGCGTTCCACGCACGTGCTGATGTGCCATACCAGGTACTTGCTGACGTATCGTTCCACGTACGTGCTGACGTGGTGTACCAGGTGCGTGCTGACATGGTGTACCAGGCTACCTGCTGACATGGCGTACCAGGTGCATGCTGACATGGCAAGTGCCAGGTACGTGCTGACGTGGCATACCATGAATGTGCTGACGTGACCTACCAGTCAGGTAAGTGCTAACGATCTGGTAGGCGTACGGCTCCGATTTTGACAACATGCAGATCCACATCTGAATTGACTCAGAAGCATTTCTTCATATCGCGCACCGCACACTGTGTTCTCACTTCTCCCGCCTTGTCCCCATTTCAGCTCTCCTCCACTGCCTCAGCACCTCATCCAATCCTCTTCCCCCCACCCCCACTGCAGCCTGTGTTCCAAGCGCGCGACAGGGCGGCACCAGGCGTGTGGCGGGAGCTGAGGTGGGCGGCGCTACCTCGTTATTTACCCTCTCCCTCTTCGTTTCCTTCCTCCCACTACCCACTCCCACTGCAGCCTGTGTTCCAAGCGTGCGGCAGGGCTGCACCAGGCGTGTGGCAGGAGCTGAGGGGGCGCTACCTCGTGAATCCATCAATTCACTCTTCATTTCTTTACCCCCCCTCCTGCCGCACACCCTCCCCCCCTTTCCCACTGCAGCCTGTGTTCCAGGCATGCGGCAGGGCGGCACCAGGTGTGTGGCGGGAGCTGAGGCGGCGCTACCTTGTGCCATCCGACGGCCTCCCCATGTTCGCCCCGGGCTTTGCTCCAAGGAGCAGCAGCAGCAGTGACGGCACTGGGAACAGCAGCACCACCGCCACCAACAGCAGCAGCATCGCCCCTCCGTGGACGGACGAGCAGATGGCGCGGCTGCCCGCCAGCTGGCTGGCTGTGATTGCTCGGCGCCACAAGTCCAAGCGGCGCATCGCTGGCTTCCCGCAATTGGTGGATTCCATGAAGCAGATCTTCCACCCCTCGAGGGTGTACGTGTTTGATGGCAAGCTGAATCTCACCCAAGGTGTGTTGGGTTGGGTTAACAGGTGAAGGAGAGTTGGCAAGCTGGGAGCAGTTTACAGTGTCTATGTCCCAGTGGTGTCTCAGTGACTCTGGGTGCTCTTTGTGTGACTGATTGCTCGGCGCCACTGGTCCAAGCGGCGCATTGCTGGCTTCCCGCAATTGGTGGACTCCATGAAGCAGATATTCCAACCCTCGAGGGTCTATGTCTTCGATGGCAAGCTGCCTCTCTCATGCAAGGTGCGAGCACGGTGACGGTGAGTTGAGAGCACTTCAAACATTCTGGATGTTGCTTGTTTGCATGCCATCACAACAAGTCCAAGCGGCGCATCGCTGGCTTTCCACAATTGGTGGACTCCATGAAGCAGATCTTCCACCCTTCTAAAGTTTATGTCTTTCCATTGCCTCCTCTGTTTCCCCATTCCACATCCTGCTTTCCCCTTCCCTGTCCTCTTGCCCCGAATCCCCCAGCCAAGACGGTATTCCACAGAGCAGCAGTGATCGTGGGGTTGCATGGGGCAGGCCTGGCCAACATGGTCCTCCCACTCCCTCCCTTCTTCCCCAACCCTCCCAACCCCCTCAGCCAAAACCGTGTTCAGCAGGGCAGCAGTGTTCGTGGGGTTGCACGAGGCGGGCCTGGCCAACATGGTCCTCCCACTCCCTCCCTTCTTCCCCAACCCTCCCAACCCCCTCAGCCAAAACCGTGTTCTACAGGGCAGCAGTGTTGGTGGGGTTGCACGGGGCAGGCCTGGCCAACATGGTCCTCCCACTCCCTCCCTTCTTCCCCAACCCTCCCAACCCCCTCAGCCAAAACCGTGTTCAACAGGGCAGCAGTGTTCGTGGGGTTGCACGGGGCAGGCCTGGCCAACATGGTCCTCCCACTCCCTCCCTTCTTCCCCAACCCTCCCAACCCCCTCAGCCAAAACCGTGTTCAACAGGGCAGCAGTGTTCATGGGGTTGCACGGGGCAGGCCTGGCCAACATGGTCCTCCCACTCCCTCCCTTCTTCCCCAACCCTCCCAACCCCCTCAGCCAAAACCGTGTTCAACAGGGCAGCAGTGTTCGTGGGGTTGCACGGGGCAGGCCTGGCCAACATGGTGCCCTCAACGCCACCATCTCATGTTCCTCCTCCCGCCTTTCCATTGCCTCCTGTCTTGCCATCCCACATCCTGTTTTGCCCTTCCCCCCCTCTCTTGTCCCTCCCCCCCCCTCTGCCCATCCCAGCCAAGACCGTGTTCAACAGGGCAGCAGTATTCGTGGGGTTGCACGGGGCAGGCCTGGCCAACATGGTCTTCATGCCGCTCAACGCCAGCATCTTTGAAATCCGCCCGCGGGGCTACCCCAACCCGTGCTACCACCATCTCGCCACAGCCACTCAGATGCACTATCATTTGATCCTCGGAAATGGTACCAAGGACAGTGAGCTGAAATTCAATCACACAGAGGCTGTGGAAGTGCTGAGACTGATTGCCAATCGCACAAGAGCAAGAATGTCGGCTGAGAAGTTTGAGTCGATTAATCTGCTGCCGCCGCTGGAGGCGGTTGGGGAGGAGGATTGGGAGGAGGGGGGTGGGCTGGACGGGGACGAGGAGGACAACGGGGGGGGGGGGAATGCGGAGTTGACTATTCCGCTGGAGCTTATGGCGGATGTGACTCTAAAGGCGCTGAATGACACAGATGTAGGGGCGGAGGAGCAGGAAGAGGAGGTGAAGAGTCTGGATGAGGAGACTATAAAGAGGATGGAGAGTGAGAGGGTGGTGACGATTGGGGAGTTGAGTGAGGATTTGAAACGGGCTGAGATGAAACAGGTGCATGTAAATTCAGGGGTGTCACATGATAAGCGCAAGGCGATTCTTAACTGTACGGGCAGCCCGTGCCCTGATTTTTCGGGCAGGTGTGAGTCGAATCACGAAGCTTCGGCCTGCAGGAGGGATGAAATCACGGACGAGGGTTTTGCCCGCCCGGCGATTCCTATAAACTGCCCGAAGAAAGGGAATTTGACGACTGTGGGGCCGGAGGGGAGGGATGAGAGCTGCTCGCATACGTCGGACTTTGGGTGGTACGAACCGGGTACATTCCAGATTTACCTTTTGCGGGGAGTGTATATCGACCACGAGGGGCATGTGTTCAACAAAACGACCCATTTCAACCGGGAGGGGTGCAACAACGACTCTCCGGTAAGTGCTTGTGTGTTTGGTGGGTGTGCACGAGGTGACAATGTGCGCGTGAGGTGAATGTTTCTGTGTGTGTGAGAAATGGCGCAGAAATTTTTTGTGTGTGTTGTGTTGTGTGTACGTGTGTGTGCACGAGGTGACTGTTGTGAGGTGACACAACGTGTGTGAGGTGAGTTTTTTCCAGTGTATGTGAGTCGAGTCGAAGCCTTGGGCCCCATCCGCAATCAGGTTTGAACATGTAAATGCTCACATCAACTGCGAGTTCATATGTGCTGCCTCGAAATTCCAAGCCATACAGATGCATAGAATCATCCCTCCTTTTGAGGCGCCTCAACAGTCGTCTTTGAGGTGCCTCAGAAATGCTCACATCAACTGCGAGTTCATATGTGCTGCCTCGAAATTCCAAGCCATACAGATGCATAGAATCACCCCTCCCCTCAATTCCATCAGTGCCCCTTCCCCATCGTTCGAGTTTGAGTACAAGAAGGAAACAAACGTGCATAAGTTGAAGCGAGTGGTGAACCTGGCGTACCGGCAGGGGCGCAACTACTACCACGGGCTCAAATTATTGCATCCTACGGTACCTTCACCTTCTGCAGTTTGAGTACAAGAAAGGAACAAAAGTGAACAGGTTGAAGAGGGTGGTGAACCTGGCCTACTATCAGGGCCGCAACTTCTACCACGGGCTCATCGAGTGGGCGCCCTCCCTTCCGTTCATCCCCATGCATAACCCAACATCTGTTTTGCAGTTTGAGTACAAGAAAGGAGCAAAGGTGAACAGGTTGAAGCGTCTTGTGACCCTGGCGTACTACCAGGGCCGCAACTTCTACCACGGGCTCATCACTCAAGCCACCTCCTTCCTCTCAACACCTCCCCCATATCAACACCATTCTCGCAGTTTGAGTACAAGAAGGGGACTAAGGTGCATAAGCTCAAGAGGGTGGTGAACCTGGCGTACTATCAGGGCCGCAACTTCTACCACGGGCTCATTGAGTGGACGCCCCAGCTCTTCCTCCTCAGCTCTCTCCTGCGCGCCAACCCCACCATTCCTCTGCTCGCCATCCATGACCAGGTAGGTACACCTGGTGTAGGCGTACTTGACCAGGTACACCTCTTGTAGGTGTGTTAGTGTAGGCCTGCAACCAGGCACGCATGTTACCCCAGCTCCTCGTCCTCCTTAGCTCTCTGCTGCGCGCCAACCCCACCATCCCTCTGCTCGCCATCCATGACCAGGTACATTTGGTGCTGGTGTGCAGGCCTGCACGACCAGGTACCCCTGCTGTAGCCTGCTGTAGTTGGCTAAGGAATGTCCTCTGTGCTCACAGCTCGCAACGAGGTTACATCTGGCGTGCGTGGGATTGTAAGGTCCTTGTGGTCTGGTATATCTGGTGTAGGCATGAAGATGTGGGTGGGTTCGAACCGCAGCAAGCGGAATGGTCTCCTCAAAGTTCTTAACTATCAGGTGTAGGCGTGCACAAGCACTTGCATGGAGGTGCAGCAGGGATATCATCTTCTTGATTGCCCTGCATGCTTTTTTCTTGCCTCTCATCTTTCCTCTACTCCCCCCTTTTTATCGTTAGCTTTCCATTCGCTGCAATGGGGGTTTTGCAAGTAGTAGACTACTCATGTGGGGTTGTGCAAGTGTCTTCTCCACCATCGGCTCTGGAGGAGATTCCTCCTCTGTCTCTCCCCGTCTCACTTCCCCCTCACTCTTTCTCCTTTCCACGCAGTGGGATTTTTACGAGAATATATCGAAGCCTATTATAGGGGTGGAGCAATTCGCTATGAACCGACTCAATATAAGCCGCGGCGAGCTCTTCTATGCCGATGAGGTGTACCTTGTAAGTCACGCGAATGACCATGCCTATGGATGTGTGCACCTTCTTATTTCCAATGCGATGCATTTTACCTCTCCAAGCTCGGGCATTTCACTATTTGGAGCATAAGCATGCTGCTTATTCGAGATGGAGTGTTTTGCTTATTCAGTTTCATGCATCTTGTTTATTGCTTTGTTCTCCTGCTTCCCTTTCCCCTCCTCTCCAACACCCCAGCCACTATACCAGGCATGTGGTAAGGCCAGTCCCTCCCTCTGGTCTCTCCTCCGCTCCCACTTCCTCCTCGCCCCACAAGGCCTCCCCATCTTTCCGCCCATCACCTGGATCCAACGGCCAGGATTGGCCAATCCGGTGAACCAGACCGAGGCAGCCATGGTGCCGCCCGATTGGATGGTGCTGCTGGTGCGGCGGCCAGGTGTCAAGCGCTCGTTGGACCGCTGGGACGAGCTGTATGAGTCGGCCGTGTCAGTGTTCTCATTGAATCGGGTCCATGTGCTTAACGGCTCAGTGCCTATGCTCAAAGGTAAAACACTTGACTTCTAAGTTGACTCAAAGTCGGCTCCGTGCCCATGGTCAAAGGTAGACGAATCACTCTGCTGCTTGCTGAGCGTTATGTCAAAAGTCCACGAGTCAGCCTTCTCACTCAACCGGGTGCACATGCTCAATGGCTCTGTGCCCATGCTCAAAGGCATGCTTGTATCACTATAGATAACTCTCAAAAGAGCTGTATGAGTCGGTTGTCTGTGTTATCACTCAACCGGGTCCATGTGCTCAACAGATCAGTGCCCCTGCTCAAAGGTACTCGACCCTTTCTCTCAGTTTGATTTGGTACTTTCGTACATGTTCGTATTTCGTTTTTGCCTTCCTTTTTTGTGGCTTCAACTGCTGGCTGTGCATATGTACCCCCAAAATTTCTGCCAACTTGTTCTCCTTCCCCTGTCTCCCCTTCCATGTTCCTGCATGATCCACGTTTCTGTTCCTGTTTCCACACCTTCAGCTCGGTCGCTGTTTCGAAGAGCGAGGCTGCTTATAGCAGGTCACGGTGCAGCAATGGCTAACATGGTCTTCATGCGACCCAACATGACAGTCTATGAAATTCGACCCGACAAGAGCAACAACGCGTGTTACCACCACCTAGCACATGCATGCGGGCTCCGATACTACCTCACTTTTGGGCAAGGGGATGGGGAGAGCGTAGTGAAGATTGATGTGTGGAAGATTACAGGGGTGTTGAAGGAAATTGCCAAGACGTTTCCGCCTTTGCCTGGGGACGAGCATCCAGATAACGTGTCTATATTTGGAGATGGTTAATGCTTTATCTGCTGTATGTACACCTACCTATTTTGTCCATTGTGAATATTCTGGAAAGTTCCTGTGTTGCTACATTAATGTGTGAACCTCACAAGAGCCACTAAGCAAGACAACAATCACCTGCCCTGGATCTATTGAGGAACTCTTGACAAGGACAATATACATATAGTACATCATACAGGCTGGATGTATGGGCAGTCAAGTGACAAAATACACTCACAATCAGGATCAGCTAAAGGCGAGCGCAGGAAACTCATCCTACACTCCTTTCTCAACTTCTTCTCCAGACACCGCTTCCCATAAGATTCTTTCAGATGCTTACCAGCCTCCTCCCTCCCATTCTTCCTAACATCCAGCACAAATTCCTGGGCGAATTTTAACAGCTTTTCAACACCTTTTATGTCTTGATCGGCCAAGTGTACCTTTCGTGTGTGCGTGCGATACTTTTTACACGCCGCATCCTTATCGCACTCCATCGGACTCATCCCCGCATAGAGCGAATCGTTAGCAGGCGCGGGAGGAGGACCCGCGGTGCACTGATACTGCATGTAGTTTATCCCCGCGTTAATCGCGGTGTAGTAGTACAAATCGTAAAACACTCCGAAGGGGGAGATCTCGAGAACGATTGCGTCGGAGCGAGCGAAACAGGTGGGGTTGGTGAGGCCTGCGCCGTGTAGCGCCACGATGACTTCGGCGGAATCAGTGAGGGCTAGCTGTTGAGAAAAGGGGAGCACTGCATATTCTGTCATTGTCACCTGTTGTTGGGAGAGAAAGGAGGGAAGGCAGGCGGGGTTGGTGAGGCCTGCGCCGTGTAGGGCCACAATAACGTCGGCGGAATCGGTGAGGGCTAGCTGTTGGGAGAATGGGAGCATGGCGTATTCTGTAATTGTCACCTGTGGGGTGGAATAGACGAGGGACAGTGTCAGAATGTGGGAAGGGAAGGGACGGTTTGCATGGGAGACCTGCTGGACTGAGAGACAGGGAGCACGGCGTGTTCTGCCATTGAGACCTGTTAGGGGGAATGGGGCGAGGGAGAGGGACAGATGAGTGGGAGAGAGAAAGGAGGGAAGGGAGGCTTTGTTGGTGAGACCTGTGCCGTGTACTTTGGCGGAATCAGTATGGGGGCATGGGAGGTATGGGGGCGTATAGGAAGCATGGGGGGTATGGGGGTTATGGGGGGTACGGGGATTATGGGGGGCATGGGGGGATGTGTTGTACAGGGGGAAATGGGGGTTACGGGGGGGATGCAGGGTATGGTGGGGATTGGGTTTACGGGGTTATGGGGTCTATCGGGGATATGGGGCATGCAGGGTATGGGGGGCATGGGGGGGATGGGGGCCAATAATGGGGGGCATGGGGAGCATCCATGCATATGGTCACACAGCCACACGTACATGCAAGTATGCATGCACATGGTGTTTTTTAGAATTCTCAAAAACACCCTGCAGCATAAATGCATATGGTCACACAGCCACACATACATGCTTGTATGCACATGCCCGCCCATGCGTCACTGCATCGACACATTCGATCGCACCTGGAAATCCATCTGGCTAAAGAGCTCCTGCAACGACATGGCTCTGCTTCTGCTTGTATGCTTGTGGGTGTCGGGGTGCACGACTCTCCTGCCAGTCGTCATGGTGTCGTTGCGCGTCCTATACAGCAGCCAACACGTCGACGAGCATGCAGACGAGCACGCGTGCATGCAGGCATCAACTTGTGGCTGTCGAGGTGCATCACCCTCCTCCCAGTCGCCATGTCGTCGTTGCGCATCACATACAGCCCATCTTCACATGCATCCATCCCCTTATCCACACACGTATGCACACATTCGATCTCACCTCGAAACCCATCCGGTTGAAAAGCTCTTGCAGGGCCTTGTGGCTGTCTGGGTGCATGACTCTCCGCCCAGTCGTCATGGTGTCGTTGCGCGTCACATACAGCAGCCGCACCCGCGACCCATCGTCAGGGTAGTGCCGATCCCCACCACCACCGCTGCCACTGCTGCCACTGCTGCTACTGCTGTTCCCTGTGCCCCCATTGCTGCTGGCTGCCATAATATCGGGCACTGGTTGGCCCTCAGGCGTGAGAAAGACCTCTCTCAGTCGCTGCCTCACCAGCTCTGCCTCCTCTGCCATACCATTGAACGTGATCGCCTGGAGGGATGGGGAGTGGTGAAGGAAAGAGTTTTGGCGCAGGGAAGAGCTGAAGGAGAGAGTTCGGGATAAGGCTCCCTCAGTCGCTGCCTCACCAGCTCTGCCTCCTCCGCCATACCATTGAACGTGATGGCCTGGACAAAAGTAGATGGGAAGAGGTGGAGATGAGAGTTTTGGCGCAAGGGAGAGCTGAAGAAGAGATAAGACTCTCTCAGTCGCTGCCTCACCAGCTCTGCCTCCTCCGCCATACCATTGAACGTGATGGCCTGGACAGAAGTAGATGGGGAGAGGTGGAGATGAGAGTTTTGGCGCAAGGGAGAGGAGAGCTCAAGAAGAGATAAGACTCTCTCAGTCGCAGCCACACAAGCTCTGCTTCCTCTGCCATACCATTGAACGTGATGGCCTGGAGGGGAAGGGAGGGATGTGGAGTCCTGCAGATGAGAGTTTGGGTACAAAGGGGGAGTTTGGGTACAAAGGGGGAGTTTGGGTACAAAGGGGGAGTTTGGGTACAAAGGGGGAGTTTGGGTACAAAGGGGGAGTTTGGGTACAAAGGGGGAGTTTGGGTACTAAGGGGGAGTTAAAGGAAGTGTTTGAGAGTTTCGAGACACAGCAGGAGAGGGAAGAGAAGAGAAACTCACCTTGAGCAGATTAGGGACAATGAGGGTCTGGAAGCACGTGGGTCGCTCTCAATGGCTGCTGTGCTGCTGCCTTTGAAACACTTGAGAAACACAGCTGGAGAAACACAGCTTGAGAAACACACCTTGAGAAGGGAAGAGCGACGTACCTTAATGACTTTTGAGTCGACTCAAAAGTCAGAAGGGAAGAGAGACGTACCTTGAGCAACCCAGGCACAACAAGGGTTTGAAAGCACATGGGCCTCTCATCGCTTGCAGCATTCAGCTGCCCCTCAAACACACCTTGAGAAACACAGCTTGAGAAACACAGCTTGAGAAACACAGCTTGAGAAACACAGCTTGAGAAACACACCTTGAGAAGGGAAGAGAGACGTACCTTAAGCAACCCAGGCACAACAAGGGTTTGAAAGCACATGGGTCTCTCATCGCTTGCAGCATTCAGCTGCCCCTCAAACTCCACCCGCCCACCAGCTAGCGGGCCGGGGGTGAGGAGGGAGGAGGGTGAGATGGAGGCGAGGAGGGCGGGGAGGAGGGAGGCGGGGAGGAGCGGCTCGAGCGCCATGCGGAGGAGGAGGTGCAGCATTGATGGCAGCCAGCCGTGTGGTCCGTGCTCCTTCATTCTGGTGTTGTGAGTAGAAAAGGATGTAGAGAAAGGGAAGGGGAGGGAGAGAGGGAGAGCGGTCAAGCAGGAGAAGGGAGGAGCGGCTCGAGGGCCATGCGGAGGAGCAGATGCAGCATTGATGGCAGCCAGCCGTGTGGTCCGTGCTCCTTCATTCTGAGAGGAGTACAGGGTAGGAATTACGTTAGGGAACAAGTCAGAATGAGAGGGGAGGGGGAGAGAGAGGTGTGAGTTGATGGAATCGGAAGGGCCAAACGGAGGAAGAGGTGTTCGTTTCCCGCAATAGTCGTCAGTCATAAATGGCAGCCAGCCGTATGGGCCGTGCTCCTTCATACTGAGAGGAAAGTAGACAGCAAATGAGGGGTGTGAGTAACAGATAGGCATAACGAGTAGGCGAGGGAAGGAGAGACAGAGTGGACAGTGACAAAGGAATCAACTGTGCGTGCACGAGATTTTAAGGTGCCTCAAAATACGAGAGATAAGAGTGGAAAGTGACAAAACAATCACCTGTGCACAGTCCAGTCAGCACGGGGCAGCAGGAATCGATCGACACGAGGCAGGCCTGTTTTGACTGTCACGTTGTTCACGAGAAGGATATGTGCCGCCTTGCCTGAGTGTGGTGGGGCAGAGAGAAAGGGAGGGGATGTCATTTTAGGTGCTTGAGGTTGGCATGTGGCTGGCAGGCCTGCCCTGACTGACTGTCACGTTGTTCACGAGGAGGATATGTGCCGCCTGCACGAGGGGCAGAGGGGTGGGGATGTGAACATGGGACAGTAGGAATTGATCGACACGTGGCAGGCCCGTCTTGACTGTCACGTTGTTCACGAGAAGGATGTGTGCCGCGTTGCCTGCGCGTGAGAGGGGGGACACGGAGGGGATGTTACACTAGGTGCTTCAACATTGCTCGTCTTGGACGTTACTTTGTTCAGGAGAAGGATATGAGCCGCCTTGTTTGCGTGTGAGCGAGCACAGAGGGACAAAAGGCTTGGAATGGATGAGAGGCTGCAAGATTCTAGCCTTTTTACGTCACTCTGTGTCCCAACCGAACTGGGGCAGGTTCGAGCAGGGCGTGGGGGAGGGGTGCTTTGAGTTTCCCCATTCCGCATCCCATTCTCACCTAGAAAGTGAGTGAGAAAGAGTGAGTATTCTCACCTAGAAAGTGAGTGAGAAAGAGTGAGTATTCTCACCTAGAAAGTGAGTGAGAAAGAGTGAGTATTCTCACCTAGAAAGTGAGTGAGAAAGAGTGAGTATTCTCACCTAGAAAGTGAGTGAGAAAGAGTGAGTATTCTCACCTAGAAAGTGAGTGAGAAAGAGTGAGTATTCTCACCTAGAAAGTGAGTGAGAAAGAGTGAGTATTCTCACCTAGAAAGTGAGTGAGAAAGAGTGAGTATTCTCACCTAGAAAGTGAGTGAGAAAGAGTGAGTATTCTCACCTAGAAAGTGAGTGAGAAAGAGTGAGTATTCTCACCTAGAAAGTGAGTGAGAAAGAGTGAGCATTCTCACCTAGAAAGTGAGTGAGAAAGAGTGAGTATTCTCACCTAGAAAGTGAGTGAGAAAGAGTGAGTATTCTCACCTAGAAAGTGAGTGAGAAAGAGTGAGTATTCTCACCTAGAAAGTGAGTGAGAAAGAGTGAGTATTCTCACCTAGAAAGTGAGTGAGAAAGAGTGAGTATTCTCACCTAGAAAGTGAGTGAGAAAGAGTGAGTATTCTCACCTAGAAAGTGAGTGAGAAAGAGTGAGTATTCTCACCTAGAAAGTGAGTGAGAAAGAGTGAGTATTCTCACCTAGAAAGTGAGTGAGAAAGAGTGAGTATTCTCACCTAGAAAGTGCGCCACATTTGTCGTTTGGTGGGTGAGAGGCACGAAGAGAGTCCCCCCCATGCGCCAGTCCGCCTCCCCCCCAACCCACCGCCGCCACCGCCCATCCCCTGCTGCCTGCAGCCCCCCTTTCACCGGCGCCTCTGAGAGCGCAGATCTTAACATCCGGCTGAACTGAGGCAGGTTCGAGCAGGACGTGGGGGAGAGCAGCGCGGATTTATTGGCTGTGGCGGGGGCATGGACCGGGGGGAGGCAGGGGTGGGGGGGGCGCGGGGGGAAGGCGGTGCTGCTGATGCTGCTGCTGGTGCTGTCGGTGGCATCGGTGGTATCGGTGATATCGGGTCCGTATCTGCCGAGCAACGCCGACCCGTTGTAGCAGACGTTGCGGCAGACGCAGACGGCCTGCGTGCAGCAGAAGGCGTTGCGCAGGCGGTAGCAGGCGCAGCCCGAGGGGAAGGTGGCGGGGAGGGCGGAGGGGGAGGTGGATAGAGGGATGGGGAAGGTGGGCGGGGGGAGGGGCGGGATGGGGGGAAGAGAGGCGGAGGGGGAGGGAGTGGTGGTGGCAGTGGGGAGGGGAGTGGGGAGGGAGGTGGGGATGGGGGTGGGGATGGGGGTGGGGGAAGTATTGAGAGGGGCGGAGGCAGAAGATGAAGGCGTCGAGGGGCCTGTGCTGATGGGGTGGGTACTGGCAGCAGTGCCAGTGGCGTCAGATGGTGAGGTGTTGCTATCAGCAGTCACTGCAGTTGCTGCAGTCACCGCAGCAGTAGAGGTACCAACGGCACCACCACCACTGCTGCCAATCTCTTTCCCTCTGCTCTTTGCCCCTGCAATGCTCCCCTCCTTTGTTTTCTTTTCTTTCTCTTCCTCTCCGCCTTTTGCTCTCTCCCCCAATCTCTCCCCCACGTCTTTTGGCTCTCCCCTCAGAGCAGCAAACACCTTCCCAGCAACTTCCCTGATTGTAGATAACACCTCCCCCGTATCCACCTGCAGGGCGGAGTCTTTTGTCCCATTCCCCAGCAGCAGCCAATAGTGCATCTGTGATACGCTGGCCAGGTGGTGGTAACACGCGTTGGGGTAACCCCGAGGGCGGATCTCCAGTAGGAAAGCGCCACGTGGCATGAAAAGGAGATTGGTTAGGGCGGCCCCGTGCGTGCCGACCAATAGGGCGGCTCGGCGGAAGAGAGCCCGGGCTTTAAAGGGGGGAAGGGGAGAAGAGAAGACGGGTGCGGGAGGAGGGTGGGGGTTCATGGAAAAAAAATGGATGAAGTAACCACCAAAGAGGTGTTTATAGTTGACATGAGGAAGAAACGAGTAAGAAGGAGAGAGGCTAAGGGGGGAGAACACGACAAAGCCGGAAAATGGGTGCCGTGCTTCTCACTCTCTCAATCACACACTCACTCAGTTACTCACTCAGTAACGCACTCAACTGCTACTAGTCCCACTCAGTCATTCACTCACTCAACCACTCCTACGCTCACTCACTCACTCACTCACACACCCATTTTTATGCTCAATCACCATTCCCCCACTGCTACACCCACTTCCTCAATCACACACACACTTATTCACCCACTCCTGTGCTCACTCACTCACTCTCAACCCCTCCTATGCTCACTCGCTCGCTTATGCACTCATCCCTATGCTCAAACACTCACTCCCCGCTGCCCCATTCACCCACTCACTCCCTCACTCACTCCTGCACTCCAACACTCACCTTCCAGAAGAGGCAGTCTTCCATCGAGCACCACTCAAATCAAACACCTTCACTCACCCTCACTCACTCGCCCACTCACTCACTCGCCCACTCACTCGCCCACTCACTCGCCCACTCACTCACTCCATCAAAAACTCACCTTCCATGAGAGGCAGAATCCCATCGAACACCACCACTCGCCTCTCCACTTCACAACTCACTCTCACTCACTCATTCGCTTACTCACTCACTCACTCTCTCACTCTCGCAATCACTTACTCACTCACTCACTCCACCACTCACCTTCCACGAGAGGCAGACTCCCATCAAACACAACCACTCGCCTCTCCCCTCCCTTTTACCACTCGCATCAAACACCGTTACTCACTCTCACTCACTCACTCACTCGCCCACTCCATCCGAAACTCACCTTCCATGAGATGCAGACTCCCATCGAACACCACCACTCGCCTCTCCACTTCACGACTCACTCTCACTCACTCATTCGCTTACTCACTCACTCACTCCACCACTCACCTTCCATGGGAGGCAGACTCACATCAAACACAACCACTCGTCTCGCCTCTCCCCTCCCTTTTACCACTCGCATCAAACACCTTCACTCATTCTCACTCACTCACTCACTCACTCACCCACTCCATCCGAAACTCACCTTCCATGAGATGCAGACTTCCATCAAACACCACCACTCGCCTCGCCCCAAACTCCTTCCTCATCCACCCCTCCACCCTCTCATACACACTCTCCTCCAAATTCCTGGACAAATTCCCGGGCCTCCGAACCAGGATCGTCACCCAGTTCAGCCCCGTCGTCATCCCGAACGTCTCCGCTAGGCTCGGCACAGGTCCGGGCTTTAGCACGTCGAGCCGCCGGGGATGGTGTGACTGCTGCTCCTCTCGCTGGCTAAGTAAGTCTGTTATGTCTTGGTAACTTAGCGGGGAGGTTCGGCGGAGGCGGAAAGTTTCGGGCTCGAAAATGGGCAGCCCGTCGGGCGGAAGAAAAAAGTTCCGGCGGAGGAAACGCCAGATGGTGGGCGTGGCCCGGCCGCAGCAGCGGTAGACAGGCTGGGGGAGGGAGGGAGCAAGGGAGGAGGAAGGGGAGAGAGGACAGAGAGAAGGGAGGTGAGGAAGGAAGGTGCTTCGAATCAGGAATCGCCAGATAGTGGGACGGCCCGGCCACACTGCAGCAGCGGTACCCAGGCTTGAGGGTGCAGAGCAAAAAAAAGGAGAACGGTGTGGTGGGAGAGGTTGGGGGTGCTTCGGATTGGGAAGTGCCAGATGGTGGATGTGGCCCGGCCGCAGCAGTGGTAGACAGGCTGGAGGGGGGGAAGCAAGGGGGGACCAAAGGGAGCAAGAGGGACCAAAGGGTTAGGGAAAACGGAAAGGACGGCGTGATGTAATTGTATACTATATACAACATCCACAGGCTATAATAGAAGATGCAGTCATTTATGTTATTGGGGGGTTGTTGGGTGAACCCTCCAACCACAATTTGTGGTTGGTCACCATTGGATTTGGTCCTTGGTCCTTAGATGGTTGGCATTTGTTGGTTGCCAACCTTTGGTCCTTAGAAGGCACTTGCCAACCTTTGGTCCTTAGCCCAACCAATCCCAACAAACCTACATTTTATGGTTGCTTGGGCTATAAGGCATCATTGGCCAACTTAGTGGCCAATAGGGTTAGCTCCTCTTACACCCTCCTCTTCCTCCATGCTTGTATTATAGAGGCTCTTGGCTCATTACCCAATCATAATCTTAAGTTCTAACACGGCGAGGAGAGAGGTGAGAACATGGCCTTAAATACCTGGCAGAGAACGTGGCTGGCCTTTGTTTACTGGTAAAGCGTAAACCCCATCCTACCTGATAGAGCGCCTGTGCAAGGAAGAGTGTGTTGCGGTGCTGCCAGTCCAGCACGAGCAGGTTCATGTGCGCTGGTTCCACTCCCACTATGCGCTTCAACGTGCTGTTGTACAGCTGCAGCTGCATGGGTGGTATGGTGTGACATAATATACATGCACACACACATGCACAGACACACACAAACTCAAGTGTTTCTTGCAGAATTCACAAAGTTTATTATGCTATGTGGTGGTGATCTGCTGAACAGCTAGTCATTCCCACAATCCCATGAGAGTCTTGTGATGCGTCACCATCTGCATATTTACTCCTGCTTTCTCTCAACTCATACCCTCTCGCTCACCTGAGCAGCGCGCATGACAATGAGGATGTTGGGGTGTTCTTCCAGCAGCTCCCTCAGCACGAGCCACTGCGGCACCCACTCGATGATGGAGTGGTAGAAGCTGGTAGCGGGCGTGTACAGCATGCTCACCATGCGCCCCATGCGCTGCACCGTGGTGTTGCCGCTGGGGTAGGTGAACTGGGTGGGGGACGCAGAGGCATATGGAGGTGAAAACAGAGAGGAAGGGGGAGAGATGGTGGAGGGGGGGGGTACATCATGCTCACCATGCGCCCCACGCGCTGCACTGTGGTGTTGCCGCTAAGATAGGTGAACTGTTTATAGGGGGGCCACAGAGAGGGAGAAACACAATAACAAGGGGAGCTGGTGGCGGGGGTGTGCTGTGCAGCATGCTCTCACCATCCGCCCCACTTGCTTGCTGCACCCCGGTGTTGCTGCTGGGGTAGGCGAATTGGGAGGGAGAAAGGTTAAGGGATGGGACAGGGAGACACAGAGAAGCGAGAGATGGTGGAGGGGGGGGGGGGGTACAGCATGCTCACCATTCGCCCCACGCGCTGCACTGGTAACCCCATTTCGTGACTCACATCAGCGACGGAGAAGCAGCCAAGTGCATGGAGACAACTTTTGAGGCGCCTCTTTTGAAGCGACTTTTGAGGCGCCTCTTTTGAAGCGACTTTTGAGGCGCCTCTTTTGAAGTGACTTTTGAGGCGCCTCTTTTGAAGCGACTTTTGAGGCGCCTCTTTTGAAGCGACTTTTGAGGCGCCTCAAAAGTCCACAGGCAAAGAGGAGCTGGTGGTGGCCTGGGTGGGTGCAGGACTCACATCAGCGTCGGAGAAGCAGCCATGGCGAAAGAAGTGCATAGAGCTGTTGAACACCACTCCGTTCCAATCCATCATCACATCCCGCATCTCAAAGTACTGAAATAGCGTCCTGTCATGCCGCACATAGTCCCCCGCTTGCGAACATCTCAAATCTGCGCCATTTCCGCCTACTTCCTCCTGGTTTTCCAGCTTCGGACAGTTTTCGGGAGGTCCGGGGTCGATGTGGATTGGAGCCACTATGTCGGTTCGGTGGCAGGCTCGCAGGTTCGGGAACGCCGGGCCGCAGGGAGCGAGGTTCGGACAGCTTCCGCCGGTGCACTGTAACCGGACCTCTTTTTCAGGGATGTGGAATTTGAAGTATTCTAGAAAAGCGCTCGCTAGGTGGCTGCGGGTTATGCTTGTATTGAGAGAGGTTGTATCGAGTATGGCGTCTGGGAAGGAGGGGAGGATGGGCGAACCATCTGGAATGACCGGGATTGGGAGGTTGGGATTGTTGAGTTCTACGCCGGTTTTAGTCATTACAATCGGACGCGGTTTCTGTTTCGGGCTGGCTTTTGCTTTCAAGCTGCTCCGCCCTGTTGACTGCGTTGACTTGGTTGACTTCTGGTCGGTAGGTTTGATTGGATCCGTTGTTCTGCTCTGCTGCAGCTGCACAGTAAGCTCTTTCTCGAATTGGTTCACTCGTCCCAGGAGCAGCATGTTATCATGGTTCCCCCCACTGCTGCTGCTGCCGTTGGTGCTGCTGCTGCTGCTGGTGCTGCTGCTTGTGGTGCTCTTGCTGCTGTCAGAAGCCGTTTGCAGAGTTGCGTCTCCTAAAGCGAGACGGGAAGGGCAGAGAGCGAGAGAGAGGAAGAGGGAAAGGGAGAAGAGGGTCCGATTGGTGGAACAGCCGTGGAACGGAAAGGCGGAACGGCTGCGGAATGAAAAGGTGGAACTGCCGTGGTGTTTATGATGTGTTGACGAGCGGAGCTGGACTCCAGCCCGCAAAATGCGGATGCTGTCCATCCTCGTTGGTAACATACTGCCGTGCGTTACGAAAAAAACTTCTGTACTTGTCTGCTAGAAATAACACGCGGCTTCTGCTGGCGATGCTCTTGATCAGATCAGTTATCAGAGCCTCTTGCCGTTACAATATGCCGCACGGACGTTCCCAAGGTAGCCTCTGAGCCGACTCAAATTACAAACCCATTCAGCTAACATCCTAACAGAGACACCGGTTTTCAAGTTCACCCCCCTACTGGCCCATGCAGCGGAAGCTTTCCTTCCTACCTACGCGGCGGAGCCAAACCTTATAATCACTGCTGTCCCTTTTTACAATAACTGCTTTTCGAAACCGATAACTGCCGTAAACTCAGCTGCGAATGTGGTGCGATCTGCTCTGACGTTTGGCTGTGGGATGGAGAGGAAACTAGTTCGGCCAGCCCTGGGAATCATGAGCATTGCAAATTGTGACTGTGGCTTGCTGGTGCGGCGAATAATTTGGCGAAGAAAAACGAGTCAGGTTACTCTGGACTTGGCGAAGTGACGAAGAGGCACTGAGCCAAGCTCTAAGGGCGTATTCCTGGCTTTGGAACATCCGAGCTTTGGGACATCCTGAATTATTTTTTTCGAGCCGCGGGACTTCCGACTCGAGCTTCGGGTCATCCGCTTCGGGAGTTGGCGAGATGCAGCGAACATGGTAGACGAAACTATTTTCTCCCCTGAACTTTTTTCGCGTAGCTGGAGTACGACCATTCTGAAGCTGCGACTAATTTCACACCCAAATTGATGTGCAACATTGCACATTTCAGCCTCGTCCGAAATCGGAATTGCTTGTCAGTTAGCTCTGGCGATCGCAACTTACAACGACGAGAGCTGCGATTTCGGGTAGCCCGCTTAAAAAAGGTATAGTAAAATCGTGAACAAAGTCGGGTCGTTGACCCGAGGTGCTGTATTGCAGCTCGGGACTTCCCAAGATTTGGGAAGACTCAAACACCGGATGTCCCAAAGCCAGGAATCTGCCCTAAGTCCCTGAGGTTACACAGCCAAACCCAAGTCCCTGAGGTTTTACAAAAATCCCCTGACCAAGGTTCCGAATCGCACTAATTTAGACAGCATCTTTATTTCTTGGGACGTCCCAAAAGTTGTCTCCAGATATCATAGCTCCCGCGATGCCACTATCCACCCCTTCGTCCCGCGAAGATACGTCACATACTAATCGCGACGCAACTTCTCTCGGAAATGAAGCGCTTCAAGAAGAATCATCAACTCCTCGTGTGGATACCGCTCCGCCTGAACGCGACTCATTGCCCGTCCGAGTAAGATTATTTGTCGGCGGGCTGCCCGGGAACGTCTCAGAAGATGAAGTTCGAGGTAGATTCCAGCCGTTCGGGCAGGTCAACCATGTCAACGTGATTCTCGCCAAGTCACACCAGTTGCTTCCCGCATCCGCCGCGGCGCCTCCCTCACAGCAAATAACTCCTGGCCGTCCATTTCAAGAGGCGATCGGAGATGGAGTCGATCGGCAGAGCAGCCACGTGGCAGTGTGTCGTGGCTTTGCTTACGTGGACATGGTTCCCAAGTCCGCCAAGGCCTTGCACCAATGCTTGTCGCTGGTGGGTCCTTCGACATTAAACTTTTAGTGATTCATTCGTACGCGTTATTAACGATCCGTCAACTCATTTCGTCACCCATCTAGCCCCTTCATCCGCGCGTTGCCGTCCACCTTTCTATTTCCCTCAACCCCCACTCTCTTCCCCGGTCCCCCTCTCTTCCCCCCACCCCCTCCCCCGCTTTCTGCCACTCCCGAACCATACATTGTTTGCATATGGAAGGAAGGAATGCGCGTAAAAACCTCATAACCCTCCCCAACCCCTCCAAAACCCCCCTGTCCCCCCTCCAAAATCCTTCCAGTACAACGGGTGCAAGTGGAAGGGGGGGCGGATGCGCGTGGAACCGGCAAGGGGGAGTTTCCTCGAGCAGAACACTAAAGAGCGCAAGGAGAGGGAGAGGCAGGAGGCCGAGGAGAGAGCGGGTGGTAACCCGGTTACAAAGGCCTCTGCCAGTGTGTGTTTAAGCCCGGAGGAAGTAGCTGCACTGAAGTCGCGGAAGCTAGAGCCAATGAACCTGGCGTGGCGTGGCGGGAAGAAGGTACGTGTCTGCCTGCCTGCCGGTCTCCCTCGCTTGATTTCTCCCTCACTCACCCCTCACTCCCTTACTCGCTCCCTTTTTGTGTGTTTAAGTTTGGAGGAGGTAGCTGCACTGAAGGCGCGGAAGCTAGAGCCGATGAATCTGGCGTGGCGCGGAGGGAAAAAGGTATGTGTTTGCCTGACTGCTTGCCTGCCTGCCTGCCTTGCCCCTCACTCCCCAACTCACTCTCTTGCTCACTCGCTCACTCCCTCACTCGCCCCCTGGGCGGTTAAGCACTTGTGAGGCGCCTCAAAAGCCCTGCTGAGATTCTCAGAACTCCTCTGTCTCAAAAACCCCCCAGACGCGGCGCAAGCATCTATTTTCGAGTAGACTCAAAAATAGACTCATCACACCCTTTTGAGGCGCCTAAAAACCCCTGTTGAGGCTCTCAGAACTGCTCTGTCTCAAAACCCCCGCCAGACGCGCCGCATGCCAGCAGCGGGGGGTACGGGGTGTGGGCGGCACAAGCTGAGTTTCCAGCTGCCTTCTGAGTCAACCCCTCAACCTTCCGTGTCAACCCCTCAACCGTCCGTGTCAACCCCTCAACCTTTCTTGTCAACCCGTCTCAAACCCTCTGTTTCTCCCATTTAGACGCGGCGCATGCCAGCAGCGGGGGGGCCGGGGTGTGGGCGGCACAAGCTGAGCTTCCAGCGCCTGGCAGTCGAGCCCTCCCTCTCTGCCGTGCTTGCCCGCGCCGCTGCTGCCACCGCCGTCGCCGCTGCTTCTGATGATGGTGGTGGTGGTGGACGTGGTGCTGGTGGCGTTGGTGCTGGTGGTGTTGGTGCTGGTGCTTCTGCTGCGTCTGCTGGTGCTGCTGGTGCTGCTGCTGCTGCTGCTGCTGTGAGGGGAGGAGCACTAGAGGGAGGTGAAGGAAGTCGCATGAGTGTGACGATTGGAAAGGGTGGAGGATTGGAGGGTGCTGGTGGGTATGCTGGTGTTGGGGAGCAGGAGGAGCAGCAGGAGCAGGGGAAAGAGGGGGAGGAAGGGGGTGAGGAGGATGGGGGGTTGGAGAGGGAGAGAGAGATGCAGAGGCGACTGCTGCAAAGGTTCCTGATGCAGGAAGGGGAAGGGGCGGAGGCAGAGGGGGCGAAGGTGGAGGGGGGAGGGGTGGGCGATGGGGGGAGTAAGGGGGATTGGGGGGAGAAGGGTGTGGAGGGGAGGGATGGGAGTGGGAGTGGTGGGCGGAAGGGAAGTGAGGGGGGAGGGGGAGACGGTGATGTGGTGATGAGCGAGGGGCGTGGTGGGGCAGAGGCAGAGGACGAGGAAGAGAATGAGGAAGAGGAGGAAGTGGAGGAAGAGGAGGAGGACGATGGTTTGAACATCAACCTGACATGGAGTGGGCCCAGCAAAGGCAGCAAAACCAGTGAGAATATGAGTAGCAAGGGGTTACAGGAAATGGAGTCTAGTGCAGTGGCAGCCACGGAAAGGACAGGTGGTGTTGGTGGTGTGAGTGGTGTACCAACTGAGAGCACACATGTTGCTGCAGGCAGGGAGCAGGGAAAGGCACTGCTGAAAGCATCTCGTGAGGGAAATCAAGGGAAGGGAGAAGGTGGAGTGACTCCCGTGGTGAGGGGAGCAGAGGGAAGGCAACGGGAGGAATTGGCAGGGATGAAAGTGGTTGGGGAGAAAGGCGTAAAAGAGAAAGAAACAAGGAAAAAGGAAGAGGAGGTTGTGGAAGAGAAAGTACCGACAAAGAAGGTGGGGAGTGAGAGGAAGGAACAAGTGGGGAAGACAGGGGAGGGGGGTTCTCGGTGGGATAGGTTGTTTGCTGTTGCTTCGTGTGAGGTGGAGGAGGAGGAGGAGGAGGAGGAGGAGGAGGAGGAGGAGGAGGAGGAGGAGGAGGAGGAGGAGGAGGAGGAGGAGGAGGAAGGGGATGTAGAGGAAGGAAAGGGGAAAGAGGGGAAGGAGCGAGGGCAAAAGGATTGGGGAAGCTCAAATCTAAAGGGAGCATATGAGGGAATGGAAGAAGATGAACTGAAAGAGGATGAGTTGGAGGGTTGGAGTGAGGAGGGTGAGGAGAGTGAAGAGGAAGGAGGGGAAGTGGAGAGGAGGGAAGTCAAGGAGGTACTGAAAGTGGGAGAGGAGCGAGAGGAGGAGGAGATGGAAATGGAGGGGGAAGGGGGTGAGGGACAGGAGGAAGGCGAGGGAGAGGAGGGCGAGGGAGAAGAGGAGGGTGATGGAGAGGAGGAGGGCGAGGGAGAAGAGGAAGGGGAGGTTGAAGAGGGTGGAGAAGGGAGTGAGTATGAGGGAGTAGAGGAAGGGGAGGAGGAGGAAGGTGAGGGGAGTGAGGAGGGCGAGGAGGATGCACGGGACGATGAGGATGAAGGGGAGGAAGATGAGGCAGCATGGGAGGATGACAAGAGAGTGAGGGAGGTGGAAGAAGGGGAGGAGGGGGAGGAGGATGTGGGAGAGGAGGGGGAGGAGGAGGAGGAGGAGGAGGAGGAGGAGGAGGAGGAGGAGGAGGAGGAGGAGGAGGAGGAGGAGGAGGAGGGGAGGAGGGAGGAGGAGGAGGAGGAGGAGGAGGAGGAGGAGGAGGAGGAGGAGGAGGAGGAGGAGGAGGAGGAGGAGGAGAGGAGGGGGAGGGGGAGGAGGACGAGGAGGAAGAGGAAGGAAATGAGAGTGATAAGCACAAAAAGAAGGCTGCAGTAGTGCCTTCGTGGGACAGCCTGTTTGCATTGGCTGCTGGGGAGGGTCTTGGTGCTGGGGACGGAAAGGAGAAGGAAGATGGAAGGAAAGGCTCTGTAAAAGATGGTGGTAGCAGTGGTGGGAGAGGGAAGAGGAAAGGGCTCCTGGAGGGGTGTAGTGCTGGTGATGATGGTGGCGCCACTAGTGCTGGTGGAGGAGGAGGAAAGCGACAGAAGAGAGAAGAGCTCATATTGAAGCCATCAAGGGATGGTGATGGCAGTGCTAGTGCTGCTGTTGGTGGTGGTGGTGGTACTGGTGCTGCTGCTGGTAGTGCCACTGGTTCTGGCGCTGCTGCTAGTGCTGGTGGTGAGGCTGCTGGCGATGCGGCAACAGCAGCAGCAACAGCACCGAGTGGGGGTCTGGCGGAGAGGCAGGAGCAGGTGGGTAGCGCGTGGGTGCAGAAGTTCACGTGGAAATCGCTCACTAGCGCTGATGGTAGACTTTCCTTCTCCCTCAAACCGGTTCTGGGTGAACTGAAGAGCGTTGCGGCGCTAGAGGGAGGAGGTGGGACGAAAGAGGGAGGAGGTGGGGAGGAAGGGAAGGAGCAGGTGACGCGAGGTGGGGAAGGACAGGGAGGAGGGGAGCGGGAGGGGGAGGCGGGAGGGGGTGGGAGGAGGGAAGGTGGGTCTTTGTTTGGGGCAGAGCTTGTAGCGCCTGTAGCAGTTGGCTTGGGTGGTGTTGGTGCTGGTGGTAGTGGGGTTGGTGGTGCTGCTGGTGGTGGGTTTGCGGGGAGAGGGGAGAGTTGGGGGAGAGGGTGGAGAGGGGGCAGGGGAGGTAGGTTTGGGAGGGGGAGGGGAGGGGTTGGAAGGGGAGGAGGGTTGGATGGGGGTGCAGGAGAGGGGGAGGGAGGAGGTTCATCCGGGGGAGGTATACCTGACCTGTTGGCTTTGGAAGAAGCCAGAGGGGCAGGTAACGTGGAGAAGCTTCTAATGGACATGGGAGGAAGCTTCCTTAAGTCGGAGGCGGAGGAGGGGAAGTGGAACCGCAAGAAGAGTGAGCTGCGGCTGGAGTTGAAGCGGCAGCAGAAGTTTGCTTTGAGGAAGATGATGAAGTGAAGCTGTTTGTGCCTGGATTTATGTGAGTTTGGAGGCGTTTTTCTGATGGGAAAGGTACGTTAGCATCAGAAGTTCGCTTGGGACGATTGTACTTGGTCTTTTGGGGACATATGAGATATCACAAACAAGTAGCATATTAATTACAATTCGTTATAACAGATCTGGTTACACTGCAATTCTTTGCTCTGTTGTGCTGTTCGCAACTCCAGCAGTGAGACTGCAAAAATGTGAGGTGGCGCGGCAAATCCTGATCCGAACCAGTTCAGCGCTTGAAGCACGTGCGAACCTATCCGCTCACGCGTCGCGTGACATCGCTTTTCTGCTCAAACCTCGTCAGCAAAAACTGGTGGCCTTGAAAACAGTGGTTGGAAGCAAATTTGACCCCAGGCAGTTGTGCGTTAGGCAGGTTCCTGGTCCTGCACTTGGACAAGTCGTGCATCTTTGCTTGTGGTGACGAGATCGCCACTTCAGCCACGTCGAATCTCCACGGATAGGGGAATGAAAGTGGCCAGCAATGTGAGCTTTATTCGAACCGCGCACTCAGAAATATTGCTGAAGCAGAGGCACCCTACAAGAAACCCTCTTGAACCGTCTTGTAACTTTCGGTACCACCGTAGACCGCGTGTCGGTCAATGAATTAGTCGCTGGCTGGACTTTCCCCCACCTGCTCGGGACGCACTAGGGTTTCGTGTGGTAACTGCTGCTGCTGCTGCTGCTGCTTACCCAGAATGTTGGTCGACGAAGCAGGCATCCGTCACCATTCACCAACCTTGTGAGACGCGAGACCCATTCACTCTCACACCAGGTTGGCGGGAAAGGTGATAAGAGACCATTCGAGCACTAGCAATTTGACTGGGATTCTATCCTTCGACAAGTTTCGCTCCGCGTAACGACGTAATTACGAACCCGTCTACCCAACCACCCTAGGCACGACCTAAGGTTCACGGTGAAACGACATTTCTGACTAAAGCTAATAGTTCGTGCCAATGGAGGCCAGCGTAACCCCAGCATGGAAAGCGCAAGCGCGTACGCACGCGACCGCCATATCCACCGCTTCCACCGCTAACTCCTCCCTCGCGGCTTCTGCTTACGTGTCGTCCGCCGTGCCGAAGCCGCACCACCACCGCAGCCAACGACGCGGCGCCGGCTTTCTCTGCCCGCGCTCGCGGATCGTTTACATGCGCGCCCCGTTCACGCGGCCACCCAGGCGACACGTTCCTAGTGTGCTCGTGCTTTCGCGGTCCGGAAGGCGCTGCCGCGGAGACGGCCTTAAGTGCCACGTATTAGTGCCTGAGTGTCCTTCTCCTGGCGAGCTGAGCGAAGGGGAGGGGGAGAATTCGCGCGGACCGGACGGGCTCCGGTGGAGGCGGGGGCAGAGGGGCTCGGCGCGCAGCGAGAATTTGGCGGTGGAACAGCAGGCGGAAGAGAAACCCGACGGTTGGGAGTTTGTTGGGTCGAGTGGCGATTCTTCAGGTTCCGGAGACGAGGGTTCGAATCCTCACGAGTTCACATTTTCGGCGGAAAACAGTGTGATGGTGGACCAAGTGCGAATGCTGCAGCACATTCACTCCTGCGCGCACGCGGAAGATGAGGTTGCAGGGGGGGATGCGGGGGGGATAATGCGCGCGACCGCGGGGGGAATGAAGCCGCGCGTGCTGAAAGCGAGCACGCCGATTCGTGATATTTATAAATCGGAAGGTACGCCAGGCGAAGTTCGCCAATTTAGGGGAGGAAGAGAGGAAGTAGGAATGGAAATGGAAGAGTGGGGGAGGTGAGAATGCTGGGGGAATGGAGGTCCGTGAATGTGAAGGGGGTGCGCGGAGGAGACATCAGACCCTGATACATAAGCGAAACCCCCCTTCGTCCCCCTTCCCCATCCCACCCGCTCGCCCCCTTTTCCCCTCTCCCACTCCCTCGTTCCACCCTTTGCTCTTTCTTTCAACCCGCACCCCCAACCTTCTCACGCTCACCGATTCTGCATCCGTAAATTTTGTTTGTTATTTATTTTCTCTTCCCCTTCCCCCCCCCCCTTCCCCTCCTCCCGCGCACCCTCAACCCCCTCCCTTCCCTAACCCTGCATTTGCTTTCACACCCGCGGTCCCGCTTTCCTGCTCACTGCACGCCTTCTTATCTCGCATTCCCTTCTATCCCCTCCCCTCTCTCTTTCCGTTTTTTGTAAAACTAGTATGCGAGGCCTCCGTTCCGCCTCACCCTCACTTCCCCTTCGCCTTCTCTCCGCCGCACGGTTTCCCTCCCCCCCTATTCCCCTCCTTTCTCCTCTCTCCCCTCTCCTCTCCCCCCCACCCCGGGTTCTCGCAGGTCCTATCGACGAGGATGTGGTGTGCATGCAGGCCGACTGGCCGCTGACGTGGACGCACATCACGCTTGCGACTGGCGTGTCGGTGGGCTCCGGGATTGCCGGGCCCGAGGACGTCACGATGCTGACTCAGGCGACAACTTGCACCGCCATTCTGTGCTTGCAGGTGCGTGCCTGTAGCGTGGTAAGGTTCGCATTGACATTGGGTACTGTTGTAGTGCGGTTATAGGTGTTTAGTTATAGAGGCGTTACAGACGCGTGGTTGCAAAGAGGAGTTGTCGCACTGGCGAGGAATCCAAACCCTGTTTTCTCCGAGCGTACGCGACAACAGTGTCCCGGTGTTTCTCTTGCATACGTTTCTCTATGGTTTGGTTGTGCTTTTTGTTTGACATGGACACTGTACTTTCACGCACATTTTCGACGTTTTTCCGATCGTTTTCACCTTGGGATTGGCTTTCCGTGCAATCACTAGTCAGGGTTGGTTCGAGCAATGCCCGCAGCCGCAGCAAAGTCGGAAACGCATGAACGGACTGTGCTCATTGACCCGTTGCTGTTTACTGTTCGACATGAAGATTCGCAGGCACTCAAGGCTTATTTATTGAAAATAGGAGGCTTTTGAACTTTTATCAACACGCATAGGAGGCTTTTGAACTTTTATTAACACGCATAGGAGGCTTTTGGCTTTTATTAACGTTTTTCTTCCTCTTCTTTCTTATTTTTCCGCCCATCCATTAAGCGAGTCGCCAGTGCTCCTTATCCAGCGTGTCTCCATGCTCCGCATGAGTCGACTCAACATTCATCCATCTCTTCCCGTCCATGGCAGGGCGAGGAGTCCTTGGAGTCGTTCGGAGTTAACTGGAAGGCGGTTCAGGAGCAGGCGGAGCAGTGTGACGTCGCCATGTTCCGTGTTCCCGTGCCAGAGTTCGACCAGCAGAAACAGGTGAGTTAGCTCCGACGATTTTTCGAAAACACTTATAGCGATTTAGGCCCAACAGCTTGTACCTGCTGAAATTCTTGCAGGAGAAGTTGACGAAATGCGAAAGTGAACTTTTGTGCCTCGCACAACTCTGCCGGTGTCTGTTTCCTCTCGTTCCCTTTAAATATGTCGAAATCGCAGGTTGCTGGGATGGTGGAGGCGGTGCGTCTCCTGGCATCGCTGCTAGTGACAGGTCACAGGGTCCACGTGGCATGCGCTACAGGGAAGAACTGCAGCCCGCTGGTCGTGCTAGGGTGAGATAACGCGGTGGTTTGTGGTTCAGTCAGTGTGCTGCTGCTATTCTAGGTTAGGTCTTGTGCGGTATTGCCTGTAGGTCTCTTTCCCGGTTCCCCCGCCTCCCACTCCCACACCCACGCGCCTCTCTCACCCGTCCAGCTACCTGACGCCCTGCCATGGCCTAGCATAGTGCGTTGCCAAGCCTTTGATAGATCACAGCGGCACCTTGACGACGCAGGTCTGTCTTTCACTACATCTAATGCTGGCAATCCTCTTTCCCCCCATCCCTGTCTCCTCGCTCTTTTCCCCGCTCTTACCCTCCATCTCTCCCTTCCTGCCCAGCTACCTGACGTTCTTCCAGGGCCTAGCATGGAGCGAGGCCAAGGCCATGATAGTCGACAGCGTTGTGTTGATACAGTCTGTCTTGGTGTGGCGCTCACTCTCTCCGCTCCTCCACCCCCACTCGTCTGTTCCCCCCGCGCCCAGCTACTTGACGTTCTTCCAGGGCCTAGCATGGAGCGAGGCCAAGGCCATGATAGTCGACAGCGTTCCGTCCGCGGATCCGTCGCACGAGGCATGGGAGCAGGTGAGCGTGACTGGGCGCCGTAAAAGTTTTTCTTTTTAGTGTTATCCTTACCCGTCCCCTTTCCGCCTTTCCCCGCTTCCCCCACCGTCTTGGGTTGAGCAGTACCAGCACCGCATAGAGCAGGGCGCCCCCTGTCCCCCTTAGTCCTTACCCCCTTCCCCGCCACCTCCCCTCCCCTGTGCTTTCCCCCTTCCCCAGGCGCGTCTCGTTCTGTCAGCAGCGGGCGGGGCGGGCGCGCACAGGATGACGGAACTGGCAGAGGAGCATTACCAGCGCCGCATAGAGCAGGGCGCGGGCCATACACCGCCCTCTTCCCCCCTTAGTTCTCCTTACCCTCTTTCCCCGCCGCCTCCCCTCCGCTGTGATTTACCCAGGCTCGGCTGGTGCTGTCAGGTCAGCGGCAGACGGGGTGGGCGCTCACCGCATGACGGAATTAGCGGCGCATAGAGCAGGGCGCGGGCGATACACCATGCTTCAACCCCCTACCCCTTCCCTCTCCCCTCCTCCTTCCCCCTGTCTCACCCAGGCCCGGCTGGTGCTGTCAGCAGCGGACGGGGTGGGTGCGCACAGGATGACAGAGCTGGCAAAATAGCAGTACCAGCGGCGCATAGAGCAGGGCGCGGGCGACGCTCCTCCCCTAATTACTTTCCCTCTGTTCTCCCCGTCTCCAGGCTCGTCTCGTTCTGTCAGCGGCAGATGGGGTGGGCGCGCACAGGATGACGGAACTAGCAGAGGAGCAGTACCAGCGGCGCATAGAGCAGGGCGCGGGCGCGGAGGGCGGGGGGCAGACGGCGAGGGATGACTGGGAGGAGGCGCAGAGGCGGCTCATCACTGAGACGCTGCAGCACAGGGTGTCCGCGGACGTGACCATCTCGCAGTCTCTCTCCAAGGTAAGCCGACGTGGCAAAAGGCATGCACAAGGGAGGGGCACACAGAGGTTGATTCTTGCTGTAGGAGGCAGGCAAGGCAGACTGAGAGGGACGACTGGGAGGAGGCGCAGAGGCGGCTCATCACGGAGACGCTGCAGCACAGAGTTTTGGCGGATGTGACCATCTCGCAATCGCTCTCCAAGGTAAGCACATGCCTCAGTAGGCAGGCAGACACGAGGGATGGGGCAGGCAGGCAAGGCAGACATGGGGGATGGGCAGGCAGGCAAGGCAGGCGGCGAGGAACGACTGGGAGGAGGCGCAGAGGCGACTCATCACTGAGACGCTGCAGCACAGGGTGTCCGCGGACGTCACCATCTCGCAGTCTCTCTCCAAGGTAAGCAGTTGTCGCAACAGCATGCACAAGGGAGGGAGGGGGCAGAAAGGCACAAGGGAGGGGGCAGGGAGGGAGGTACACAGACATATTCTGTTGTGAGAATGCTTGTGAAGGAGGCAGGCAAGGCAGGAAGCAAGGGACGACTGGGAGGAGGCGCAGAGGCAGGAGCGTGCATAGATGCTGGTATTTTATTTTCCTCTACTTCATTCCTTTCTCTCTCCGTCCCCGCTCCCCATTCTCTTCTGCTTCCTTCCCCCCTCCTACGCCCATCCAGGCGGCATCGCGCCAGGCGTCATCTCCCAAGCTATCAAACGATCCTCCCTGTTCCCCTCACCTCTCGCCCTCCCCCCTCCCCCCTCCCCCGTCCTCATTCCCCCCTCCCCATTCCCGTTCCCTCCCTCCACCCCTGTTTGCCCATCCAGGCGGCATCTCGCCAGGCGTCATCTCCCAAGCCAAAGGAGGTGCAGCAGAGCTTCGCTCCCGTGGCCGACCCGCAGATAGCGCCTCCACTGGATACGCCCTTCCAGGTACCTGCCTGCTCGCTGTTGTGACTCCAGATATGTATGGCAGCCTCCCATCATTGCTCCCCCCAATGCCCCCTCGCTGCTCCCCCGCACGCCCCCTCGCTGCTCCCATCACTCTCATCCCTGTCGCTCCCCGTCCTACTCACACCCTTGGTCCCACAGCAGCAGCCGCACATCCTTGACCCAGCCTACTCCTTCCTCAACGTCCATCACGCCCACTCACTGCATCCTCTCACTCCTGTCACTGTTACACCCCCCCCTCCTCCCTCCCACCCTCCCGCCACCACAGCAGTACATACTCGACTCGGTCTACTCATTTGTCAACGACCACCACTCCCACACATGGCCCCTCGCTGCCCCATCTACCTGCTTCCTCTCATTCCTGCTGCCCGTCTTTCTCCCCTCCCCTTTTTCCAGCAGCAGCCGCACATACTCGACTCGGTGTACTCCTTTGTCAACGACCATCACGCCCATGCATGGCCCCTCGCCGCCCCACCTCCCCGCATCCCCTCATTCCTGCTGCCCCTCTTTCCCCTCTCCCCTTCCCTCACAGCAGCAGCCGCACATACTCGACTCGGTCTACTCCTTTGTCAACGACCATCACGCCCATGCATGGCCCCTCGCTGCCCCACCTCCCCGCATCCCCTCATTCCTGCTGCCCCTCTTTCTCCCTTGCCCCTTCCCTCACAGCAGCAGCCGCACATACTCGACTCGGTCTACTCCTTTGTCAACGACCATCACGCCCACACATGGCCCCTCACTGCCCCACCTCCCGCCGACGCCCCTCCTGCCCACGACCTCTCCGCTCTTGCTGCCTCTGAGGGGACTGGCTTCCCAGGGGGGGGTGTACTGGACGGGGAGGGTGTTGTGGGGGAGGTGGCATCTGGAGTGGAGGAGCGCATTGCTCTGCTGGAGCAGAAGCACCTGGCGGCCATGGCTGCTGCTCGATCCGCCACAGAACAGGTACGGAGAGGCGTGTGTGTGTGTATCTCGGCAGATGCAGATACGCTGACAAACAAATCTTTACAATCCATCAGCTGCCCCACCCCTTTATCTCACCTCTCTCGTTCCTCCCTCCCCCCTCCCTCCTCCCTACTCCCTCCTCCCTCTATTCAGTTGCGTTTCTTCATGCAGCACGTGAATGAGTTAAGGGCGAGCGCGACAGCAGCAGCAGTGTCTGCTTGCCCTACGCTTATTTGATTTCATCACCATGTCTGCTTCCTTTCCCTCCTCCCCCTCGCTATTCAGGTGCGATTCTTCATGCAGCACGTGAGTGAGCTGAGGGAGAGCGAGACAGCAGCGCGCATGGAGGCAGCAGCAGCACCCGCCTGCCCTGCCCTGCCCTTCTTCTATCCACCTTAACCAAACCATCTTTTTTTTCCATCATCCTGTCCTTTCCTCCCTCCATGCAGGTGCGATTCTTCATGCAGCACGTGAGTGAGCTGAGGGAGAGCGAGACAGCAGCTCGCATGGAGGCAGCAGCAGCACACGAGCGCATTGCGCTGCTCACCGCCCAGGTCGAAGCCCTCAACCCTTTCCAGCAGCAACAGCAGCTTCAGCAGGAGGAGGAAATGCAGCAGCGGGAGAAGGAGCAGCAGGCCTCTGCGTTCCTAGGAGTTGATTCTGCAGCTGCTGCTGCTGCCGCGGCGGCGCGGCAGAAGCGACAGCGGCAGCGGTGGTTGCGGCAACAGCAGAGGCCGAAGCAGCCGCAGCGGCAGCAGCGGAGCGAGAATCGGCACTCCACACCCAGCTTTCGGAAGTTTCCCAGGAACTTTCTCTCCTTCAGGAGCGGGAGCGGGAGCTTTTATCGGCCCACGAAGCAGCCGAGGCGAAAGCACAGGCAGCGGAAGAGCGGGCTGCGGAATTAGCCAATAGAATCGCTCAGATGGAAGAAATGGAAGCTGCAGCTAAGGAAGCAGCAGCGGTGGCTTTGGAGCGAATGCAGGCGCTGGCCGAACAGGTGAAGGAACTTTCCGAGAAGGAGCGTACGGCTGCCGCACGGATGGGCGAGATGGAGACGAGGCTGGAGGAAGCTTCCGAGAAAGCGGCGGCGGATCACGACCTGATGGTGAAGCTGGAAGACCGGGCGGAACGGGCAGAAAAAGAAGCGAGGAAAGCGCAGGAGGCGCTAGGGGCAGCGAACGAGCGGGTGAAATTTTTCTTCCGGGTGATGAGAGGGCTCCGGGATAGGGAGCGAGCGGCGAAAGAAGCTATGCATGCTGCGACTGACAGGCTTGAAGCTGCTGTGACTGAAGCGGAGAATCTCCGGAGGAAGGACGAGTTGATGCGAGAGGCGTGGGCGGTGGCGAGTGAACGGATCGAGCTGCTGACGCGGCAGGTGCAGCAAGTGGAAGGGCTGAAAATGGAGGTGAAAAGAGAGGCGGTGGATGCTGCGAAAGTGTTTTTGCATGAGAGTGACGAGCACCGGCTGATGGTTGTGAGGGAGGAGTTGAGCGCAGCGGAGGAGAGGGAGAGGATGCTGCAGGCGCAGTTGGAGAGGCTGGGTGCTGAGCTGGCGGCGGCAAGAGATGACATGGCGGAGCGTGACGCCAGGCTGGCGGCAGTGGCTGCTGAGGTGGCGGAGAGGGAGCGTGCGGTGGAGGAGAGCCGGGCGGCGATTGGGGCGGCAGAGAAGAGGATCAAGGAGCTGGAAGAGCAGGTGGGGGTGGCGGAGGAGAGGGAGAGGAAGGCGAAGAGGGAGGCTCAGGAGGCAGAGGCGGTTCTCGCTGCTGCTTTGGCTGCTGCTGAGACGAAAGACCGAGAGTACACCCTCATGGAGACGTCTCAGAAGAGTCCCTCAGCTGCAGCAGCCGGAGCTGTTTCCGCTGCTGCTGGTGCTGCTGCTGCAGCTGGTTCTGGTGGTGCCAGCAGTGCTGCTGGTGCTGCAGCAAGCAGTGCAGCAGATCAGCTGATCGCACGCCTGCAATCCCAAGTGGCTGCCATGTCCAGTGAGCTTGCGGGCGCCCGCAACGCCGCTGCTGCTGCGAGCGAACGGAGCGCTTTCCTCATGCGGCAAGTGGCTCGGTTGAAAGGGACCGCCGCTGCTGACGCTGTGGCGCGATCAGGGGGAGGAGGGGGAAAGGGGGAAGGGTCGAGCTCGAAACACAAGGTGGCGGCTTTAGAGGTGGAGATTCGGGCACTGGAGAAACGTGAACGCGCAGCTCGGGCAGAAGCGGAGGCCGAAAAGGCCCGGGTGCGGGAGCTCGAGGCGCAGGTCGGGCAGCTGGAAAGCAAGGAGCGGGCAGCCCGGGAAAAACTCCAGTCGTCTCAGGACCGGGTGGGGTTCTTCCTGCGGCAAGCGGTGGAGCTGAGGGAAAGAGAGGGCGCGAGTAAGAGCGCGCTAAAAGAAACTTTTAAGAAAGTGGAGGGGCTGTCGCACCAAGTGGGGTTGCTGCAGGGGGAGTTGGCGCGGGCTAGCAGGGAGTCTGGGAAGTCTACTGATACTGTGGAGAGGCTTCAGCAACTTACACTGGAGCTGAAAGAAAGGTATGACTGAGGTTGAAAGGATTGTATTGTGGTATGAGGGTGAGTCGTCACCAAGTGGGGCAGGGAGAGTTGTGTAGGCGAGCAACGGGTCTGGGATGTCCATGGATACTGTGGAGAGGCTTCAGCTGCTGACAACGGAGCTGAAAGAAAAATATGTGGAGGGAGCCAGTAATTTAGTTTTTTTTGCTTGCTAGTTATGATTTGTTCTGTTCTGTTTATTGATAACTAATATATGGTGTTGTGATGGTGTGGGGGTGGTGGTGGTGGTTGTGATGGGTATGATGGTTGGTTGTGATGATGGTTGTGGTGGTGGTGCTTGCAGGATCCACGAGACGTCTCGAGTGGCCAGCAGCATCAAGAAGGTTCCTGGGTCGTCCAGGATCAATGGATTCGAGCGAAACGGAGCAGGGCTTGGGGTGCTCAAGGCTCCTGAACTCACTGCTTCAGATGCAGCTGCCAACAATGGCGCTAGTAATGGAGCTGCTGCTAGTAATGGTGCTGCTGCTTCAAGAAACGTGAAAGGGGAGAAGGAGAAGAAGGATGATGACAATGACGACTTCTTTGGAGGGTCGGGCAGCGGGGGAGGAGGGGGAGGGGGCAGAGGAGTGCCAGCAGCACAAGGGAAGGCGAGCAGCAGTGGGTCGCGTGCAGCTTCTCCCTCCTTTAAATCTCTGGTGGGTCCCTCTCCCTCTCCCGTTCGCTCTCCCTCTCCCGTTCGCTCTCCCTCTCCCGTTCGCTCTCCCTCTCCTTCTCCCTCTCCCTCTCCCTCTCCCTCTCCCTCTCCCTCTCCCTCTCCCGTTCCCTCTCCCTCTACCTCCCCCTTTCCTTCTCCCTCTCCCTATCCCTCTCCCTCTCAATCTCCCTCTTCCTCTCCTTTTCCTTACTCCCCCTTGTCAGAGCCGTTTCCTCCCACCGTTCTTCCTCTCCCCCCTTTGAAACGCAGCTCACGTCACCTCAATTCACCTTGCTTCACTCACCTGAACCCACCCTCTTCATCCTCCATTTCTGTTTCTGCTTTGTCCTGCCCACGTCCTCCTCCCACCAGAAGGCAACCCAACACCCCACACAACCCAGCAGCACCGCGTTCTCCTCCTTCCAGCAAGCAGCAGCAGCAGTCACAATAGCAGCAGCAGCAGCAGTCACAGCGGCAGCAGGAGCAACAGCAGGAGAGTACACAGCCGAACTCTCAGACACAGCAACGCTGGTTGCCATGGTTACCACCCTCCAGTCCCAAGCCTCCTCTCTCCGAGCCTCCCGCCAAACCGCCCTCGCCTCCGTGGCAGCCTCCCATTGGCCGTTCCAATCGCTGCCAGTTTACGCTGCCCCGGTTAGTGCCTCTTCGAGCAACAAAAGAAAGGGAGGGAAAGCGAATGACGGGAAGGTGGAGAAGGGAGGAGTAGAAGTCGGGTGGTGGATGGACCAATCGCAGTCCCTGAAAGCAGATGATGTTTCGCCTGCTGCTCTCTCTCCCTCTTCCCCCGCCTCTCCTTTGGACTCCTTTCGAAGAGCCCTCACCACTCTGGCTCTCCCCATCCCCTTCCACCAACTGGGAATGAGGAAGAAGGGGTCTGCGGAACCTGCAGCAGGAGATGCTGCACCAGAAGGGCCTTCCCCAGGTAATGCCGAAGGTAGCGGGCGGCGGGAAGGGGGTGAGTGGGGATGGGTGGCTGCGGCTGTGCTGGTGCTCCTGCCGTTGCTGCTGGGTCCTAGTGACGCCCTCGGAATGTGAATTGGTTGACTCTGGTCGAGTTAGAATCTCTGCTGCTGGTTTATTTATTACGGTATGCTGGCTGGGATATGAGATTATGAGAATGTGTGTAGAACTGTTCTTGTTGCAATGCGTTGGCTTGCAACAGGGTTTAGATATGAATGTATGATTTGGTACCTGGCTGGCGTAGATGTGCCTTGGTTTGCTTTACTTTATACTGTACTTGTGTATAACGTATGAATGTGTATGTGGGGTTTGACCTGGGCTGCGAGTTGGCGTTTAGTTTGGTTGTGGTTTTGTTAAGTTTTGAGTAATGATGATTCTTCAACCTGGTTGAATCGCGAAGTACAATTTCTTCAATGAAACGTTGTAGCGACTTGCATCATATCATGGACGGCTGGTGCACCCTACGCCAGTTACAACACGTTGTATTTCGCGTGACTTCGTCCACACACCTCGCGTCTTTCGTTGCTTTCCGGCATTCATGAAAACATAACCCTGATGGCTCGGGCTTGTGGTGGCAAGGCAAATCGAGACCCACATTTTGTCGGTGGCCGTGTTTGTGCTAGGAAGAGCACCAATGGCACCTTGGGCCAGGCGCGCTAGCGCATCCCCCGCTGTAATTTCCCCCCCGACTTTCAACCTCCGCCACCCATCTGCCCGGCCTGGGGGTTCGCCTGCCGGTCGGGCTGCTTGTGTGCGGATGTAATCCCCCACTCCCCCGTGTGGCTGGTTGGGTTGGGGGAGGTTATAGGGCAGGCTGGCGACGTCGGGGTTTTAGGAATTGAAGCATCTCGTAACGAGTCGCGCTCCATCGAAATGTAGCGCCGACTGCGCATTTTAGCCCAAAATGGCGACCCGAGATTGGCCTGTGTGTTCAGCTCAACTCAATCACCTTCAGCGACTACCCACACCGCAGCGCACCGCTTTCTTTGATTTCGCACAGACATCGCCAGCCACCTGCCAGTGAACACCCAGCTCCCAGCCTTGACTCCGGTCAGCTTCAATACCTCCCGACTTGCTCATCCACCCGTCGAATAATTTTTGCCTAACCCGTTCTTCATAACCGTACATTTGCCTTCGTTTCAGAGGGCTCAGCAACCCGCGTTCCCTGGATAACAAATAAAGTTTTTCCGTGGTCAATTGAAGCATGTGAAGCTTGAGTTTAGCTTGGCATGTGAAGCTGGTCTGAGCGGCTCCGTCTGTCCCACAGAGCTTCTTCTCGTTGTGCGCCTCGAAAGGCAGGCCTGGGCTGGGAAAGACACCATCGAAATTGCCCCTATCAGTTCCTCCCGTAAGCTGGAGCAGCAGTTTCACGCCCAGCACTCATCACTCCTATCCCATCCCCCACCTTGATCACAACACAACCCATGCATGCTTCCTCCTGCACATCTGTTGCTGACCGACTGTGTCTCTCTTTCTTGACAGCCTGGGCGTATCTGCCTGCCTCTTACTTGAAAATCCGTCTACTGTTGACGGCAATTGCTTACTTGTTGACGGCAATCGCTTTTCTACTCATCATCGATCTGCTCTTCCCTAAGCAAATACTCGTAGACGAGGCCATCGCTTCCCACGGCAGCATGCACTGAACTTTAGTCATCTCCTCTGCCACGCGTACTATGTCTACTCTCGGAACTTTAGGACGAGTTTAGATCCATTAACGTAGCAGGCCACCACTCTCAACTGCTTCGTTACACCAGCGAAGCAATTTGCCCTTTTTTTCGCCAACTACTACCATTTCGTCACTGGGTCTCTCAGCTAAGTAGTTTCTGGCCATGCGCTTCAAGTCTAAGACTGTTTAGAGCCTTCTCGAGCTCGGTATGGTGACATGATGCGTCGACTAGAGCAGTTTGTATGAGCTGTTAGATCGGTATAGAACGAGACAGTATCGAATCGACGTTACGATTACGACGCGCAAACACTCCGCGCCCAGTCATTCAGGAGTCTTGAGTTCTGTAGAGCAGCCACGTCAGCAGCCACCTCGGCTGGGTGAAGCAGCCACCTCGGCTGGGTGAAGCAGCCACCTCGGCTGGGTGAAGCAGCCACCTCATCTGCTCCTTACCATGGCGCAAGCTTCCTCGCCGTCGTACGGTCTAGTTCGCAGCTCCGTCCGCCGCACTCGGCCTCATGATCCGCTACAGTACCCACATGCGGCTCGGCTCCCATTGACTGTTGAGGCGCCCCTAGATGCAGTCTGGCTCGCGGTTCTGCTCCTCGTGACGGCCAGTGCCTTCTGTCCGGTGATTTTGCCGGCTGCGTCAGCCCCGGTTTGCAATATTTTCGAAGGCCGGTGGGTAGTTGACGGCAACCGACCGCCGTATCAAGACTCGTGCCCCTTTCTGGTAAGGTTTCTTTTTTATGAGCCTTGCTCTAGGATTTCTGACTTACACTGCTGTGTATATTGGTAATCTCGGTTCATTCTGTTTCATGGGAAGATTGAAGAGGGCATTGGCTGTTCCGTTTCTACTGGCAGTTCAACTTGACCCGTTGCACTACGAACGGCCGGCCGGACAACTCGTACGTTCGCTACTCGTGGTATTCGACAAGCTGCAAGAGAATAGTGCGGTTCAACCGAACGTACGTACGAACGAGCGCAAGCTACGGTTTTCAATGAAAGTCGTCACGTCGCATTCACTCTCCATCCCTTCCAACCCATTCCCATTCCCTCAAGAATCCCGTTGTCTCTTCTCTCTTTTCTTCCTTCGCTTGTCTCACATGTGTACATGTTGCCAACAGAGACAAGCTGATCGCATATCCCTTTTCTCCACTTCCCCCCCTTCACTGCCTTCCTTCAACCCCCAGGTTTCCCCCACCCATCCCTTCTTCTCCCCTCACCATACCCGCTCCCCCTGCACTATGCTCCGCTCGCCCTTTCTCTCACCACTCCCGCTCGCCCTTCCGTATGCTCCGCTCTCCCCCTTCTCCCACTATCACACTCGCTACAGTCACTTCGGACAGCTAATAAAGAACAAGCAGATCGCGATCATCGGCGACTCGCTCACGAGCGCTAACTTCGTGCCGTCACTGCTGTGCCAGGTGTGTGTGGGGGGGATGGGGCGAGGGAGGGTTGTGAGTGTTTGGGTGCGTATTTGGAAGGGAGAGGGGGGAGTGGGGAGGGTGGGGGGGTTGTGCGTGGGTGTGTATCATCAGCTCATACAGAACAAGCAGAACAGATTGCGATCATCGGCGACTCGCTCACGAGCGCAAACTTCGTGCCGTCGCTGCTCTGCCAGGTGTGTGCGTGTGTGTGTGCATGTGTGTGTGTGGGGGGGAGGGGGGAGGAAGGGGGGAGATGGATGGTAGGGCGGTTGAAGGGACCAGCTTCGAGAATACCGCATCAGTTTGCACACACAGAACCGAAATAACTCCACTCAATACACTCAATAACCCCCATGCCTTTACAGATTAACCAGCTGTACTGGGTGAGTCCGAAGCCCGAGCTGCGCACGTTGGATGGCGGCGCGTGGTCCAAGGATTCGCCCGAGGCGGTGGCTTACGTGTACTCGATCCCCGATCTCAACGCCAAGATCGTCATGCTCTGGGACGACTACCTCGTGCGCATCAACCAGAGTACGTTTCGCGACTGCTCTCTCTCGATACATTACAGAATGCGTGTAATCATATACACCTAGATGTAATCATACAAAATATCTCTTTTTAAAGTTTTGGTGTTTTCGAGGCGGTGGCGTGCGTGTATTCCATCGCGGAGCTAAACGCCAAGATCGTCATGCTCTGGGACGACTACCTCGTGCGCATCAACCACAGTACGATTTCCTCGCTACAACTCCCTCTTGTTACTTCATATGATTTATATTTCTACACGTATCTGTATGTGCATATGTATGGTGCTATACATTTCTGGGCATATGTTCACTCCATCCCCCATCTCAACGCCAAGGTCGTCATGCTTTGAGACGACTACCTCGTGCGCATCAACTAGAGTATGTCCCTCGCTACACCTCCTACTTCATACATGTATATATACATAAATTTATACACTACATTGCTTCTCCAATTGGGCCCCTCTCTTTGCCTTTCCCCGTTGCCTCCCCTTGCTGCCTCACCCCTCCGCTACCCCTCTCCACACGCCACAATGCTGGCCAAGGTGGGGGGAATAACATATCCAAAACCACCCCCCGGACTGTCTGATAGGGATGACCACGCCCAACCCGCAGTGGGCGCGCTACTTGGACGAGCGGCACACAGTGCTTCTAGAAACCACCATTTTATCCTCTCAGTCTGACCACCATTCCATCCTCTCAGTCAGACCACCATTCCATCCTCTCAGTCTGACCACCATTCCATCCTCTCAGTCTGACCACCATTCCATCCCCTCAGTCTGACCACCATTCCATCCTCTCAGTCTGACCACCATTCCATCCTCTCAGTCTGACCACCATTCCATCCTCTCAGTCTGACCACCATTCCATCCTCTCAGTCTGACCACCATTCCATCCTCTCAGTCTGACCACCATTCCATCCTCTCAGTGTGACCAGCATTCCATCCTCTCAGTCTGACCACCATTCCATGCTCTCAGTCAGACCACAATTCCATCCTCTCAGTCTGACCACCATTCCATCCTCTCAGTCTGACCACCATTCCATCCTCTCAGTCAGACCACCATTCCATCCTCTCAGTCTGACCACCATTCCATCCTCTCAGTCTGACCACCATTCCATCCTCTCAGTCAGACCACCATTCCATCCTCTCAGTCTGGCCCCCAAGCTGGCCGACTGTCTGATAGACGTCACCACGCCCAACCCCCAGTGGGCGCACAACTTGGACGAGTGGGACGCGGTTTTTCTGTTCGAAACCACCGGTGCAAGAAACCACCGTTTCTTTCTTTCAAGCTGTCGTTTTTCCCTCCTCTTCGCTCCACCCCTCCTGCCAGACGCTACAATGCTGGCAAAGGTCGGAGGAATCACGGACCCCAAGCCGGCTGACTGTCTGATAGACGTCACCACGCCCAACCCGCAGTGGGCGCGCTACCTGGACGAGTGGGACGCTGTGCTGCTCGAAACCACCACGCACTGGCGGTCGCTCTCTAAAGGGCCGCGAATGGTCTACACAAACGAGAATTGGAACAAACTGAGCCTCGACCAGTACCAGGCGCACAGGTGAGCAGTTTTTGTGTAATTTCATCCAAAGCCTGGGATTATCCCCCCTTTTAGAGCATGCTCGCTCTCTAAGGGCCCACAATGTGTACGCAAACGACAACTGAAGCAAGCTGAGCCTCGGCCAGTACCAGGCGGCGCACAGGTCTAGTTTTGAGGCGCCTCAAAAGTAGTGCTCGCTCTCTAAGGGCCCAGAATGGTGTACGCAAACGACAACTGGAGCAGGCTGAGCCTCGATCAGAACCAGGCGGCGCACAGGTGAGCAATCTGCCAACAGCCCTCAGTCAGCCCTCAGTCAGCCCTCAGTCAGCCCTCAGTCAGCCCTCAGTCAGCCCTCAGTCAGCCCTCAGTCAACCCTCAGTCAGCCCTCAGTCAGCCCTTAATCAGCTGAGCCTCGACCAGCACCAGGCGCACAGGTGAGCATTTAACACGCTCTACAGGTGTGATTCCTGCCTGGTGGGACTCGTCGCTACCCCAGTTCTCAAAGCACGCTTGCTCGCTCTCCAAGGGCCCAGAATGGTCTACACGAATGAGAACTGGAGCAAGCTAAGCCTCGACCAGTACCAGGCGCACAGGTGAGCATTTAACACGCTCTACAGGTGATTCCTGCATTTAACAAGCTGAGCCTCGACCAGTACCAGGCGCGCTCTACCCCCTCTTCCTCCAGCCCAGCCCGGACCTCACACGCCCTCACATTCGTGCCTCGACCAGTACCAGACGTACTCTACCCAACCTGGTACCCCTCGTCCTCCAGCCCAGCCCGGGCGAGCATTTGCTTGCACGCACATTCAGCAGTTGTAAGAAGTACCCGATTTGTGACGACCCGTGGGACCTCACATTCGTGGGATCTCACATTCGTGGGACCTCACATTCGTGCCTCGACCAGTACCAGACGTACTCTACCCAAGCTGGTACCCTCTTCCAAGCCAAGCCAAGCCAAGCCCGGACGAGCATTTGCACGCACATTCAGCAGTTGTAGGGAAGTTGAGGAAGCTACTTCCAGTCCCGCTGTTCATGAGCGTTCTTCTGTCTGACTGACCCCCCCCCTCCCTTTTCTCACCCACCTCCCACCATCCATCGGTCGTAACCGTGCTAGAGGGCTTTTGAGGCGTCTCAAAAGGTCGTCCATCGGTCGTAACCGTGCTAGAGGGCTTTTGAGGCGTCTCAAAAAGCCGTCCATCGGTCGTAACCGTGCTAGAGGGCCTAGGTATAGCATGCCGTACCCTCGTGGAAGCCTCTACGGTGGTTTATAAATCAGGTGCCTCTATGGTGGTTTATAAATCAGGCGCCTCTGCGGTGGTTTATAAATCAGGTGCCTCTACAGTGGTTTATAAGTCAGGTGCCTCTACAGTGGTTTATAAGTCAGGTGCCTCTACAGTGGTTTATAAGTCAGGTGCCTCTACAGTGGTTTATAAGTCAGGTGCCTCTACAGTGGTTTTCTCAGCCACCTCCTATACCCCCTATCCCCCCTCCTGAGGCGCCTCAAAAAACCCACCTCCCTCCTGAGGCGCCTCAAAAAACCCACCTCCCTCCTGAGGCGCCTCAAAAAACCCACCTCCCTCCTGAGGCGCCTCAAAAAACCCACCTCCCTCCTGAGGCGCCTCAAAAAACCCACCTCCCTCTTGAGGCGCCTCAAAGAACCCACCTCCCTCCTGAGGCGCCTCAAAAGTCGTCTCATCCACCTCCCATGCCTCCTATCCCCACTCTTCCCCTTCCATCCCGTCCCCCTTCTCTTAGCCAAGCCCTGATGAGCATTCGCACGCACCTCAGCAATCGCAAGAAGCTGGGGAAGGAGCTGCCAGTGCCTGTGCTGCTGTTCCCGTGCACCCTTCTGACTGAACCCCCACCCGTATCCTCTTTGACCCTTCTCTTAGCCAAGCCCTGATGAGCATTCGCACGCACCCCAGCAATCACAAGAAGCTGGGGAAGCAGCTGCCATGACAGTGCCCCCCCCTCATTGTCCTCTCTTCTGTACCCTTCACCTCCCCATATCCACCCTTCAGCCAAGCTCTCACAAGCGTTCGCACGCACTTGAGCAACCGCAAGAAGCTGGGGAAGCAGCTGCCAGTGCCCTTCTTCATGAGCGCCTTTTCGTGCTCACATCTCCCCTTTGACCTTCCACCTCCCAAAACATCCACAACCCCCATTCCCCCCCTCCATCTCCCCTTTCCCACCCCTCAGCCAAGCTCTCACGAGCGTTCGCACGCACTTCAGCAATCGAAAGAAGCTGGGGAAGCAGCTGCCAGTGCCTTTTTTCATGACGGCCCCCCCTCAGCACAACGCCAAGAAGGTTGGCGGCAAGGGCGTGTGTGGGTCACCTGGTCGAATGCTGAACGCGAAAGAGGTGAGAAGAGGATTGTGGGGGTCGCCAGTGGGCACGTAAGTGTCTGCCAGTGCTGCTCTCCATGACTGTCCCCCCGCAGCACAACGCCAAGAAGGTTGGCGGCAAGGGCATGTGTGGTGCGGGTTCACCTGGGAGGCTGCTGAAAGCGCAACAGGTGAGGCTGGTCTGTCAGTTATCCCTGGAAAAAATGAATCTAGAGAAGCAAGATCTTATTAATGCTGTTGTTGTCGTTGTTATTATTCTTCTTGTTGTTGTTATTGTTACTATTACCACTACTTTTATTTTAACGTACAGTTGAAAGAAAGCTTCCATGAAGGTTCATGTTTCACCTATCAAGCTGTGGCACTTCAGCGCACCCATGTGCACGTGAAACTCTTCCTGCCCATTCAAAGGGATTAAAGTGTTATTTTGAGACGTCTCAAAATACAGCGCACCCATGTGCTCATCCATCCAAGGGAAACAGCGCACCCATTGGGAAAATAGTGTCATTTTGATACGTCTCAAAATACAGCACACCCATGTGCACGTGAAACTCTTCCTGCCCATCCAAAGGAAGGTCATCACTCGCAGTGCCACCTCCTTCCTTTTCCTCCTTCCTTTGACTTTCCGCTTCCCCACCCCCCTCTCTCCCCCTATTTCTCTCAGATGGGCAAGCTACAGCGCACCAACGTGCAAATCAAGCTCTTCCCGCCCATCCAAGGGCAAGCCCACCCTGTCTTTCCCATCAGTACCTTCCCATTCCTCCCTCTCTATATTGAAAGCACTTATGAGAATTCTCATAAGTGATTTCAAAAAAGCCCACCCTGTCTTTCCCATCAGTACCTTCCCATTCCTCCCTCTCTTTTTCCACATCACTCACTGTGATTCCCTTACGTGATTCCCTTACCCTACCATTCACAGATGTGCAAGCTAAAGCGCACCAATGTGCAGATAAAGCTCTTTCTGCCCATCAAAAGGCAAGCCAGTATCCTCCCATCCACTCCCTTTTCTCCCTCCCCTCTCCCCCCGCATTCTCAACAGATGGGCAAGCTACAGCGAACCAACGTGCAGATGAAGCTCTTCCTGCCCATCCAACAACGGGTCTTCACTCCGACCTCGGGCGTTCGTCGCATGGACATCACCACTATGAGCGCCTTTCGGCCCGAAGCACACATCGGCGGATTCATGGGCGGGGTGAGTGTGATGACTGATGAGGCCATAATGGGGCTGTGAGTGCGTTTTGATAGAACATGCATTCATAGAAGTGCCCTTTTCACTCCGACCTCGGGCGTTCGTCGCATGGACATCACCAGTATGAGCGCCTTCCGACCCGAAGCACACATCGGGGGGTTCATGGGCGGGGTGAGTGATAGGGTAGCAGACAAGGCAAGGTGTCATGTACGCCGTGTTGAGGGTGCATCTACAGGCAAGGTGTCTTGTACGCCTTGTGGGTGGCGTGTTGAGGGTGCATCTACAGGCAAGGTGGATCTTCAATCAGGACTTGGGCGTTCGTCGCATGGACATCACCACAATGAGCGCCTTCAGATCCTATTGAAATCACTTTTGAGAATTCTCAAACGGGATTTCAATATAGCCGGCACACATCAGGGGATTCATGGGCGGGCGGGGTGAGTGCTATGTGGATTGTGCGCCTTGTGTGCGCCTTGTGTGTGCCTTGTGTGTGCCTTGTGTGTGCCTTGTGTGTGCCTTGTGTGTGCCTTGTGTGTGCCTTGTGTGTGCCTTGTGTGTGCCTTGTGTGTGCCTTGTGTGTGCCTTGTGTGTGCCTTGTGTGTGCCTTGTGTGTGCCTTGTGTGTGCCTTGTGTGTGCCTTGTGTGTGCCTTGTGTGTGCCTTGTGTGTGCCTTGTGTGTGCCTTGTGTGTGCCTTGTGTGTGCCTTGTGTGTGCCTTGGGAGAGGATACTTCTACAGGCCTAGGCTCATCTCGGGCCTACTGTGGCTGGCTTCGGAGAGAATGCACTCAAACCCCCCCCCCCCCCCCCACCCACCCCCATGTATCCGCCTATGTGTGCTTCGGCCCAAGGCGAGTTTGGGAGAGAATACAGCAACAGGTGAAGCCGAGTCTCCCTCCAAGCTCCCAAATTCGCTGCTCTGGTGGTGGCCCAACCACCGCCAGAGGAAGAAAGGCTCGGACTGTCTGCACTGGTGCCAGCCGGTGGTGCCAGCCGGTGGTGCCAGACATGTGGGTCGACCTCTTCTATAAAATGCTCCGCTGGAGCCACTCATCAATTCGAGTGACTTATGAGAATTCTCAAAAGTCCGCTGGAGCCACTCATCAATTCCACGCCTTACTCCCACTTCGTCCCCACTACTCACACTCATCTTTTTCCTCCCTCCCCAAACTCTAATTCCCGGCAGAAGAAGAAAGGCTCGGACTGTCTGCCCTGGTGCCAACCGGGGGTGCTGGACGGACGTGTGGGTCGATCTTTTCTACGAGATGCTTTGCCACCTCTCATCCGTGGGAGGGTGATGTGTTCGAGCGTGCGTTTTTTGAGAATTCTAAAAAAAAACACACGCTTCTATGAGATGCTTTTTTTGAGGCGCCTCAGAAGAATTCTAAAAAAAACACACGCTTCTACGAGATGTGCCGCCACCTCTCTCATCAACCCTAATCCCCGCAACCAAACTCCATTCCCTTTCCCCCTACTCATACTCCTCCCTTTTCCCCACTTTCGCCCCCTCCCATGTTGTTTGTCCTCGTCTAAACCCTAAATCCTAAACCCCAACCAACCCCAACCCTGGCAGAAGAAGCAGCAGTCGGACTGTCTGCACTGGTGGTGCCAGCCTGGCGTACCAGACGTGTGGGTCGATCTCTTCTACGAGATGCTGCGCTGCGCCGGGAGCCCCTCATCAACCCCACTCTCGACACCTGTGTCCCTTTCCCTCCATTCTCTTCCATTCCCGGCAGAAGAAGGCTCGGACTGTCTGCACTGGTGCCAGCCTGGGGTGCCAGACGTGTGGGTCGATCTCTTCTACGAGATGCTTCGACGGGAACCCCTCATCAACCCCACTCCCTGATGGCCTCTTTGCTCCTCTCCTTGCCTCACTGCTCACCCTCTTGACAGAAGAAGAAAGGCTCGGACTGTCTGCACTGGTGCCAGCCGGGGGTGCCAGATGTGTGGGTCGACCTCTTCTATGAGATGCTTCGGCGGGAGCCTCTCATCAACCCCACTCCTGATGGCCTCTACGCTCCTGCGCCTCCTCCCAAGCCTAGCCCCAAGCCTAGTCCCAAACCTAGCCCCAAGACAAGTCCCAAACCTAGCCCCAAACCGAGCCCCACGCCTAGCCCCAACCCAAGTACCAAGCCTAGTCCCAAACCGAGTCCAAAGCCTAGCCCCAAGCCTGCTCCCAAGCCTAGTCCCAAGCCAAGCCCCAAGCCTGCTCCCAAGCCTAGTCCCAAGCCCAGCCCCAAGCCTGCTCCCAAGCCTAGTCCGAAGCCCAGCCCCAAGCCTGTCCCCCAACCCTCTCCTTCATCCAAACCCACCACGTCACCCACTCCATCCCCCCCGTCTTCCAGCTTCAAGCCCCGAGAACCCGGCAGCCCCGGGGGCTTTAAGTTGCGCTCCGCGCTCTCTGACGCTCCTTTTGAATCTGGTCACATGGCGGCTGTGGCACAAGAAGATGAGTTGTCTCCCTTAGAAGCGTGTTGTAACAATGTTACCAGCAGAGCGGCTGGGTTAGGCAGCGAACTGGCATCTGTCCCTGCAAGCCCCAGTCCCTCCCGGCTTGGTCAGGGGAGTTTGGTTGAAGCTTCTGTGGAGAGCCGTGCGTTTCCTGGAGTTCGACATCGGGCTTCGGCAGGGAAACGGAGAGGAGGGTTTCTGCGGTTGAGGCATTGACGGTATCAGGGCTGAGGCCTCTTTGGATTGGCAGAGCAGCAATAGGAGGAGGGAAGGTTGAGGGCCGTGTGTTTCCTGGAGTTCGACATCGGGCTTCCGCAGGGAAATGGAGAGGAGGGTTTCTCCGGGTGAGGCACCGGCGGCACCAGGGGTGAGCTTACTATTAGGTTGCACTGCAGTGGGGAGTGTGGTTGGTACAGCAGCACATGAGCAGCAGGAACAGCAGTAGCAGTAGGAGGAGGAGGGGAGGTACCGGGCCATGTGTTTTCAGAGTTCGGCACTGGGCTTGGACTGGCAGGCGGAGAGGAAGGTTTCTGCGGTTGAGGCACCGGCGGCACCAGGGGTGAGGCTTTTATTACCGGTAGGTTGTGCTGCTGTGCACCTGCACTGCAGTGGGTGGGTGGTGTGGTTGGCATGGAGCACAGGACCACCGCCAGCAGCAGCAACAGCAGAAGCAGCAGCAGCAGCAGCAGCAGTAGGATAAGGAAAATAGCACAAGGCCATGCAAGTGCAGTGCAGCAGGCAGTGTGGTTAAAAGGAGCAGTAGCAGCAGCAGCTGGGGGAGGGGGGGGCGTAAGGAAGGTGCAGGTCTGTGATCCCTCAATCTAAACATCAGGCTGGGAGCAGCAGATGCAGCAGATCAGAGTGAGTTTCGGCAGCTAGCAAGGGAGGTGACAGCAGGGGTGGAGGCGTGTGGAGCTGTGTGATGGAATTTGAGACGTTACTGTACGATGCCGAAGGTTTGATGATATTGTTGGGGGGAGTTGTGTGTGGTGCGCAGTGGCTGAAAGTGTGGTGTGGTGTGGTGTGATTGGTTATGTGCGGTGGTGGTAATAATAGGGAGCTTCCGTACCCTGTAAGTTGCTGCTACCTGTTCCATATTGACAGGTGGAGTCACGACGACTGCGGAACATAGGAATAGGGGTTCCATTTGTGTAGTGGCTGTCGAACTCGATGTAAAAAGGCACGCCATAGAGAAGTGCTGTGTAAGGGCATAATGCCCGTAATATCAACAGCTCTGTACCGACTAGTGTATGGATGGTAAGCAAGAAAAATAAAATAATAATAATTAAAAAAAAGAGGTGTGCTGGAAAAAAAATGATGTGCTGTAAAAAAAATCCAGTTTGGTTAAAGCTTCAGTGCCTGCATAAGCAGAGAAGAAAGAAACCCACCGTACAGCTTATGGTATCATAAAAAAATGGTACCAGAAAAACAATTTGGAAAAACTCAAGAACTCAGTCCGTCACTCCGTTTCCCCTGCCCCTCCTTATCCTTCCGCTTCCTCTTCCTCCTCGCCCCACCGCTGCTGAATCGGACACCTCCTCACTCCCACTCCCACTACTCTCCGCACTCTCACTCTCAGTCCCTATCTCTCCGCTTTTTCTTCTTCCCCTCCTTATCCTTCCGCTTCCTCTTCCTCCTCGCCCCATCGCTGCTATCACTGTCATCAGAAATCTCCTCACTCTCACTCCCACTACTCTCCTCACTCTCACTCTCACTCTCGTCTCTCCGCCTCCTGTGCTTGCGTGAGGACGAAGACTTCTTGCTCTTGCCGCTCCGCTTCCGCTCCTTCTTGCCTTTCCTCCGTCTCCTCCGTCTGTCTTCGTCTGAAGACGTGGAATCGTCGTCTTCACTATCGGATAACGAATCGTCCGATAACGAATCGTCGTCGTCTGAACTGTCAGACTTTCTTCTCTTCCGCTTACTGCTGCTCTTCTTCTTCGACTTCTTTTTCTTCTTGTCTCTCTTTTTCGAATCGCTTCCTTTCTTCTCCTTCTTCTCCGAAGCGCCATCACCGGATTTCGACGGTATCAATCCACGCGAACGCGCCGCTTCAGCCAAATCCCCGTCAGCATCATCATCGCTAAGCGACACGTCACTCTCCTCTTCCGCGATCTCCATCCCCGGCCGTTTCTGTCCAGCCAGCCCGCCGGCAAGCTCCGCCGGAACGTTAACATCCTCCTTCGCCGTCAGAAAATTCCGGCACTGAAACGTCAAATGACCGACTCGATGGCACTTCTTGCAGGAGCCGCGAGCCGCGTCGGCTCCAGATCCCGTCAATTTCGCGAGCTGCAGCAGGCCTTGAAAACTGTCATAAGCGTTATCCTCGCCGTCGGCTGCTTTTTTGTCGTCCGGAGCGTACGGATCGTAGCCGATAGCGCTTTGCCAGATTCCGTGGGTTTGCAGGGCTGCGCTACTGTGCACCCTGTTGTTCGCTGGCATGCGAACGCGGCCTGCCGTGGCCGGCATGGTGGCGGAATTTTAATTGCCAAGCTCTATGTAGAAAGGGAAGCTACAACTGGTGGGTTGACGGCAATAATATTTCACCTTTGCAGGAGAAAGATTTGTAGCAGAGTGCAACACCAAGAGAGGCTGAGGATGGAACGGCGGAGCGCGAAAGTAGGAGGTTAGGAAAAGGCTATGGAAGAGGTAAGGAGTAGACACTGGAAACCCTAGCAGTGGGAGGAATGCTATGGAGAAAGTGATCAGGCATGGCATGGATGTGTTTTGCTCAAAACCATACCCAACCGCTCTTCTTTATGGACAACCTCGCGTAAAAAGGCTTCCTGAACCCCATCCGCCATAACGAAGCATCAGAGATGGATGGAGCCTGCCTGAAAAAAATCCGCGTTAGTGGTCCTTCGAAATGTGTGTCCACGAATCAAGCTAATAGTCGCAGTAACAATTCCGCTAAAACTGACAATCATTTAGCTTCACCAATTGCGACAAATTACACATTGTATCACCAAGAGATGACACAAAACAGAAATATCACCTTTTTGTTTTCCGTGCCTTCCGAAGCTCCCTATTCCTATCACGTTTCTTCCTAGCCTTGACAGCCCGTTGCGCCCTAGTCTCCGTAAGCACCGCTTGCATCTTTATCCACTGGTCCTTCTTTTCCTCCTTAATCCGCAACAACCGCGACATCACCCTTGGAGGTCCCTTCTTCCCATCCAAAAACCCGTGCTCGTCTAGCTCTCGTAACAGCATCGCAACATCGGTGCGCATAAGAGCATTTTCATATATGCACATGGTGTTAATTGATGTAGGATATGGCGAGTCTTCCAATGACATATCTTGACAGCTCGGAGCATCCTTTATGGGAAAAGGAGGGCGCGAACACAAGGTGTTGTTGGGGTACTGCAGCAAATATATTCTATACACATACGGTAGCTTTTTCAGGTTCAATCACATAACGGACAGCCCAAACGCAAACCCCTTTTGGCCTGTATTGATGCACCTTGATCTGCATTGTCTCACCTTGACCCATCTCTCCACGGAGTACCCTCTTGCTGTCAGCACGCCCTCCCTCTCCTCCTCAGCCCAGAACGGAACCCCCATGGCCCGCAGCCAGCTGTTGCAGCGGCTCACACAATAGCACAGTGCACTCAACTTTACAGTCAGCATAAACCAAGAACCCCAGTGAGTGACCCACGTTGACTCACCTTGACCCATCTCTCCACGGAGTACCCTCTTGCTGTCAGCACGCCCTCCCTCTCCTCGTCAGCTCGGAAAGGAGCCCCCATGGCCCACAGCCAGCTGCGCACAGTGCGCTTCAATGAAACGCTGCCACCTGGCACGCTGCTGCTGCTGCTGCTGCTGACGCGCTGCAGCATGCCACCTGTCACGATGCTGACGTGGCGGGGGGCAGGAACGCCCTGGAGAGCTGCATCCTGTTGGGGCGGATGGTGGAAACGCGAGAGGATGATGGGGATGCGAGAAGATGGTAGGGGATGGTCAAGACGAGGAGGGAGGGAGATGAAAGGGATGGAAAAGCATGCATGGACGAACGAGTATGCGTTGCATGGTAGGGCAATGAGGTGAGAAGCAGTGCGGAGAGGGAGGAGGAGGGAGGAGGAGGAGGAGGAGGAGGAGGGGGAGGAGGAGGAGGAGGAGGAGGAGGAGGAGGGAGGAGGAGGAGGAGGGAGGAGGAGGGAGGAGGAGGAGGAGGAGGAGGAGGAGGAGGGAGGAGGAGGGAGGAGGAGGGAGGAGGAGGGAGGAGGGGGAGGAGGAGGGAGGAGGAGGGAGGAGGAGGGAGAGACAGTGAAGTGGAGAGAAGCAGAGGGGACCTGGACCATGTCGAGCCAGTGATGCAGAGCAATAACGGCAGAACAGTAGTGGGGGGAGAAACAGCAGCGGGGGGAGAGAGAGAAGAACGAGAGGAAGAGAGAATATAGAGAATGAGAGGCGACAAAGAGGGAGCGGGGGTGACTGGCTGACCTGCACCATGTCGAGCCAGTGATGCAGAGCAACAAGGGCGGCACCAGGGGAAAGCGTGCGCACATCCAGCTTCCAGTCGTCCGGTGCAGCTCTGGTGGGGGGCACAGCGTATAGGAAAGAAAGACACAAGGCAGAAGCAGGACCAAAGGCGACTGGAGTGCTCGCTGGGGAACAAGCGGGTGGGGGAATGGGGGGGAGAGCGTGCGCACATCCAGCTTCCAGTCGTCTGGTGCAGCTCTGATGAGAGGCAGGATGAATAGAAGCCATATGTAAAAAGCGAATTTTGAGACGTCTCAAAAAAGGTGAATTCACTTTTTACACGTGGCTCCAGTCCTCATAGTTTTGAGGCGCCTCGAAACCAGGTGCAGCTGTGGTGGGAGGCGGGAGGGATGAATAGAAGGTGGAGAGGGGCAGCAATGAGGTCGTTTTTGAGGCGCCTCAAAAACGACCTCAATGGAGAGGGGCAGCAATGAGGTCGTTTTTGAGGCACCTCAAAAACGACCTCAATGGAGAGGGGCAGCAATGAGGTCGTTTTTGAGGCGCCTCAAAAACGACCTCAATGGAGAGGGGCAGCAATGAGGACAAGAGACGGCTTCATAGGACACTGCACTAGCCACACACCCACCATCCAACCGCACACCACCCACCGAGCAATCGCGGATGAACTCCCCAGCGGGTTGAGAGGAGGAAGAGGCGGTGGGCCCTGGCTCGCTGGCCGAAGCACCACAGCAGATCCACCAGCACGTTCACCCAAACCCACACCACCCAACCGCACAGCACCCACTGAGCAGTGAAGCGCGGATACACGTCGCGGTGGGATGCGAGGAGGAAGAAGCGGTGGGCCCTGGCTCGCTGGCCGAAGCACCACAGCAGGTCCACCAGCACGTTCACTGTGCTCCTCGCTGCACTGCCCGCCGCTACACTTCCCTTCACCTCCCATTTGCACACCACTCAACCGCACAGCAAAGCAAACAATCATACACCACACAACCCGACACTACCCAACCGCACGGCACCCACCGAGCACTGAACCGAGGATAAACGCCGCGGTGGGATGCGAGGAGGAAGAGGCGGTGGGCCCTGGCTCGCTGGCCGAAGCACCACAGCAGGTCTATCAGCACGTTCACTGTGCTCCTCGCTGCACTGCCCTCTCCCACACCCTTCCCTGCACTCCCATTCCCGCTGCTTTCTTCTGTGGTCCAGCTGGCATCCCTCTCCAGAAGCCACGTCAGCAGACTGTCGATGTCCGTCCAGGTGTCGTGGTCACATTGGAGGAGTAGCCTGAGATGATGGAGGGGAGAACAGAGGGGAGCAGATGGAAAGGGGGAGGGAGAAGAGAGGAGAGGAGAGGAGAGGAGAGGAGAGGAGAGGAGAGGAGAGGGAGCGGATAGGAGAGTAGAAGAGGGGAAAGAGAGGAAAGGAGAGGAGAGGAGAAAGCGTTGGGGACAGGGAGCCTGGAATTAACAGCAATTATTGACCTCCCTAGTCCTCGCAGCAGCACCTCACCCCTCAATACCGTTACTCACCTCTCAGGAACGTCGAACCCCACAAAGGAGAGTGCTTCCAGCAAAGAGCAGCAGTCTGATAGTTCTCTGCACCGCGCAGCACCGCTCACCACCGTGGCCCATGTCTTGTAGGTTGGTACCAGCCCAAGCTCTCTCATCTGCCGCACACGCATTGCTGCTTCCTGAAAGTTTCCCTCCCGCAAGTACGCGTGCACGAGGGAGGTGAGCTGGACGATGTCTGGCCTGGGCAGTGCGAACGGTGGGGCGGCTGTTGATGACGCTGACGTGGCACTTGTGGCTGACGTGGCACTTGTGATTGACATGGCGTCCAATGCTGAGGTGGCATCGTCGCCTAATCTCAAGCTCATTGCTGCTGGGGCTGACTCCGATAAAGACGGTTCGGCAGATGGTTCAACAGATGGTTTGGCAGATGCTTCAGCAGATGGTTCGGCGAAAGGTTCGGCGGAAGAAGGTTCGGCGGATGGTACTGCAGAAGGCTGTGCGGTGTGGTTGAGCTGTCGCTCCAGAATGGCTTCTGCAGCCGCTGTGTTGCCCGCCCTGCCATGTGCGTCCATGACCATGTGGTACAGGTCGGCTGTTAGAGGGATGCCTGGAGTGAGGGGGGCGTGGGGGGGGGGGGGGGGGGGGGGGGGGGGGGGAAAGACGAGATGGAAGAGTGGAACAGGTTAGCCCGCCCTGCCATGTGCGTCCATGACCATGTGGTACAGGTCGGCTGTTAGAGGGATGCCTGGAGTGAGGGGGGCGTGGCGGGGGGGGGGGGGGGGGGGCGGGGGGGGCGGGGGGGGAAAGACGAGATGGAAGAATGGAACAGGTTAGCCCGCCCTGCCATGTGCGTCCATGACCATGTGGTACAGGTCGGCTGTTAGAGGGATGCCTGGAGTGAGGGGGGCGTGGCGGGGGGGGGGGGGGGGGGGGGGGGGGGGGGGAAAGACGAGATGGAAGAGTGGAACAGGTTAGCCCGCCCTGCCATGTGCGTCCATGACCATGTGGTACAGGTCGGCTGTTAGAGGGATGCCTGGAGTGAGGGGGGAGAGGCAGGGGGGGGGGAGTGGGGGGAAGACGAGATGGAAGCGAGGAACAGGATAGCCCGCCCGGCCATGAGTGTTCTCCTCTCTCCTCTTACACCTCTCCTCCTCTCTCTCTCTCTCTCTCTCTCTCTCATCTCACCTCGTTTCTCCATCGCCAGCAAAAGCTCCTCAGCCCTCTCTGCCTGCCCTGTCCGTTGGTATGCACCTCATCAGGGCCTTGTACAACCACCCGCCTACAACTTCCCTTTGCTCGACTACACCTCTCCTCGCCAGTAATAGCTCCTCAGCCTGCTCCGCCTGCCCTACCCGTTGGTACGCACTCATGCATGGCCGTGTGGACTTATGTATCAGTGTGCATCTTCCTCTTCTCTCCTCTCTCCTCTCTCCTCTCTCCTCTCTCCTCTCTCCTCTCTCCTCTCTCCTCTCTCCTCTCTCCTCTCTCCTCTCTCCTCATCTCACCTCGCTTCTCCATAGCCAATAGCAGCTCCTCAGCCCTATCCGCCTGCCCAGCCCGTTGGTAAGCACTCAGCAGGGCCTTGTACGACTGCTCGCCTGGCAATTCCCTATGCTTCTCCCTCACAGCAAGAGCTAGCTCATTCGCTTCCAAACCAGCGGCCTTTCCCTGGATCCAAGCCTGCTGTGCAGCAGGCTTAAACTCGTTCCTTTCCCAAGGGCTTCTTCCCAGATTACCACCCTCCCCTTGCTTCTCCCTCCCAGCAGCCTCTAGCTCGTTCATTCCCGAAGCAGCATAAGACACCAAATTCGTTCCCAAAGCTGCGGGATCGAGCTGGACATTTCTCCAGACCCCAAGTTCAGGCCGAGCCTGAGGTGCTGGTCCGGAAAAAGCCTCGCTTGCGAGGGCTTGAAACATGCGTTGTGCTTCGCAAAAAAGGTCTGGATGGGGGAGGGGCATGAAGAGGAGGGGGAATGGGGAGAGTGGAATCTGGCATCTAAGGGATTATTACAATGAGTAGAAAGTTGCAGGTACAGTATGCTGTGTGCCGAGTGAAGGTAGGGCTTGAGGGGATGGAGAAAGAAAATGAGGCAACTTTTGTTGGTAATGCGCCTAAAATATATTATCATTTCATAGGGACGAGGGAAGGTGCATGTACAGTATATTGTGCGCAGTGTGCATTGTGCAGTGTGCATTGTGCAGTGAGAGAGGTAGGGCTTGCGGGGATAAGAGAAGAGAATGCGGGAACTTCTGAAGCCATCAACCCATGTGAAGTGACTTTAAGTCGACTTAAGCAACACAACCATAATCACTCACCTTGAGCGTCCCTCCACCTGCCAGCAGCAGCGAGGCAGCGAATGACAGATGCCAGGAGGGCATCTTTCCATGTGAGGCCACGGGCGCTCATGGCATGCAACACGTGAATAGCTTCGTTGGGCATGCCTGCATGGGTGTACCTGGTGTTGTTTATATAAGGTGTTAATTAAATTGGAGCATATTTAACGTGTTAAATGCCAAACATTTAGGTGTTACATGGGGTGCAGATGTTATTCATGCACAATGAACCATGAATTGCGGGCATGTGGGAGTGGGATGTTATGAGGCATGGCTACGAGGCCTACGATCCGAGGCATGGCAGGCACTGGGTATGGGTTGTAGTGCCACATGGGATGGGACATTGCAAGGGCAGCATATTAATCACAAAGAGAAGTGAATCGCCACAACATGCTTGGTCAGTACTTCTCAAAAATATGAGGCGCCTCAAGAATGAAACCAGGAATTCCCTCCTGACATGCCTTGTCAATGCCTCACATGCTATTGAAACGCCTTACAGAATAGAACCAAGCGATCCAGTCTCACTCACATGCGAATAAGGGCACGATATGTTGCTTCAGTTGGAGTGCAATCATTCCCTCTCCTCCTCTTCCTCCCCCCTTCCCCTCCTCCTTTCTCCTCCCACTCCCCTTCTCTCTCCCCCCACTCCCCTTCTCTCTCCCCCCACTCCCCTGCTCTCTCCCCCCACTCCCCTTTTCTCTCCCCCCACTCCCCTCCTGTTTCCTCCTCATCTTCACCCCCTTTCTCCTCCATCCACCCCCACACTCTCCCAGCCTTGTCATACGCCCCCACACGAGCATACAATCCAATCATGCTGTTACACGTGGCAACATCCAATTGGACTCCTTCCTTCACCATCTCCCTCACTCCCTCCTCTGCCTCCCCCGCTCTTCCCTCTCTCGCCCAAGCACGCACAATCCTTCTCAGAACCTTCCCAGGAACCTTCCACCCCTCCTCCCTCACTCTCTCATATGCCTCCTCTGCTTCTTCCACCCTCCCGTCCCTCAGATAAGCCTCCACCAGAAGAAGACAAAACTGCCGATTGGGCGTGACTCCGACTGCTGCCATCCGGGCGGCAAGTGCTGATGCAGCATCTGACACTCGTCCAAAAGTAGACGCAGAAGGTGATGCACGACGGTTGCCAGCTGGCGACGACTCAATGTCCACGTCAGCACGTCCGGATGTGGCCAGCGGCCAATCAGCATTAAGCAGCGCACGCATGGCATGGCAGAAAGCCACTGCATTTAACCAACTCCTGTCAACACCTACCCCTCTCTCATCTCCCCTTCTATCACCAACAATTCCCCCATGCCCTCTCGCTTTGTTACCCTCCTCTTCCACTCCCCCTCCCCCTCCTCCTCTTCTTCCTCCTCTCCCTCCTCCCTCTCCTCTCCCTCCTCCCCCCGACCAACCTCCCCGTCCATCACTCCCAGTATCACCAGCGCCTCTGCTGCTCTCCCCTCTCTCCCACACCTTTCCAGGTACAGCAGCTGCTCTCTCTCTGGACTCTGCTTCTGCTTAGCTGGATTCTGCTCCTGCCTAGCAGGATATTGCTTCTGCGTAGCTGGATCTTGATCCTGCTTAGCTGGATATTGATTCTGCTTAGCTGGATCCTGCTCCTGCCTAGCTGGATATTGATTCTGCTTAGCTGGATCCTGCTCCTGCCTAGCTGGATATTGATTCTGTTTAGCTGGATCCTGCTCCTGCCTAGCTGGATATTGATTCTGCTTAGCTGGATCCTGCTCCTGCCTAGCTGGATATTGATTCTGCTTAGCTGGATCCTGCTCCTGCCACCCTGAATTCTGTTCCTTTTTCGCTGGACTCTGCTGCTCCTGCCATGCGCTTGGCCCAGAAGGTGTGACACCGTGTGGATTCAAACCCGCTTTGCTACTAACGAGTGCAACACAAGAATTAGTAGCATCCGTGCACGTCCGTGTCACTGTCATGGTGTCTGAGTCGCCATCAGTCATCACCCCAATCCCTCCTCTCCCCTCAAACATACCCTCATAATTGTCGATTCTCCAATCCTCCATCCTCTGGTTACCCCGTATTCTAAGCTTATCCTCCCCTTGCCTGGGAATGCGCGAATTCTCTCCCCGTCTCCATACTTGTATGAATATGCCGTTTCTTGATCTCTTACCGTCACTCCTACTCTCACTCCCACCCTCTCTACTTGTCCACCCTGTCCCCCCGAGTCGCCTCGCCTCTTCATCCAATCCCCGAGGTGCCTCAAGAACCTTCTTTCTTTCCTGAACCTTGCTGCTGACCGCGATTCTCGAAGCTTCCCTATTATCCCCATCCGCGTTATCGTAATTCTCGTTTTTCTCCAAGAAGCCTCCTTCGGCAACATAACCCCAACGTTGCAAGCTGAATCTGGTTTGAACGCGTTGTACGCCGCGGTACCTGTGCTGTAAATTGAACCCGCCGTGTGCTACACTACATCCGCGTTGTAAGCCGAGGTATGCTTTGGAAGCCGGAATCCCAAGAAGCCTCGGGATCGGAACGACGGTTGGATTCTGACACCTGATTAGTGAAAGGCTGTGCGGATTCAGAGGGGCACGAGCGGAACTGGCGGCAAGACGCATTGGGACGCACTTTGGACAACATAGAGTCATTCTTCGCGAGTCGTCGGAATCATGCGTGGCGCGTAAAGGGGATCACTCAGAAGAGCGACATGAGACTGTCATCTGTGAACGGTGCTTCGGCAAAGAAATTCCAATCAATGGTGTAAAACTGCGACTTGCAAGGTGGCCAAACCATCCTAGTGAATCCCCAGGATGGTAATTCCAAGGTGCAAAAGCGGATGATGAGGTGGTCTGATTCAAATTCACGCTCAAAACCCAACCCAACCGTTCTAGGATGTAAACCAGCCGCTCGGGTTTGGGACACGAACGAACTTCGCAAATAGATCACCCTGCTTTTCTACGACAATAATCAATTTCTTTGAACAAATAAAATTGAGCTTAGGAATGGCTGTAATACATCTTTCTGCATAAAGAATCAACTAACAAAAAAGCACCTTCAACAACTCCTCCCAGGTGCAAGCATCACCCATATCACCGCATGCGGTAGTGCTGGGTGCGCGATGCCTTACCTCTACGACCATCAAACTTGTAAGTCACTGATATGTCTAGATCGCGAGGGTTCTTGGCATTGGGCTTCACTTGCATGGTTCCGGTAACCGCTTCCCCTTCACACATGGTTAGCGTGTCTTCCAAGTATAGCACCGTTTGCTTCCAATGCGTTCCTCGGCTCTTGGGCCCTGCAGAAGTTATCACAACAATGGTACCTCTCTCTTGGTGTAAAGAAATGTGTATATAAATATGGACCACAAAGCATGAGCATCATGGCGTATCGTAAGTCACAAGCGCATGCACGGAATCATTCCCCTCCGACACCAACCAACAAGCACGTTTGTCACATGTTACCAGTAAAAAACCCACTAAGGCAGTAACCGCATGCACCCCATGCTCATGCTCACCTGTAGAGAAGCCGATGGGCTTGTGGCACTTGGTGAAGCCGACATCAAAGTAAGCCACAAGCGCATGCACAAAGTCGTTCCTCTCTGCTACGAGCTTGAAGGGCACAGAGAAGGAGAGGTCGCCCCTTGTCACCTTGCTGATGTCCAAAGACTGGGGTAGGGGAGGAATGAGCAAGAAGGAAAGAGAGCGACGGAAGAGGGAGTGGGAAAAGAGGCCAGTAACAGAGCATGCACAAAGTCGTTGCTCTCCGCCACCAGCTTGAAGGGCACAGAGAAGGAGAGATCACCCCTTGTCACCTTGCTGATGTCTAGCGACTCGGGTGAAGAGAAGGGCAGCATAGGAAGAGTAAGGGGACAGAGGAACAGAAGAAGGGAGCACAGCACAGACAACAGCTGGTACTTAGAAGGAGAAGTCTTCGATTCCTTGAGATTGGTTGTTGATAAGGGGAAGAGAGGAGGATGGAGGAGAGGGGGGCCAGCGGAAACCATAGGGGGACGAGACGAGGAGCACAAGGGGGAACCATAGGCGCCTAACCCTCACCTTGACAAGGCAAGAGTTGGTGACGATCTGCTCGGCACCCAGCGGCTCCAACATGGCCTTGTCTCGAATAAGCGAGAGAGATCGAGTGGTGCATGAGGGTCCTTCTCACCTTGACAAGGCATGCATTCGTGACGATCTGCTCGGCATCAACCGTGTCGACCAGGGTCTCCATCATCGCCTTGTCGGTGAGAAAGAGATGGCTATCAGGGTGCACAGATGGCTATCAGGGTGCACAGATGGCTATCAGGGTGCACAGATGGCTATCAGGGTGCAACGGATAGGCTGAACAAGCCCGATGCTCACCTTGACGAGGCAAGCATTGGTGACGATCTGCTCGGCGTCTACTGTGTCGACCAGAGGCTCTAACATGGCCTTGTCTCGAATGCGCGCGCAAGTGAGAGTGGTACACGAGGGTCCTAAGTGATGCATGACTGTCCTACTTCTCACCTTGACAAGGCATGCGTTGGTGACGATCTGCTCGGCGTCTACTGTGTCGACCAGCGGCTCCAACATGGCTTTGTCTCGAATGCAGCTCATGTCAAACCCGTACACGGACTGCCAGACTGGGGGGGGTTAGACATGCGTCAGGAGGAGGGCGAGGTGCGGTAAGGACAGCATATGGGAAGGAGGAGAAATGTGAGAGGGGGGAGTGCACATGGCGGACTCCAACATGGCTTTGTCTCGAATTCAGCTCATGTCAAGCCCATACACGGACTGCCAGACTGGGGAGGAGCATGCAATGGAAGGGCAAGGGAGGGCGGGGGATGAAGGGGAGGACACACATATGGTTAAGGGGGAGGCAATGTCTCGAATGCAGCTCATGTCAAAGCCATAGACTGACTGCCAAACTGGGGGGACAAAGTCATGCGTGGGGAGGAGGGCGAGGTAGGGGGAAGGGCGGCACATGAAAAGGAAGAAAAATGTGAGAGGGGGGAGTGCACATGGCGGACTCCAACATGGCCTTGTCTCGAATGCAGCTCATGTCAAGGCCTTACACGGACTGCCAGACTGGGGAGGAAGCTGAGGGAGGAGGGAGTTGCAAGGGAGTTGCAAGGGAGTTGCAAGGGAGTTGCACAAGGAAGAAGAATCTGTTCTATGTGCAGGTAGTTGAACCCGTACATTGACCAGGTGACTTTGAGTCGACTCAAAAGTCACCTCTGTGCATTGACCCCTCTCACATTCTGTTCTATGTGCAGGTGGTTGAACCCGTACATTGACCGCCACACTGCAGAGGAAAACAGCCACTCAGATTTCCCTGGAACTCACAGTGGATCTTCTCCTTCCTACCCCTCCCCTCTCATTCTCCTGCACTCACAGTGGATCTTCTCCTGCTTGTACTCTGCGTCTTCTATCGCCACCAGGTAGGTACAGCATAGTGGGGAGCAGGCAGCACACCCACACGACCACTGGCTCGCCTTCCTTACCCCCCCCCCCCCCCCCCCCCCCCCCCCCCCCTCTCCTCCCTTTGGTGCACTCACAGTGAATCTCCTCCTGCTTGTACTCCGCGTCCTCTATCGCCACCAGGTACAACAAAAGGGGGAGCCATTACACTACCGCCTTTGGTGCACTCACAGTGGATCTTCTCCTGCTTGTACTCTGCGTCTTCTATCGCCACCAGGTACAGCGCGCAGTGGTCTGGCAACACTATGCCTCCTGTTGCCTGCACTCACATGAACGCACACATGAATGCATGAGAGTGGGATGGGGTGAGAGAAGAAGGATGGGGAGCACTATAAAGAATGCACTCGTAGAGGAGGAAATAGCCGCCCATCCACTCTCATGCAGTAACCTGGTTACCACCTCCATTACATTAATGCCCATCCACGTATGAGCCACTTGTGCCTGGCGAACAGCACTGTAGCACGCATGGACTTGTAGAGGAGAAAGTAGCCCGTCCTCCTCCCCTCCCTGACACAATTGAGAAGTGCCAACACTGAGAATTGATCCCTAGACCATCTGTATTATAACGCACCAGCCACTTGTCTCTGGCGAAGAGCACTGTATCGAGCATTGACTCGTAGAGCAGGAAGTAGCCCATCCACTCCGATATAATCACATCCACCTTCTCCCCCTCTGGCAGCTCCACGTCCTCCACCTTCCCTTTTATCACTGTGATTACTGCGAACGGAGAGACGGGGTGGGGGCAGATGGAGAGAGGCAGGGAGCAGTGTGGAGGGGTGTGGAAGGGTATCGATTCCACCTTCTCCCCCTCTGGCAACTCCACATCCTCCACCTTCACTCTTATCACCGTATTCACTGTTGGGGGGGGGGGGGGGGAAGGGGGGGAATGAGAGGGAGAAAGAACGGGTAGGGGGGAGAGAGAGGTGGTAGGGGGGGGGACAAGAGTTGGGGGAGTGTGGAAGGGACAAAGTGACGACTTCGCCTTATCCTCCGTGCCTTTTCATCACTGTGATAACAACAGCCCGAAACCCTAAATCCTGAACCTAGAAACCCGTAAAACGGGCCTGGTGGAATGGAAGAAAATGTACCGTTTTAGGATAAACTCACCCACGGAAATAGCGTTGGGTGGTCAACTCACTGTGGTCCACGTGATGTGATTGACTGCGGCGGACCAATACCCAAAACCCTCAATGTGGAAACCTGTGAAACCGAACTATTGGCGGAACAGAAACCAATGTACCATACCATCTCGCGTTGCGGTGCAACTCACTGTGGTCCATGTGATTGGCTGCAATGATCTCGCGGGCACACTCCGCAATCTCTGAGCATTCCATCTGTATGGCATGGCACGGGATCGGCACAGCAAAGCCAGGAGTTTTGGATGCGATTCTTTGGTGCGACACCAGCAAGGATCTCACGCGCACACTCCGCAATCTTTGAGGCGCTTACAGCATATCGAAGCAGCTCTTGCCGCGTATAATTTTTTAGCCCCAGCTGTAGCAGCGAACAACGAAAGGATGCCAGTACCAGCGCCCACGTCCATGACGACCTTGTCCTACGCGCTTTTGCCCGCACAGAAGCCGAAAAAATACGATTCTTACCGCGTACAAGAGCAGTTCTTACCGCGTACACCTTCTTAGCGCCTGCTTTAGCAGCAAAAAGCGAGAGAATGCCCGTCCCGGCGCCCACGTCCATGACAACCTTGTCCTTGAACAGAAACGTGCTGCCGCAGATTGCGGCCTCGTACGTCTTGGTGCGCACCGCGTCTTTCAACATCTCCTCGTGGATGCCTGCGCATTGGAAGGATGAATGGCGGTAACGGAGGAAATTAGGGTTTGGGTTGAAATGAGGGTATTGAGATAAGCCGGGGTTTGGTTTGAGCCTTCACCCTCGTACGTGGGAAAATCAAATCCCCGCAATCTACATCCCCGAAGCACGTGAACGGCAATCATGCTGCAAGCGAACAAACTGGCGACACTAGGAGAGAAGCGTGAGGGGATTCGAAAAGACAGGGAGAGAGTTTGATAAAAGCGGGGAAGTACCGAAGTGGGCGTACGAGTCGAAGTAATAATCGGCGCTCGTTAATTCCTTATCCCCTGCGCCTCCTGAGCTACCCTCCGCCGCTTGCGCCCCTGCTTGCACTTCCTGCGCTGCCCCGCTAGTCTCCATCGGCTCCGCCGCGAGCTCCTGCTCCTCTCCCCCCGTCAATTGCGCCGCTTCAGCAGCCTCGGATTGCCCCGGCTGTTTCTGCTGCTGCTGCCGCTTCTTACGCCTTTGCTGATTACCTGACGTCATGGCTACGATGTTATTGGTAGCTCGAGAGGATGAATTATTACAGAGGGAGGACGTGCGGCAGGGATGCTTCAGCGCGATAATTGACGGGTTTATGAAAGAGCTAGGTCTTATGTGAAGATTCATGGTTTACCAGACTCCCGATGCAAAAAGGAGTGAGGAGGTATTTGAAGGTTTGGTTGGGTTTCGAAAGGCTTGAGTTTTAGGAAACGCGATTTGAAGCTTTATTGCGTTCTCCGTTACTTCGTCGAGAGAATGAGTGAAATGTTTTGCCTTTGCTGATTTCGAGTTATTCGAGAGCTGTTACGCCTAGTGAGTGCAGCAATAGTGAACCATGACAGCAGGAACAGAATTTGACCCACTGTGACTTCCTCTGTCAGAAAGCTTGGCAGTAATTTCGAGCCGCACAGATTATTGCCGTCCTTCACACACAGAACACACAGAAAGTCTCTTCTCTATCATCTTTCGCGGCCTAGCGATTTCGTCGAATCCTATGTAAAGCTGTCCGACCTACTGAGTTTGGCCTTCATGTTACTATAGTGGTTCTTACAGTTGCTCGTTAGATTCTCAGTCACCATTGCGTCGATTCACATGTGACCGTGATTGCGAGATTAGAGTAAGACGCCTGTGGAATTCGCGAAAATGGCCAGTATTAAGGCCGTCAATACCGATGCCAGCTCTGTGTTGCACCATGTCGTAACAGCTGCTCACGAGCGCGAATCCGCGTCTGACATCTGTCGCTTGCCGTTCGAGGTACGGCATTCTGTGCGCTCGAGAACCTGCGTACCACTCGAATTTGGATTTACCTTGATTGTATCTGATGTGTACTATGCATCATAGCTGTTAGGCTGATCAGGTGTGATTTGGCTTCAAGTGTACACATGTTGGATTTGTTCTTAACCCTTGTTGAATGATACTATGCCGTTGATTTCATGCTGTTCTGTCCATCTCACGGCTCTCCTCTCTGCAGTTGTTGGCTCGTGCCTTAGGCCATCTGTCATTGACTGACAGGGCTCATGCTGCCATGTCATGCTCCCTCATGCGCCACGCTGTCAACAGGTGAGAAAGTTGCCACGCTGGCAACAACTGATGTAAGTGACACGTCAGCAACAGGATGGTACTTGCCATGTCATCGTTGTACCCAGAACGCCCTGTCAAATCGAATCTGACAGCACATTGACGTGTCTCTTTTCCTCGTTGCACCTCGGTATACCATCCCTCCCCTCCCTCCTTTCCCCTCTTTTCCCCTCTCCGCTCACCTCCCAGTCTGCTCCCCTGCGCTGCCCTCCCAGTCAACATCGATGCATTTGCTGCGCTCTGTCCCACTCTCTCCCTCCTTCCCTCTTCCCCTTCCCTCTTCCCCTTCCCTTCCCGTCCCGTCAATCCCCCTCTCATTCTGCTCCCTGCTCTGACATTTCTCGACCTCAAGGCCGGAAGCCCCTGCCTCAATGATGCTGCATTCACTGCGCCCTGTCTCTCCCTCCCTCCTTCCCCTGCATTCAATCTTCCCCTCCCTTTCCACCCTCCTCCCAGTCTGCTCCCTGCCCTGACATTTCTCGACCTCAAGGCCGGAAGCCCCTGCCTCAATGATGCTGCCTTTGCTGCGCTCTGCTTCAGGCTGGGGGCTGCTGGGACTAGGGAGGGCGTGGGAGGCGGGAAAGTCAAGGAGGGGGTAGGGAAGGGAGAAGCGGGGAGGAAGAGGGGGAGGGTGGAGCAGGAGGAGGAAGAGGAAAGGCATAAGGATGGGAGAAGGGATCAAGAGCAGAATCAGATTCAGATTCAAAGTCAGAATCAGAATCAGAATCAGAATCAGAATCAGGATCAAAATCAGAATCAGGATCAGAATCAGAATCAGGATCAGAATCAGAATCAGGATCAGGATCAGAATCAGGATCAGGATCAGGATCAAGGTGCTGGTGGTGTGAGGACTGAGGGGGGGATGGGCGATGTGGCTGGCAGAAGACGGTGCTGCTTGCAACGGTTGGAGCTGGTAAGCGGGTACTTATAACCAATCAGCGGGTAAGTGGGTATTTAAGCCAACCACTGACTGATAACAGCCCACGGCCAGAGCTTCTCAGAGTTGACCAGGGTTTTGGGCTCTAGCCAGTGGCTTGGATCCTACATGACCAGCCATGGAGGCGTGTATTTAGGGGTCTCAAAAAGTCGTCCCATGCTTTTTCAGAATCAGATAGGGTTCGGAACCTTTCCCGAGTTGTAGAATATGTTTTCCACCTTACTCCTTCCGTTCCGTCAACCTTCCAAGACTCTTTTTTTTCTTTCTTTTTCTTTTTCTTTTTTTTTTCTTCTTTTTTTTCTCCGTTGCTCGCCATCCGTGTGCGTCCATTTCATCTATCACTGTTACGCCCTTGTTGTTCCATCTGTGGCCAGGACTGCTGGCATCTGAGTGACAAGTGCACGTCCAAACTTCCGGAGAGTATAGAGGAGCTGGCACTGTGTGGCGCAGACAGGCACACAGACGCGCTCATTCATGGTGATTTCATCTTACTGTAATGTGCACAGGCGTCCATTCCGGTTTATTTTATCACGAGCACTCTTCTTTCTCATAACTTTTTCAGCTCTTTATTCTGCCGGCCCAATCACCCTCATTTTCATGCTTTTCCACATTCCCCTAGCCATCACTCCCTCCCTCCCCAAGCCTAACGGACAGGCTCGGCCCAAACCTAACCAATTACTTCTTTCCTGGCTTCATCCAGTCCACAGGTTCAAACTCCTGTGTCTCCTTGCTCTCTGTATCTACTATCTACCCTTTCCTCCCAGGCCTGGCGGCCAGGCTTGGCCCGAACCTGACAAAATTCGCCTTCTCCGGCTTCAGCCGGTCCATAGGCTCCAACCCCTTTGTCTCGCTTCTCTCCGTGTCCACTCGCCTCGTGTCTCTCGCCATCGATGGGGGGGAAGGGCTGGATGTGGATACTATCGTCATATTTGCTGGGAGGAACTGTCCTATGCTGAAAGAGCTCAGTGTCTATGACATATCAATGGTGAGTTGGACCATTTTCAGGTCGTTATTTTAGTCTACTCATCTTAAAGGCCCTCAGTTAAAATTCAGCTCTGCATGCGATCTAGGGCTAATTGCCAACGAGGATCAACATTGACCAAACCTAAGCGCATCAACCGTCAGAATTAGCATGGACATTTCGCCCACAGCTAAACATAGACGGCATTAAACCTACCTCTCAAAGCTGGCTGGGTTTAGGCTCTAGGGGCAGCATATTTTCTCGGGCAAAAACTGAGTTGTTTTTCTGGAGTGTTACTAAGGAAATTTCGGAAAATGTTTCCAAAACATTAAATCAACCGAGTTCAACCTTCCAGGGTGTTTCCTAGACTTCGCAAAAACGTCATTTCTATTACTTGGGGCATTTGTCTATCACTTGCCTCTGGCTCAATTTGCATTAGCGATTTTCACTTGCGTGTAAATGCATACAAAGATTTCCGATTCTGTCGAGGAAATCTGCTTTTCATCAACCCCCAACCCACTCGAGCGTGTACCCTCGCTAATGAAGCAAACGAGTGCTCATGAAACACCTTTTTGCACATGTCTAGGTTGGCCTCGCATGCACGCACGCCTATTCGCCAAGTGTTGGATAATCGGTATTTGTTGAGATCTATTACCAAGTATGGTTGTAGTCAACGGCTTTAGGCAGTCGATTGCACATGCATGCCGCTTGCAGTCTGCCCTCCAGAGCGTCGGTCGACGTCTCCCAGGGGGATTGGGAGGGGGTTTGCACCAGCGAGAATTGTACGAATAGAGAAAACACGTACGAATGTATTATCCATGGAACCGTACATGTCATTTGAGCAGCAGACAGTCCTAGAGAATAGAGTTATGCTCTAATCAACTAATGAAGGAGGCTGCCACAGCGACCAGCATGCTCCAGCGAGAGCTAACTCGAAAGAGGACCTTTAGGAGCCTATCTATGCTCTCTAAGACTGGTTGCATGTATGGTCCTGTGGGTAATATATCCATATGAGTTATTTTTTGCTAATGCAAACCCCCTTCCAAGTTCCACCCCCCTGGGAGATGTCAACCGACGTCCTAGAGGGAAGACAGCATGCGACATGCATGTGCGATTGACTTTGAGAAACATGGCCTTAATCCGCTGAGTTTAGTTCAGCCATACATGGTAATAAATCTCAACAGGTACCGATTCTCCAACACTTGGCGATTAGGCGTGCGTACATGCGAGACCAACCTAGACATGTGCAAAACGACGCTTCGTGTGCCCTCTTTCGCTTTGTTAGCGAGATACACTTTTGGGTAGGGTGGGGGTTGACAAAAACAAGTTTCCCTGCAAAGCCAGAAATTTTTGCACAAAAGCACACGCGAAAGAAAATCATCGATGCAAACTGTACCAGAGAAAAGTGATAGGCTTTTGTTCCGCTTGATTCGTACACACCCTTCCTAGCACACCAGATACACCCCATCTACCTGTTCAGTTGATCTACCTGTTCAGTTGTCCTCTGGCCCGCTTCACGCGCTTTTGGCACAAGAGTTGGTGAGCGACACCCCCTTCTTGATTGACTGGATACACCCCTCCCACCCCCACCCCCACCCCCACCCCCACCCCCACCCCTTTCTCCGCTCCGGTCCCCACCTAGGTGACACTGGACTACCTAGCCAGTTGCCACCTGTCCCATCTCACCCGCTTCCGGCACAAGAGGCGGCACGAGGGGGGCGTGGGGGTGAGCGACTCGCTGCTGCTACGGCTCGTGCTGCTCTGGCCTCGCCTGGAGGAGCTGGTGCTGGTGGACAAGGCGGAAGGCGTGGGGCAAGGGAGAGCAGAAGAGGTGAGTCAGGCTGGTGGGTTGTATAGGTGTGACGAGAGTGGGGTGTGGGGTGGGTGAGTGATGCACTGCTGCTGCTACGGCTGATGCTGCTCTGGCCGGGGCTGGAGATGCTCCCGGTTAGCATCAGACACAGGACTCCCAATGCTAACCACCTTGGCCCCTTCCCTCACATCCCTCAATCTGTACTCTCCCTCCCTTCCCTCCCTCCATCCTTCACCTCTCCACCCATCAGGTCCTTTCAGACACAGGTCTCCAAATGCTAACCACCTGGGGCCCCTCCCTCTCATCCCTCAATCTGTTTTCTCCTTCCCTTCCCTCCCTCCCTCCCTCGCCGCGCCACCCATCAGGCCCCCACACACACAGGTCTCCTCATGCTAACCTCTTGGGCCTCCTCCCTCACATCCCTCTCCCTGCGTCCCCCCTCCTTCCCTCCCTCCCTCGCTCCCTCACTCCCTGCCCTCCTCACACCCTCTTCCCATCAGGCCCTCACGGACACAGGTCTCCTAATGCTAACCGCCTGTCCATCCTCTCTCACATCCATCCCTCACTCTGAGCCTTCCTTTTCTTCTCTTCCCTTCTCTTCCCTACTCTTCTCTTCTCTTCCCTTCTCTTCCCTTCTCTTTCCCTTCTCTTCCCTTCTCTTCCCTTCTCTTCCCTTCTCTTCCCTTTTCTTCCCTTCTCTTCCCTTCTCTTCCCTTCTCTTCCTTCTCTTCCCTTCTCTTCCCTTCTCTTCCCTTCTCTTCCCTTCTCTTCCCTTCTCTTCCCTTCTCTTCCCTCCTTCCTTCCCTTCCCTCCCTCCCTGCCCCACCCCGCCACCCATCAGGTCCTCACAGACACGGGTCTCCTAATGCTAACCGCCTGGGCCTCCTCTCTCACATCCCTCACTCTGAGCCTGCCCTCCCTCTCTGCCTCAAAAAGCTGCTCTGAAGTGGCACTAATGCAAGGTGAGAGCGGTTCAGTGTGGTTGAGCATAGGTCATCTGTCTACCAGGGTTGAGAGCATGTCCAGTGGAGAGTGGTGTAGTGCGGTACATGTGTTCGAGTGGGACCTGATGAGTGGTGAAGCAACATTGGTGATGCACGAATGCATTCGACCGGGGCAAGTTGTATTTTCAGACATTTCTCTCCCATCTCTCTCCCTTCGTCAGAGTCGGTTTTTTCAATTCTTAGAGATGACTCCAACATAGCAGTGAAGCCGCATAGCAGTGAAGCCGCATAGCAGTGAAGCCGCATAGCAGTGAAGCCGCATAGCAGTGAAGCCGCATAGCAGTGAAGCCGCATAGCAGTGAAGCCGCATAGCAGTGAAGCCGCATAGCAGTGAAGCCGCATAGCAGTGAAGCCGCATAGCAGTGAAGCCGCATAGCAGTGAAGCCGCATAGCAGTGAAGCCGCATAGCAGTGAAGCCGCATAGCATTGAAGCCGCATAGCAGTGAAGCCGCATAGCAGTGAAGCCGCATAGCAGTGAAGCCGCATAGCAGTGAAGCCGCATAGCAGTGAAGCCGCATAGCAGTGAAAACATCTCTCCTTCGACGCTTCCCTTCAGCGCCAATCCCTGGTTCCAACCCTGGCATTTCTCCTCATCTGTCTTCCATCTCTCATCTTCACAACTTTTGACGCGCCTCAAAGCCCGGGATTTCTCTTCTTCTGACATCCAAATCCTCCGTATTCCATCTCTTTTCGCCCATCGCCCATCCCCCATCTTCCACCCTCTGCCTACCACAGTGGCCAGTGCATGCTCCAGTCTCTCTCACCCACCTTTTTTTTTTTTTTTTTTTAATCTGAGGCGCCTCAAGAATGACTCAACTCATGTGGTTCTGACGCATCAAAAAAATGGTCTTCCAACCTTCCACCCCCTCCCTACCCCAGTGGCCAGTGCGTGCACCAGTCTCACCCATCTCGAACTCTCCAACTTCCGATGCATGTCCGACCCGCCTCTGCACGAGTTCGTTTCTGTGAGTCGGTTTGGGGATTCCTCCCCTCGTTTAGTTTGTCGTCTTGACATTGAACAGTGTGGAATGAGGTGCGAATTCAGATGCATGTCCGACCCGCCTCTGCACGAGATCGTTTCTGTGAGCCGGTTTGGGGATTCCTCCTCTCGTTTAGTTTGTTGTCTTGACATTGAACAGTGCGCGAATGAGGTGCGAATTCAGATGCATGTCCGACCCGCCTCTGCACGAGTTCGTTTCTGTGATTTGCTCAGGTTACACCTGAGAGTGATTTTTGAGAATTCTCAAAAATCACTCACAAGGGTTACACCTGCAGCATTCGGATTGCGAATGGTTTTGTCGTCAGAAAGAATGGCTTGGGAAGAATCACTGGGTGAAAACAGATCCATGCCCGCCTCTGCACAAGTTCGTTTCTGTGAGCCGCTCGAATAATCCTTGCACGTGGTGCATTGTTGCTCATTGTGTTTATGTTCATCACATTCTGCATCGTTGTCGCTTCACACTGTAAAAATGTTTGAGCAACAGAAAAAGAAAGCTTTTCAAATTTGAAGCAGCAGAAAGAAGCCCTTTCATTCTCTGTTTTACTTCCCCACCCTCCCCTCCATTCCTCCTTCCTCTCCCCAGCGCTGCCCCTCGCTCGCCCATCTCTCTCTAGCCGGTGCGCCCATCACCGATGCCTCCTTGGACCTCATAGCCTCGCACTGTCCCAACCTCCAGTCCCTCTCCATCAAGTGCTGTCGCAAGGTTAGCTTGGGGCGAGTTACGTGAGGTATGAGGTGTTTTGAGACGTCTCAAGACACGTTACGTGAGGTATGAGGGGTTTTGAGACGTCTCAAGACACGTTACGTGAGGTATGAGGTGTTTTGAGACGTCTCAAGACACGTTACGTGAGGTATGAGGTGTTTTGAGACGTCTCAAGACACGTTACGTGAGGTATGAGGTGTTTTGAGACGTCTCAAGACACGTTACGTGAGGTATGAGGTGTTTTGAGACGTCTCAAGACACGTTACGTGAGGTATGAGGTGTTTTGAGACGTTTCAAGACACGTTACGTGAGGTATGAGGTGTTTTGAGACATCTCAAGACACGTTACGTGAGGTTTTTGGTGTTTTGAGACGTCTCAAGACACGTTACGTGAGGTATGAGGTGTTTTGAGACGTCTCAAGACAAGTTACGTGAGGTTTTTGGTGTTTTGAGACGTCTCAAGACATGTTACGTGAGGTATGAGGTGGGGTGAGAGAGCACGGACCAGAGCAAGCATGCCTCCTTGGATCTCTTTTTAATTGTTAACCTGAAACTCTGTTCCTTCTTGCATCTCTGCTGTTTTTTTCTCTAATCCCCAGCTGCTCGAGCCAGGGGTCAGCGCATTGGCTCGTTGCTCTCGGTTGGTGTCCCTTAACGCTGCTCTGGTGCCCGGGGTGACAGAAGTCTCTGCCCCGCTCCTGTTTCAAGGAGTCACAGCACTGAGAACACTGGTGAGAGAAATGGCTTTCGCGGAGAAAGTGACGACTTCTGAGGCGCCCTTAAAACTGGTGCTCGGAATCTGAGGTGTGATAGATCCTCCTCCCTCCTTTCAAGGTATCACATCACTGGAAACACTGGTGAGAGAATGACCTTTTCCACTGAAAGAATCAACTTCTGAGGAGCTTTTAACCTGGTGTGTGGGATTTGGGATGTGATAACCCCTCTCCTGTATCAATGAATCACAGCGTTGAAAACACTGGTGAGAGAAACATGTTTGTTTTTGGTGAAAGAAACAACTGTGGAACCGGTGCCCTCTGTTTTCACTCTCTATCGTCATTTCCTCTCCTCATGTTCCACTTCTCTCATCACTTGCTGAACCAAAGCCCGCTGCCAGGCCAGACACCTCGCTATTGTCACTCTCCTCTCATTGTCAACTTCTAATTTGTCACTTTGCCATTGTCAATTTCTGCTATCCCTCCCCGCCTCCTTCTCGTCTCATCAGGTGCTGAACCAGAGCCCACTGCCAGACACCTCGTTATTGTCACTCTCCTCTCATTGTCGCGGTATTGAGGAGCTGGCGTTGCATGGATGCCCCAGGCTCACCAATGAAGTACGATACCTTAGGAGGGGGAGAGGGAGTGGGAGAGAGGAAGTGAGGGAAATGGTGGGGGTGGAAGGGGGAAGGGTGGGTGGGTGGTGGTGCTTCCTAAAGTAAGTGTATACCTGACCATATGCCTCTGCGGCCAAACCCTGTCTTCCTCCTGCTCGTCTTCCTCCCCTCGTAATCCTTATTTCTGCTTTCCCTACCTCATCTGCCCTGCCCCTCCTACCCCTCTCCAGGGTTTAAAAGCTCTTGCTGCCGCCTGCCTCTCGCTGCGCTATCTCTCCCTCAGCTTCTGCGATCAAGTCTCAGACGCCGGAATCATATCCATCGCCAACAGATGCCGCCACCTCATCAAGATTCGATTGGACGGCTGCCGCCAGCTCTCCAATCCCTGCGTCAGGGCTCTTTGCCGCCCAGCCTGGGCCCAGCAGGTTCGGCCGGGGCAGGGTCAGGTCCAGGGGTCAGGTCCGGGTGCCAGTGGCGGGGAGGTTTTTCGTCTGCCCGGGGAGTATGCTGCTGCTCGATTGCGCTACTTGAGCATGCAGAGCTGCCCAAAGATTTCAGATGATATTTTTGACCACCTCTTAGCTGCCCCTGCGCTGAGATTTGTTGACATCGCCAGGGCAAGGTTGACGGAGTGGGCTATTCATTGCTTTCATAGCCGTCGACCTGAGGTGGAGCTATGCATTAGCGGAGTACCATATACTCCACCCATAGATTATTAAGCATAACTCTAAAAGCTCTTTCGGTTTGTATTTGTACCGGTGTACTACTTATGTTGTCCAGTTCATGGATCATCACGGGTCTCACCGCGCCACGTTAATTCCAGCAGGGAAACAAATCATCGAGGGACACGCGGCAGCAATCCGGACCCGATGACGTAACCCAGTCTCTCGCCGTCGCTTCATGCCTCCTGACTCGGGTTACCCTACACCCCCGACGAAAGTGTGCATATCGAGACGTTCATTGCTGGACATGCATTGAGGGACCATCTTTCGCAGTTCATCGCTCTTCAAAAGGCTGAGCAGTGGTTGTGAATGGCTTTACGGAACAACCTCCCTAAATTGCACAGTACCGCACTTGACTATGCTTCACGTACGGGAATCCAATGCTTCAGCCGTGAAGCTTTCTTTCCCTTGATAAAGGCAAGGGAAAGTACATCGCAGCTCCACAGTTTCAAAAATATCTCAATTTTGATCCCGAGTTTACCCAAAAAGTCCAGCTTTGCGGAATTCTGCTCACGCGAGGCCCAAAGTATGTTCAAAACTGGTCCTGCGGGGCAGAAATTACGACACGTGTCGATTTCGTGCAAGGTATACGGGGCAAACCAAACATAATACCCCTGGGGAAACGGGACACAATTTGGGTAATATATTGCACTGCCTGCGTAAGCAGGCAGTGCAATCGAGTCAGCAAGCTGACCGCGGGCAAGAAAAAAACTAAAATCCTCTCGGATGGGATGCCATCCGAGGGAGCCTCAACCCTAAAATTTTAGGGTTGATGCTCCCGAATGGCATGCCGTAAGCCAAGGGGTTTAATTTTTGCCCGCGGGATACATTTCGGGAGGGATCAACCCTAAACACCGGGCGGGTTCCCGTGTTTAGGGTTGATCCCTCCCGAACAAGTGTCCTGGTTTCCCCAGGGGTATTATTGTTTTTGTGCCCCGTCAAAATTGCTGGTGTGAAATAGACACGTGTCAATATTTGAGCCCTACAGGACCAGTTTTGAACATAATTTGGGCCTCGCGTGAGCCAAATCCCAGAAAGTGGGACCTTTCGAGTAAACCTGGGGGTAAATATGAGAGAAATCTGAAAGTAAGGATCTAGGATATAGTTTCCCTAAAGGCAAGGCTTCGTGGGCTTTGATCAAATAGGAAGACCTCTTAGTCCACAACGGTATTTTGCATAGGAAGACCTCTTCGTGGACTAGAATTTTGCATTTCTCATAACAGACCTCTTAGTCCACAACGGTAGAGTGACTCATTGGCAAGCATAGTTTCGTCTTTCGCTGCAGGAACAGCTCGTAGCTTCAGTTATTAGAATCGCGTAAGGCTCAAAACCAGAAGACTTTGACAAGCTTCGATTCCAGAGCTTCAAATATACAAGCGTTCTTCCATGGCAGCGCTCCCTCCCTCCGCACCTCCTCGTAACAGCCTCCTCCCTACCAGCAGGACACCTTTGTCGAGATTATCCGCTCAACCTGCTGGACGAAATGCCACATGGCGCAATCCTATGTGGGTTCGCTGCAACCTGGACGGCGGGGACGGCAATTCTAGCAAATCCAACGGCTCAGATGCTTCAGGTGACGTATCCGAATTCCAGTCTCTCGCACCTGACGTCAGACCTAAGGGCTCCATCCCGATGAACTCATCTCCCACCCGTCGCGGCGCCATCACGCTCATAGTAGCCACTAGCGCCGCACTTGGCGCCGCAGGACTCGGTCTGGGCTCTTACATGTTCTCTAGCCCCTCCGATCTTGCCGCTTCCGTTAACATAACCGGCCCCAGCAGCACCATCGACCCGGCGTCGCTCTCCCCAAAGCAGAGAATCGCGTTGCGAGTAGGAAACGTGTCACACACGGAAGCGGAGTGGCGGGAAATTCTCTCGCCTGGCGAATATTACGTCCTTAGGGAGGCCGGCACGGAGCGCTCTTTTACCAGTGACCTGCTGTACGAGAAACGTCCCGGAACCTTCGTCTGCCGGGGATGCGGCTCACCCTTATTCAATTCGGAGACCAAGTTCGAGAGCGGCACGGGCTGGCCAAGTTTTTTCGACGTGCTGCCCGGAGCTGTGGATCTGCTCCCCGATAGGTCGTTTTTCGGGTTCGACCGGACCGAAGTGCGGTGTTCCCAGTGTCAGGGGCACTTAGGGCATGTGTTTGAGGATGGTCTGGCGCCTACTGGCCTTCGTTATTGCATGAACGGCCTTGCTTTAGGGTTTCAGGCGAAGGATAACGGCAGTGTTGCGTAGGATTAAGTTATGAAGCTTCCATGTATGGTTTTGATGAGAGATAACAGCGATGGATAACTGTTGGTTTCTTCCCAGTTGATATCCGTCAGACAAAGAGTAGTGGACGTACTGTGTAAGCAGAAAGTGGAGTAACTAGGCATCGTGGGTCAAATGTCTCGTGCCAAAACCCAAAACCGACTGTCGAGAGTGAGATTTGAACCCACGCCCTTTCGGACTGGAACCTTAATCCAGCGCCTTAGACCAACTCGGCCATCTCGACATATTTGTGCATGTAGTTGTAATTGAATTTAAAAAAAAAACATACAGCAATGGCCGACAAGATGCTTTTACTGCAAGTGTAGGACATCATGTCACCAACATCCACCGTGGGACAGGCGAGCTTAGAGTCAATTACAAGCCACTGTTAGCCACACGTTACCCTCACCTTTAGTCGTCCTCTTTTCGTCGTGCCATGGCGGACAAGAAGAAGGTATTACTGCACGTGTACGACGTCACCAACAGCCCCGATTGCAACCCGTGACATAGGCGAACTTAATCGAAATTAGGCGAACGTAGGCGACCTTAGAGTAACCCAACGCCCACATTCCGCCATGGCGGACAAGAAGAAAGTATTGCTGCACGTGTACGACGTCACCAACAGCCCCGACCCGAACGTCAACAACACCGTGCTTCGCATCAACGGTATCGCGAGAAGCACGCTGGGGATCGGGGGGATCTTCCATGGCGCCGTCGAGGTATCGGACCGCATCGTTGTTACGTTACTACCAGGCTTGTGTCTCCCAAAAGTGACACATTCACTATTGCCACTAGAAAACTCTTGCGGGATGCTGACCGCACCCTCTTCCTCCCCCAACCCCTCCCCCTCCCCCTCCCCCTCCCCCTCCCCCTCCCCCTCCCCCTCCCCCTCCCCCTCCCCCTCCCCCTCCCCCTCCCCCTCCCCCTCCCCCTCCCCCTCTTCCCGCTTCCCCTCCACCTCTTTTCCACCCTTGCTCTTGCATTTCCGCCTCAAAATGTGATAGTCAATCTAACCAACTCCAGTAATTTCCTTCCTCCTTACCCCTCCTCCATTTCCCTCCTCTCTTTCCCTCCTCTCTTTCCCTCCTCTTTTTCCCCCCTCTCTTCCGCTCGTCCACTACCCTTCCTCCTTTTCCAAAAAAGGTTGAACGCCTGCAATCCACTCCTATCCCCCCACTCCCATGCTCCCATTCGCTTCGTCTGCCTGCCACCCACGTTCCAAGTGAGGAATGGCCCTTCGGATTGACTTTTGAGTCGACTCAAAAGTCCACTTCCCATGCTCCCATTCGCTTGGTCTGCCTGCCACCTTTCCTCACCTGGTTCCGAGTGAGGAATGGCCCTTCGGATACTGCGAGAGCGGTAGGTGTAGTACGGGTTTGACTTCTTTTGAGACGTCTCAAAACACTTCTTCAATCACGTAGGTGTAGTACGGGTTTGACTTCTTACAAGTTTGGAGAGGAATGGCCCTTCGGATACTGCGAGGGGGGATCAGGCGTGTTCAGCTGCCGCCCAAAATTCAACCCCTACCACATCCACGGCGAGACAGTGGACATGGCGGAGAGACGAACAAGCTCAGCAGCCTTCACTTGCCTCTTCTCCTCCCTTCCACCCCTCTCATGCATGTAGCTTCAGCCTGGTCCCATTCCAAGGCCTTCCTTCCGTCCTTCCTTGTCTGCCTGCTTCCCACCTCTTAGGTGTTTGGAGAGGAATGGTCCTTCGGATACTGTGAGCGTGGGTCAGGGGTCTTGAGCTGCTTCTGAGAACCAGCCAGCCCCATTCCTTTTATTCCCGTCCATCCCTCCTTGCTTCCCTTCCAGGTGTTTGGCGAGGAATGGTCCTTCGGATACTGCGAGCGCGGGTCAGGGGTCTTCAGCTGCCGCCCGAAATCAAACCCCTACTACACGTACCGCGAGACAGTCGACATGGGGGAGACGAAGCTGAGCGCGAAGCGAGCCGGCCAGATCATAGCTGAGATGAGCGTGCAGTGGCCTGGCGAGTCGTATGACATGCTCTTTCACAACCAACTAGTTCCGTTCCCCTTGGTTCTCGCCCATCTTCCCTTTCTTCTCTTCCAGGTGTTCGGCGAGGAATGGTCCTTCGGTTATTGCGAGCGCGGCTCGGGGGTCTTCAGCTGCCGCCCGAAATCAAACCCCTACTACACGTACCGAGAGACAGTGGACATGGGGGAGACTAAGCTGAGCGTGAAACGAGCGGGGCAGATCATAGCTGAGATGAGCGTGCAGTGGCCTGGCGAGTCGTACGACATGCTCGGGCGGAACTGTAATCACTTCTGCGACGAGCTTTGTGTTAAACTGGGTGTCGGGCCCATCCCAGGTGGGTGGGTGAATGCAGAACTTTGTAGCATGCTTACGTTACCCTCTCCTCTCCGTTCTGCGTCTGCATAGAAGTCGAATCAAGGACACTTCCTTCACTCACCACCACCAGCAAACCCCCTCTATTCCCCTCTTTTCCTTCTCAGCATGGGTCAACCGGTTTGCTCGAACAGGCGATTCTGCAGCCGAGCTTTATGATCAAGTGGGACAACAGGTGAGTGTAGATCGAGGCAACCTCTGATCTAGTCTGCAAAAAAAAAACAAACAAACAAACAAACAAACAGCAAGCAAGAAAACCACAAGAAACAACAATAATAATAATTAATTAGAAGAAGTCCGTTCTCTATGCACTTTTTAAAGCTGGTTCTGCAGTACAAGCTGGTTCTTTTTCGTTTCTGAGACACGTAACAGTATTTTGATGTGTTCACAACTGTTTATGTTTTTTTTTTGGTCACCTGTCGCCTTTTTTGTTCTGCCCAGGTTGCTGCTCTGCAGGAGTGGGGCAGCGGCACCTACAACTACTGGTTTGGTGCAGAAAATTCAGCTGCTGCTGCTTCTTCTACTGATGCTGGTGATGCTGCTGGTGCTGGTAAGGCTGCTGGTTTGGCTGCTCCTGTGGGGTCTGTGCAGGGGAGGAGTTGGGCAGAGTTTTGGAGTGGGAGGAAGGGAGATGACCTGGATGGGGCTGAGTTGCTGGAACCAGGGGAGGAGAGGAGCACCATGGGTGTTTGTGAGAGTAAGGACAGGGGAGAAGGGGACGGGAGAACAGGGAGAGGGGAGGAGGGTGATGAGAGTGAGGAGAGGAAAACTGAGGCAAGTGATAGAGGAATGGAGAGGGAGGAGAAGGAGAAGGAGAAGGAGAAGGAGAAGGAGAAAGGAGGCATTCGTGCCAGTCTGCCTTTGTTACCAACTGTCCCTCCAGAAGCAAACACAAGCAACAGTGTCAATTAGTGGAAACTCTATGTGATATTTATGTGTGTCTAGGAGCAGTTCTCTTACCGTATCAGGTGTAAGTCCCAAGGCAATCTACAACACTTCTTGATGCTCTCACGACTTCTACCGAGAGACGTTTCTCCTAAAATCGGTCCATTCCGAGCAAAATCCTCTCTTCGGGGTCGCGCTCGGGTTGGCTCTTTTCGTGGTACGTACGTACGGTCTCACTCTGGGTTCGGTTCGGATATTGCACTCCCATGTGCACTGTAGTTCAGGTTCTGTGCCAGTTGCACGCATGCACGATTCCGTTCAGGTTCAGTTCATTTCGAGTTTCTCCAGAGTCTGACTCGTGCTGCTTGATTGTGACTCACAAATAGTGCGCCCCGACTAGGACTGCTAGATTCTCCCTTCTTCATTGGTTAAGAAAGGAGTGGGGACTAATTTCATCGCATCTTTACCTTCTGTCCGCTTATTTGGCGGATCGCAAGCAGACTAGTCTCTCGTGTCTTGGCGGGCCGAAGTATAACGACTCTCGAACCTGACTCGGATCGATTGAGCAGTAGCAATTGCGCGACGACGGCTTGCAGCGATTGGGTGTGATTGCAGTCAGTAACGTTCCTTTTCGGTGAACGCGGCGTCTCAGTAAACGTTTCATCCCATAGAACGTTTACGGAAAAGCTGCGATAGCGTACCCAACCCAACAAGCCATTCCCTTTTTACAACGATCGTGGTCGTCGTTGTCGCATAGTTCGCGCTTTCACAGCGATTCCCCCAGCTGTTCTTCTCAGTTCGCCATCCGTCTGCGCTTATCGCGTACGGCTCGCGTGGACACCCATGGCTCCGCGCGGGTCCGTCGTCGCGTTTCAGAAGCGATTCAAGGAGTCGTCTCAGCAGATGCTGGAGGTATGTTTTCCTCGATCTGATTTGACTTTCTTGAGTCCGTTTGACTCTGCGAAGGAGTCGTCTCAGCAGATGCTGGAGGTGGGCGTTGGACCTGTTTTCGTTTCTGCTGACTGACCTTTGTGACGCCTCTTGCGACCATTTTAGAAGCATCTGGAAGCGATTCAAGGAGTCGTCTCAGCAGGTGCTGGAGGTAGGCTTTCCTCGACCTGATTTGATTCCTTAGTGACTCCTCTGGGCTTTACGGAGCAGATACTAACGCAGATGCTCGAGGTAGGTTTCTCCTCTAGCTGTTCTGACTCCTCTGTTCTCAAAGTCTCTGGTTTCCGCTCTGAGGCTCCTCAACACTCCATGTTTCCCGGTTTTTAAATGCTGGCCATTCGATCCGATATTTCCCCTCCCCTTTTGGTATTTTCCCCTGTTCGTCCTCCCCGCAGCTCTTTTGAGGCGCCTCATGAGGCGGCTTTTGAGGCGCCTAAAAAATGCTGGCCACTTTTGAGTCGACTCAAAAGTCACCTTTTGAGGCGCCTAAAAAATGCTGGCCACTCGATCCGATATTTTCCCTCCCCTTCTCCTTTTTCCCCTGTTCGTCCTCCCTGCAGCTCTTCTCAGAAGCAGCTCCAGAAACTTCCAGGAAGGTGACCAGGGATGACGTGGCCAAAGCAGCAGAGAGCCTCGTGAAGCAAGCTGTCAAAGGTAAGGAAATTCCTTATAACTGTCAAATTCGGGATTTAAATGTAATCTCCTTACCTTTTGCATGCCACAGAAGTCTAGTCGCAACTATTTCTACCGCTCTTCTCACCGCCATGGGTTCTGTGTCCTCGTCTCCTGCTCACACAATCTAATCTCCTCCCACTGCCCTCTTCTCCCCTTCCCTCCACCACGTACCCCTTTTCTTCCACAGCCACCTCTCCCCCAGTTGCAATCTTCTGCCCAAACAAGCAATCCCTCTGACTGTTTCAATTACTCTGACTGTCCTCTCCCCACTTTCTCTCCCCAACGTACCCTTTTTTTCCACAACCAACCCTCCCTCAGTCGCAATCTTCTGGGCAGCTTCCTCTCCCTTGAAAGCAGCAGAAGCCGCCCCGCTGCTCTCGGATTTCCGCAACTCTTTCGTGGCATCCATGCTGCTGCCGCACGCTTGCAGTGCTAACAAAATCTAAACCCGTCCCCACTATCCCGACCCCCATCCCTCTCCTCTCCGCCACGTACCCCTTACTTCCAAAACCACCCCTCCCGCAGTCGCAATTTTCTGGGCAGCTTCCTCTCCCCCAAAGGCAGCATCTTTTGATTCGACTCAAAAGCCGTCAACCCCTTCCCCCCCCCCCCCCTCCTCCCCCTTCCTACCTTCTCTCCCGCCACCCCTCCCGCAGTCGCAATTTTCTGGGCGGCTTCTTCTCCCCAAAGGCAGCAGAACCCGCCCCACTGCTTTCGGATTTCCGGGTATTGGGACTTCTCAAAATTCCTCCCACTCTCCTCTTCCCCCTCTTGTTTCTTCCACTCCCTTCCAAACCACCCCTCCCTCAGTGGCAATCTTCTGGGCAGCTGCCACTCCCCTAAAGGCAGCAGAAGCTGCCCCGCTCCTCTCGGATTTCCACGACTCGTTTGTGGCCTCCATGCTGCTGCTGCACGCCTGCAGTGCTGGCGCTGCTGCCACGTGGCATGCTGCCATTCGCTCGGCTGCGGAGGGTGTCGTGTCAGCCTCTGCTGCTCTGCTGGACACTGCTTTGACCACGACAAATGGTATGGGGTTGTGTTGCTGACGTGGCAGGGATTTGATTGCACAAGTGTCATCAGCATGTTACAAGCATGTTACAGTGTATCAATGAAGCAATGTCTACTTCCGCATGACGCTTAGAATATGATGGTCTACTTATTGATGTTTCCTTCTATTTTATACCATCCCTTTCTCCCCTCTCTCCCCGTGCAGCCACTCAGCGAGCTCTGCGTATGACAATCAAGCAATATGGGGTCTCATTCCCTTGATAACTCATTTCCTTTCGGTTTGATTCTATCCCTTTTTCCCTCCTGTCGTCTCACAGCCAATCAGTAAGCTGAGCTCCTCTTCAGGCAGGTGGGCGTGCTGCAGTCCGCATACGCAGCACTGAAAAGCTTGCAATATGAAGTCTAGTCACTCATTTCGCTTCGTTTCTATTCTATTCCATCCCCTTGTCGTCTCACAGCCACACAGCGAGCTCAGCTCCTCCCCAGGCAGGTGGGCGTGCTGCAGTCAGCGTACGCAGAACTGAAGAAGCTTCCAGTAAGCAATGAGGCGGCTGTGGGTCGCGTGCTGGTGACTCTTGCTGCGTCGATGAAAGACGTTGCCAGGGAGGTGGGGGAGATGGTGGGAAGAGAAGGGATTCAGAGCGGTGCAGTGGGAGAGGAGAAAATTGAGGAGGAGAAAGGGGACGGCGGGGCGGAGGGGAGGGCTGAGGAAGGCCAAGAGGTTCAAGAAAGAGCAGCGAAAAAGGACGGTAAAGACGGGGAGAATCTTTCCAGTTTTGACAAGGAGGAGGACGATGGTGATGGTGGTGATGGCGATGAGGATGAGGAGGATGAGGAGGATGAGGAGGATGAGTTTGGGTGAGGAGGAGAGAGAGTTGGCGAGGAGTGGTTTGCGTGTGGTTGTGGCAGCGGAAGGGGTGATTCGGTGCCTGATCTACCTTGTGGCTTCATGGCAGCAGCTCCAGGACTCCTGGGGAGAGCAGCAGCAGCAGCAGGAGCAGCAAGAGAAATCACAGTCACAGGGGGTTGAGGGAAAACAACAGCAAGAGCAGAAGCAGAAGACTGGTGTGGCAAAGCGTGCAACTGGCAGTGGCACAAGTAGCGGTGCCGCCATTAGCTCGGCAAGCAACAGCAACAACAGAAACAACAGCAGCAATAGCAGCAGCGGCGCCACCAATAGCACCAAGAGCAGCAGCAGTATGTTGGAGTCGGTTCTGCGTGTGTGCATGGGAGCAAGCGAAGATGTGGACGAGATTGGTGCATCCCTCTTCCCGCCTCAAGAGCCCAGCACCATCCGCATGCGTGCACGGCAGCTGTTGGTTAGAGCGAAAGATCTGAAGTCACTGCTGCCATTGCCACCAGGAACAGAAACATGGGAAAAAAAATCAGGCGGTTGATTCGGGGCGTGTGGGTGTTGGTGCTGCTGATGTTGGTGCTGGTGAAGGGAAGGTGGGGATTGGAGGGGATGTGGGGAAGAAGGGTGCGGGGAAGGGGGGGATGAGTGTGAGTAAGTTGCATGAGGCGATTGGAGAGATGGAGAGAGATATAGCTGCATTGTTGTGTGTGGTGGGAGAGAGTAGTGAGGGTGTAGTGGTGGGGGAAGAGGGAGCAAAGGTGATAAGGGAAAGGAAGAGGGAGGAGCAGGCAGTTGCTACTGGTGTAGCTGTTACCATAGAGAAATGTAGTTTGGGTGATTAATTAAGGGAGCCAAGCCAAGACTCAAGAGGCGTACCTACTAAAGGAAAGATGTATCTGTTTAGGTGCAAAAAGTCGCATTCGTGATGCACCAATGTTCATGATCATCAGAACTTCCCCATGAGGTAATATTGGAAGAGCAGGAAAGAATCTAACAATATTGGAAGAGCAGGAAAGAATCTAACAACGATAGATTCTGGTGGGCTAAACCACTACTTGAGGATAGGGTCGATTTTAAATGTACCACTATTCTAGTACAGTTCAGCCTTCACAACTCGAGCGACATTAGTTGTGGCTCACCACCACCTATTCTCCTGATAAACCCCCCCCACTGGCCAATATTTTCGCGCTTCTGGAACATTACGGGAGGCATAGGGAGCACGAACAGCCTGCAACAGAATTCTACCTTCTAGATTTATCGCCGACAGGATTCAACCATGAGTGAGGGAAAGGAGATCTCTGGAACATACATCAGCATTCCACTGCAGGCATCTGACAACACGATTTTCATCATTGAGCTATTTAGAGGGGGGGTATTCTCTGCTATTTTATGGTTGACACACTGACTCCAGCTGCTCGACAATCCTGTTCACGGCCTACTTTTCCCTTCTACTTTCAGTGCAAGGTCGAGGTGCGCACCATGGCGGCGCGACGTACCAAGCGTTCTTACGCGATGAGCTGCATTGGCGATTATGCGCTGCTCCGGATCCCTCTAACTTGATGAATGATATGAGCGCGAACAAAAATGGTACCTGCATCTGCTCTGCTGTGACTGGTGCATGTGTCCGCGTGTCTCTTCCGGCATACGAACGTTGCGGAGGCTCGTTTCTGCTTGAACCTGTACAAGGTATGCATCCATTGTGGTTGACATCCTGTGTTAGTATCCTTGTTTCTTCCATCGACAATTTTATAAAAGCTGCCGATTTCCATGGATCAAGAGTCAACGATGATGAAGACATACATATGGCTTCGTTTCTCAAAACATTCGCAGTGGCCGACTGAAAGCTTTCGCCCTCGCCAGGGCTTGAGAGCTGATGTGGCTTTTTTTCCTTCCTTGGATGGCTGAGTTGACTCTACAATGATATCGGAAAATGATTTCTTTATTTTTAACCTGTGTTGGGCTAGCCTAGTCGTGATGTCTTTTTCAGTTGTTTAATCTGGTCCCTGTCAACGATGATGAAAGCATACATATGGCTTCGTTTCTCGAAACATTCGCAGTGGCCGACTGAAAGCTTTCGCCCTTGCCGGGGCTTGAGAGCTGATGTGGCTTTTTCCTTCCTTGGATGGCTGAGTTGACGTAATAATTATTTGTTCTGTACAACAATTGCTCTTAGTCGTGTCGTGAGTTCCTCGTTTGCTTGCTCTTCTTGGTTCTCTTTATAACACTCGTAGGAGTGATCATGATGTGGATGATGATAACCATTTCCTCAGTCGGATTCCTTCTGACACTTTCGGGTGGCTGAAGTTACACAACCTTTCTCGCCGACACATCCATCACAATCGCTCCTAGTCTTCGACTTTTTGCTTTCTTTTTCTGTATTTCTCTCTGGTGTTTTCAATGATGGTAATGTGGATGAGGAAAACTTTCCTTCAGTCGGATTCCTTCTGACGCTTTCGGGCGGTTGAAGCTATTACACCTTTCTCCAGCTGACACATCCATCTTCCCATGTTGTTTTAGTGTGGTCTACTTCTCACTTGAGTTCGCTACTGGGAGTGGAGGAATGCCCTTATTAATGACGTTTCTCCCCATTTTCTGTAGCAAGAGGGATAAGGAGCAAAAGGCTTGGCGTGAATTCTTCCTTGCACAGCCAGGTTACCGCGTTTCTGACAACTCGAGATCCTGGAGTCTATCTGCGGGGTCATCTTTTGGTACTTCGCTCACCTGTGCCGTTCCGTGTCCACTGTTGTGCAGGTTGAACACGAGACCCAAGATTTGTGTACGGAATGCCAGATGCTGCAACCGTGTGATGAGAATTACGACATTTATGTAAGCCCTCGTACCTCCTAGCTGACAATGAAGTCGAGGCCTTTTTTATCATTTAGCGGCAAATACAGACAAGATGGTGGCGATGATGAAATACGGACTCCCTCTACCGAAAATCATGAGGAATCTCCGGCGGAATCGAACCTAAACTAAATCTGCCATGTCTGAGCCACGAAATCTTATGCTGTAGCTACCGATTTTGTAGCTTTTTACATGTGATTCGGTTGTTCATTTTACTTATACCCTGGTGTTACTGCTACCGCACAGATTCTGTCACTGTCTGTTTCTTAGCCCTCCTCTGAGCCATGGATGTGAGCCGTTCGTGCATTACACATGTCCAGGGTATGATTGGAGGGCCACATGGACATGCCATGGCAAGGTGTAAGCCTGCGTGGTCATTGCATCTTTGTAGACGTTCTGGCGCTCTCTTCGCCTCTGCGCATATGCTGGATGCTACACCTGAATTCCGGACTGAGGGTTTTTGGTTCTGCCCATCCTCTGCCCATCGCTTGTCCTCCCGTCACCCCCTTTGGATGCATCGCCGTTTTCACCCTTTTTACAGGTTGCGGAGCCATAACTGAGGCAGCATGCCGTGAAACGTGATGGCTGGTTGGACTGATGGTCAGCCTTCTGACGTGCGCCACAGGTCAGTAGCTTCTCTGCCCGCTACTGTTTTTCCTTCGTGTTCTCTGCGATTTTTTTATGCAGCCTCGTTGTTCAGGGTTATGGCCGTGCAGTGATGTGATTCAGAGTATTCTGACACCTCTACAACTAGAGTCTTGTTGCCTTAGGGTCAAGGCTCAATGCTGATAATCCTCTTTGTTGTAGTCTGAGCACGGTGTACCAGGTTTCCCATCGCTGTCCTTATTGACGCTGTGACTTTTTTCTGCTGTTGATTGTCATGAGTCAAAAGCAAGCTCACTCCATGCTGCGCCTAATTTGTGGAGCAGTGTGATTTTTTCACTTGCAATATCATGGCATTGGGCTCTTGTTATTGAGGGGAACCACCGTGTATATTCATGATCCCCTCCCTGAACTCGTGCAACATTCTCTCTTAAATGATGTCCGCAGGTGTAGTGATGTGTAAAGCATTCCTTGAAGGCAACCTTACATGTGGATGCAATGTTGACTGGACCTGGGTGTGCTATATCTTCAATCATGTGTGGGAGGTCAAGGTTACTGACTGAAACATTTAGCTATCATCATCAAGAACTTTACTCTGCAGTCATTACTGCATTTTTACCATAATACGCCGCTTATTTCCTGTTCTGTGGTAAGGGGGTCAGATGGCAGAGGAGAAAAAATGTTTTAAAAGATTTTGATTATGGCTGAGAAGATAGAACTACTATACGATAAGTATTACTGTTAACACCCTATTTTCCAAGCTGGTAACAACTGGAGCTAAAATCAGCTCTGCGCTCATCTCTTGAGACCAGTTATTGCTCCAACATAGGGATGGTTCTTCTGTGTGGGTGTGACAATGCTACTGAAAACATCTGTCAAAGCTGTTGAAGATGACAAAGCTGCAAGAACAAGTTTCAACATCTGCACATGCACAAATGACCCCACTCCATTACACTTGTCTGGGTAACAAACATTAACAATCTCCACCTAATTTTTAGCGAAATTCCTCACCTGTTTTTCAGTAACCGTGGTTTTACACCGCTTCATACTGGCTGAAGGAAGGAGGCCGCATCCGATCAATACATCTGCTGTTCTGGTGAAAGAGCTCGGGAAGGTGGTCAGATTATTGGTGATGATGAATTTCTCACCGTCTTTCACGTAGCCCATGCCCTTTTGCAAGTTCAGCTGCCGAGTCATCCAGACCTGACACGTGGGACATGGTTCCTGGTATGTGCTTGTTAGAAAATGCATCCCATAACAGGTGTAGACAGTTCGGCCTGTGTCGACGAATGCATTTACAGGCTCCAGACTATGTGACATTCGGCAATCTGTTGGGCTGGATGTGCACACAGAATCCTTCTCCCGGGAGACCTCATTGTTATGGCGTGAAGGACAGACGAAATAGGAGCTTAAAATCGTAAAATGGTCCCTTCCCTCTCCAGGGAGCGGTTGAAACAGCATGTCTTCGTCAACATCCAAGGAGGAACTTTGGAGTTGTT